TTTTTTTTTAGTATACTTATTAAAGTACTTTAACTACTTAAAAGTAAGCTTATTTATTATTTAGCTATTTTTAAAAACTATAATAATTTAATTATAAAGCAGGCTATTTTTTTTGTATTAGGCTAAAAAGTAGTTTTTACCTGCAAAAATAATAAAAAGTAAAATAGCTTATTTTATTATATTAATGCTTTAAATTATTATTACTTACTTTTAATTATTTTACTGTACTATTTTTGGCTATTTTTAATAATTAGCATTTAAAATAATAATTTTATATAATATTTAGTTTATTATAAAGCCTATTTTATTAAAATTATATATATTTTTATTTTAAATATTATACTTAGCTTTTATATTTTTTATAAGTTAGAACTAGCTTTATATAAGCTTAAAATTTTTATATAAAGTTTTTTAGTAATTATACTTTTAAAAAGTCCTAGTACTAAACTATAAATATTATTTAATAAATATACTAGCTTAATTTTTATTAATAAATAATTGCTTATATTTAGCTAGCAAAATATTAACTATATTATTTATAGTAGCTAGTTAGGGCGGAAATCTTTAGTTTTTAAAGTAAAGTATATACTAAATAATTATTTTTTTTTTATTAAAAAAAGCTTTATTTTATTAGGCCTAGTATTATATTATAAAAGTTTTTTTTTAATTAATTACTAAGTATTATTTAAAAAATGCTATAGATTTACGCAGCTTTTTATTAAAAAAAATTTATATTATATTTTAAAGCCTAAACTATAAATTATATTTAATTTTTTTTTTAAAAAAATTGCATATTATTATATTAAGGCATTGTATTTAATAGTAGAAGACTACTAATTTTAGTAAAGTTTTAGTATTGTAACTAACTTAACTAAGCAACTAACTTGCCTGTGTAATATATTACTACTTTTACTAATTAATTATAATATACTTTTATAACAAGTAGTTAGTTAGAACAAATAGTTAGTTTCTGCCAAGCCTTTACTAAAACCTATTATTGCCTATAGTATATTGCAACTATAGTATATTATACTATAACTAATAGTATATAGTATTAATTTATAATATTTTTTATATTATTTTTATATATGCGCGTATTATGCTTTATTTTATTATAGTATTTATAGCGCTTTTAAAAAGGCTTACCTGCTTTAGCGCGCGCTTTTTTTTTTGCTTTTTTTTTATTACTATATATTTTAAACTTTTTTAAAATTATTAATTAAAAACTATTTTTTATTATAAAATTTTATTTTTTTATATTTATTTTTTTTTGTGCAATTTATATTACATAGCAGCTTTATTAGTAGTTTAAAACTTAAAGTTTTATTTTTATATTAATACTATTAAATACGCTATTATTTTTATACTTTTAGTAAATTTTACAAAAGCATCTATTATTAAAGTAAAAAAATTATTTAAATACTTTTAAATTTTTTTTTTTAAAAGTATTAATTATAATTTAAATTTTAAAGTATTACTAGGTGTTTTTAACTTTTAAGCACTATTTTTAATAGTAAATAATAATAAAATATATAACTAAATATTAAGTTTTAATATTACAGCTTTTAAATTAAATAGTACTAAACTAGTACTTTAAAAGCTTTTTAAAATATTACTTTTTATAATAGCAGTATTAAAAACAGCTTTAAAGTATAGTAAAAACTTAATTTTAGTAATATAATTAATACAGTTATACATTAAGATTTTAGCTTAGCGCTTATATACTTTTTTTAAAAAAGTAAAATAGCTTATATTAAGTAGCTATAGCAGGTGCGATAAATGCAGAAGTATATAAAAAATAATAATATTATTTTTTTTACAGTATTAGTAAAACTTAACTAAATTATAGCTTTTATAATTATTTATAATTAAAAAATAATGCGCGCTAATAGTACGCCCTTTTATATATTTATTAAAGTACTTTATTTACTTAAAGCTATATTTATTAGTTATTTAACTATTTATAAAAATAGCAATAGCTTAATTTTAAAGCAGGCTATTTTTTTTATACTAGGCAAAAAAGTAGTGCTTGCCTGCAAAAATAATAAAAAATAAAATTATTTAACTAGCCGCGCTAATACTTTAAATTACTATTATTTATTTTTAATTATTCTACTATATTATTATTGCCTGTTTTTAATAGTTAAAATTTATAATAATAGCTTTAATTAATATTATACTTATTATAAAGCCCGTCTTATTAAAGTTATAAATATTTTTATTTATAATATTATACTTTGCTTTTATATTTTGTACTAGCCAGAACTAGTTTTATATAATATTAAAATTTTTATAAAAATTTTTTTTATAATTATACTTTTAATTAAATTTTATTTTAAGCTTAAGCTAGCGTTTAATAAACGCATTAGCTTACTTTAAGCTAATTAAATTTTAATAATGCTTAATAAGCAAAAAATTAGCTATATTTTTAATTTTAGTAAGCTTAGGCAGGTATTTTTTTACAGTAAAATTAAGTATATAATTAATAATTTTTTTTTTTTTTACTATAGTAAGCTTTATTAAATTAAGTATATAGTTGCATTAAAAAGTAGTTCTAGCAAATTATTTTTTAAGTATTAATTTAAATATATTATAGTATTTTATAGCGCAATAAATTAAAAAATTTGTATTTTATTTAATAGCTTAGATTATATTTTATATTTAATATTTTTTTTAAGCTAGTAATATATTATTATATTAATTTATTGTAATATACTATAAGTAATAGTAGGTTTTAGTAGGGGCTTAGCAGAAACTAATTACTTGTCCTAACTAACTACTTGTTATAGAAGTACATTATTTTTATTTTGCAAAACTAATACAAGCAGCCTCCTTCCCCTATATATAAATTTAGCACTTAAAATTGTAAGTAAAACTTTTTTATATAAAAATACTATAATATATTATACAGGCAAGTTAGTTGCCTAGTTAAATTAGTTATAATACTAAAACTTTACTAAAATTAGTAGTTTTCTACTATTAAACGCAATGTTTTAATATAATAATATATAATTTTTTTAAAAAAAAAAACTAAATATAGCTTATAATTTAGGCTTTAAAATGTAATATAAATTTTTTTTAATAAAAAGCTATACAAATCTACAGCATTTTTTAAATAATACTTAGTAATTAATTAAAAAGAAAGCTTTTACAACACAATATTAGGCCTAATAAAATAAAGCTTTTTTTAATAAAAAAAAATAATTATTTAGTATATATTTTACTTTAAAAATTAAAAATTTCTGCTTTAATTAATTGCTATAAATAATATAGCTAATACTTTGCTAGTTAAATATAAGCAACTACTTATTAGTAAAAACTAAATTAATATATTTATTAAATAATATTTACAGCTTAGTATTAAAACTTTTTAAAAATATAATTACTAAAAAGTTTTATATAAAAATTTTAAGCTTGTATAAAGCTAGTTCTAATTTATAAAAAATATAAAAGCTAAGTATAGTATTTAAAATAAAAATATATATAATTTTAATAAAATAAGTTTTATAATAAGCTAAATATTATATAAAATTATTATTTTAAATACTAATTATTAAGGACAGCCGAAGATAGTCTAGCAGAATAATTAAAAATAAATAATAATAATTTAAAATATTAATATAATAAAATAAACTATTTTATTTTTTATTATTTTTGCAGGCAAAAACTACTTTTTAGCCTAGTATAAAAAAAATAGCCTGTTTTATAATTAAATTATTGCAGTTTTTAAAAATAGCTAAATAATAAATAAGCTTACTTTTAAGTAGTTAAAGTACTTTAATAAGTATACTAAAAAAAAATTATTAGTACTTATTATCTGCTTATTATTAATAATTATAAAAATTATATATTAGTTTAATTTTAGCAGTACTGCAAAAAATAAAAAATTATTACTTTTTATATATTTTTATATTTATTGCACTTGCTATAGCTACTTAATATAAATTATTTTATACTTTTAAAAAAGGCGTATAAGTACTAAACTAAAAAGCTAATATATAATAGTATTAATTATATTACTAAAATTAAATTTTTACTATACTTTAAACTAGCTTTTAATACTACTATTATAAAAAATAATATTTTAAGTAGCTTTAAAAGCGCTAATTTAGTTTTTTTTAATTTTAAAGCTATAATATTAAAGTTTAATATTTAGTTACGTACTTTACTACTACTTACTATTAAAAATAATTTTTAAAAATTAAAAATACTAAATAATATTTTAAAATTTAAGTTTTAATTAATACTAATTAAAATAAAAATTTAAAAGTATTTAAATAATTTTTTTACTTTAATAGTTAAAGCTTTTAAAAAAATTTTAAAAAGTGCAGCTATAATTGCGTATAAGCTTATATTAGTATAAAAAAAAATTATTAAATTTTAAATAGCTAATAAAGCTGCTATATAATAAAAATTATATAAAAAAAAGCAAATATAAAAAAAAAAAACTTTTATAGTAAAAAATAATTTTTAATTAATAACTTTAAAAGAATTTAAAGCGCGTAGTAATAAAAAAAAATAAAAAAGCAAGTATATATTAAAATAAATAAACTTTTTTAAAAATATTATAAATATTATAATAAAGCTAAGTATAACGCGCAAATATACAAGCAAAAAATAAAAATAATTTTTAAATAAATTAGCTTATTATAATTTACTGCTATAATTTTTTATAGTACTATACTGTTATGCATAGTACTAATTTTAGTAAAATTTTAGTATTATAACTAACTTAACTAGGCAACTAATTCGCCTGTGTAATATATTAGCTAATTTTTACAAAACTAAGTTTATAAGTTTTATATAATATATAAAAGTAGCAAAGCTAATTCTGCTAATTAATGCAAGCTTAAAAGTAATACTTGCTTATTTATTTATACTAAAGCTTTATATAAATTTACTACTACTAAAAATAAACTTGCTAGCTAAATTAAAGCTAAGGCCTATATTTCTAACTTATTATAAAAAAGCGCTTAAATAAAAGTAGATTTCTTAAAAAAAATTACTAGCTATTTTATAGCTAAATAGCATTAATATTAGGCAAAAAAATAAAAAATTAAAGTTTTATTAAAGTGCTGCACTTCCTAGCTTAGAAGAATTAGAATTAATTAACTTGTTTAGCTGAGGGCCCTGCAATACTTTGCCGCAGTGATACAGCCTAGCCACAGATATCACCTTCCAGGGCCTCTCAGCCTTATCCATGGATGGCTCCACCCCGCAACGTCAACGATGCTCGAAATAGCGTGCTTCAACACCTCATCGGCTATCGCAGCCGCGAAAGCAGGTGCGGATCGTGTCGAACTCTGCGCCAACTATGCTGCTGGTGGAGTCACGCCCCCACTCGCCTCTCTTCTTAGCATCTGCTCAGCAACCACGATACCGATCAATATAATGATCCGACCCCGAGCAGGAGACTTCGTCTACACCCAAGAAGAATTTGCCCAAATGCAAGCAGATATTGAGCGTTTCAAGCTTTCAGCAAGTGGATTTGTGTTTGGTATCCTAGATCCCAACAACCGCGTAGACAAAGTCCGGAATAAAGAGCTTGTCGAGCTCGCTGCTCCGCTTCCATGCACGTTTCATCGCGCCATCGACGAGGTCCAGGATCTAGATGAAGCGGTAAATACAGTCATTGGATGCGGGTTTACAAGCATATTAACAAGCGGTGGTATGAAGAATGCGGTCGAGGGTGCTGATAGAGTCGCGTTTTTGCAGGCGAAGCTCGGAAGCCAGATCACTTTCATCCTTGGTGGCGGCGTCAGAAGCACAAACGCGGAGCAACTCAAGCGTAACACTGGCGTGAAATGGGTTCACTCAGCTGCGATCATCAAAGCCGGTGAAGAAATGGACGAGAGAGAGGCTAGGAAACTGCAAGAGGTCCTCCAAAGATAGCTTGAAAAGATACAAAAAAGGCTGGACACGAGTCTGAAATTCTCCATTAACTATGGGGATATTTCTAAAGCCGCAAAATATGCGTTATCACAACCAGAGGGTACCTTCACTCCAAGGAACGACGCCCGACGTCAAACTTGTCCCACCAGGGTAGCTACAATGCCGCAGCAAGCATCTCCAGAAGTAAAGCACCAGTATCTTTGGTTATTACAATAAATATATGGCATATACCAAGGCGCCCAAGATGGACATTCCGATCGATTGTGTTGTATCGACAGCCACCTGACCTGCTGCTCCAGTGCTTGATGTAACCGCCGCATCTTGCGATTTTGTCATGATATTTGTCTGAGGGGCGATGGATATAGCTGCTGTAACAGTAGTAGCAGGCACCGTAGTCGAAACCGCCTGTCCACTAACCGTCGCCACCTTAACGGTCTGCGCTAAAGTTGTAGCTGCCGTAAAGACTGTCCCGGGAATGGTGGTGGTGAAAACGATATTAGAACCAAGTTCTGATGCCGGAATCGGGCCTCCAACTCCGCTCCCCGTGAACTGTGGTGGTACTGACAGTGTCGCAGTGTTCGGCTTCGCTTGTAGGTCACTCGCATACATGTTTCCTTTCTGGTCTCCGTTTGTATAATCACCATTCAGCAGATTGGCGCTGGCAGGGCCGGATGAGTATTCTCCAGTGGCCAAAGAACCATACGAGCCATCGGCAAACGCAAAGTTTGTGGTGAACTTGTCGTAGCACATGGGGATGTTGAGTCTTTCGACGTTGACGCAGTCTAGGCTCTTGCGACAGCAGAAACCGTTTGCGCGAGGTCCAAAGGCTCGCTTCTGGAAGCTAATGCCCTTGACAGATGCGAGGATATCGGTGTAGAGCTTACTGAGATCTGCACCGACTGCTGGTGGAGTAGTGCTAGTGGCTCCCTGAGGCTGGCAAGGTTCGCATGGGTCGTCGCTTGACGCCTTCGATGGCGATTCGAACGGCGATGCGTATGCGATTGCGTTCAGAGCAAGAAACAGGAACTTCAAGGACATTTTGTATGTGTCCGAGTGGGATTGGGCTGCTTTACAAATAGCGAAGGGCGGTTATGGTGGTTTTGATTAATCGAAGTATACAGCGAAACGATGGACAGGTATGACAACCAGTGTTAGAAACGAACGAAGGTAATCGCAATAAGAATTGCAAAAGGTTGGACTCTAAGCGAGCAAAACGTGGAAAGTGAATGAGCGGGCGATTGCTTCGGAGATGGGTTGACTCTACACTATAGGCACGCGACCCCGGGCGATATACGGGCGATATACCGCTAGGGGGGGATTGCAAGCTTCCTTTCATTAGCCTTATCCCAAACGCAAGCTAACAGGAGCCGACCACTAAGGGGAATAACCAAAAGACTGGGACCCTTCCTTTGTTGGACTATCATCTTGTTCCCCCCAGCCCTTTCCCGTTTCTCCACGAGCCCTCCTTCATGGGGGGTGCATGTGCCTTACAATCACCTTGCTGGGCAACAACTCGCTGCAGGGTTGCAGTGTTGGCAATTTCTTGTCAAGGGGTCGATGTCATTTAGCAAGTCTTGGAAAATGTACCGCGCTCTCTAGAGTTTGCTCATGAGACCATTGTGCCAGCCGCTAAGCAGAACATACGAAGATTAGGGGCTTGGGATTCGTTACGGCTGCCCAAAGCGCCCAATGGCATATCTCACATAGGCAAGTTATTCCCAGAGAAACCGTTTTATTAGCGACCCTTACAACGCCATCGACCGGTCTTTCCAGATCCAGCCAAGCAAAGGTCAACAGAAAAGTGTGGTTGACTTGATGTCATGCCTGGCGCCCCGAGCCCATGAAGCGTGCCTTATGATGAACAGCTTGCATAATGCTGTAGGGGACAGCAGGGTTTCCCATCTCGATGAACAGCCCGGTGCACGCTAACATGCGACGGTTTTGCCCAGTTGGCGGCGGATTAACGATCCTTCCTGCAAACGTGATAGCAGATGACTGCGCCTGAACTCGTGAGCCATGTGAAATCTCTATGATACCTAGAAAAGGCGCACGCGAAAACAAAAAAGCTGATAGCGATGCGATGTGGGAAATCCAGATTTTAGTGGTAGAACTAGCATCATCAAGTGTTGCGCAAGAGACGGGAAGAACAGGAGCTGTGCGGGTTATGTCTGCTTTCAGCATCATAGTCGCAGGCTATCATATCCAAGTTACAGTAGTTATCGGACTGTCCGATAGAATCGTTCAACACCTACTCTAGGTACCACGTTGCTGGTCATATTTGTCCCTTTGGTCGATCATCTCGGTTGTAGAAAGTGGAGCTCTTGCCGTCGGTACTGAGGTAGATTAGCCGATAAACTGTTTCAGCCAATAAACTACCTTAATATTAAAATAGACTTAACATGTTATCTTTAAACTGCAATATATTTATTATTAATAATTTAATTTTAAATATAATTGCAGTAATTAATTTATAAAATTTTAAAAAATAATTTTTATACTATATAGCTGCAAAAATATTTAGTATTAATTAAATTATTTTAGCGCGCTAATACTAAAGGAAAATATAATTAAATATAAAAAAAGCTTAATAATAAATATATTTTAATTTATAATAAAAATTAAAATTTATATAATATATATAAAGTTTATTTAAATACAGGCTTGCACTTATAAAAGCTATAATAAAAAATTTTGCCTTTAAAGTATTAAAATAAAAAATTTCTAATATATAAATTATATAATTTTTAAAAAAATATTATAATGTTTTTACTTTTAAATATACTATTAAAATTAATTATAAATAGTACTTAGCTAATACTAAGCATAGCTATAAGTTATACTTTAATTTTTTTTATTTAAAAATTTAAAAGTATAAAATTAACGCGCGCTATATTTATAATATAAATAAAAAAATTTTTTTTATTAGTATTATTTTATATTTTAAATAAATTTTTTTAAAGCAACTTTAAAAGCAAAAATAAATTATAATAACTTTATAAAATAGTAATTAAAAATAAATAATAATTTTAGTATATATTTATGCGGATAAAAGCGCAGTAAATTTAAATATAATTTTTAAAAAAAAAAAAAAATTTTGTAATACTTAATTACGCAATATAAAAGTAAAAAAATACTAAATTTTTTTTATAATAAATTTTTTTAAATAGTTTAATAATAATATTAGTTTAGTTTAACTTAAATAAGTTTTTAATTAGCATATAAAAAGCAAAGCATAAGTAAATTATAAAATTTTTATTTTTAATAGCTATAGCAGTTATTTTACTATTAATTTTATAAACTTTTGCAATGCTAATAAAATTTTTTTAATAATTTTTTTTTTTTATTTAACTTATAGTTTATAATTTTTAAATATAGTACTTTTTTTACTTTTTTTAACTGCTTATTTAACTAAGCTTATATACTACTTTTATTATAACTAAAACTTTATTTTTATAAATAAAAGCAACTTTTTTTTATTATTTTAAGCTACTTATAATACTATATTTATTTTTATAAATATATAAAAGGCGTTTAAAGCTATAAGCGTTAAGCTATTTAATATTAATATTATATTATAATAATTTAAAATATAATTACAATAAAAAAATTAAAAATTAATAAATAAAAAAAATAATAATAGAAATATTTAGAACTAGCTCCGCAATTTATTTAAAATTATTATAAAAAATAAAGCAAAAATTAAAGCTAAATAGTTAGGCTTTATACTATATTTTTTTTAAGTATAAAATAAGTTTTTTTACTATAAAAACAAAAGTTTCTACAATGCGCTTTTAATTAAAAAAAAGTATAAAAGTAAAAATAAATTTTTAAATTTTTAATAATGCAAAAAATTTTATAGTATTATAATATTTTAAAATTTAAAAACTATTTAGAAAGCTTACGCGCGCAATATAGTAAAATAATATAAAAATAAAATTAAATAATTTTAAAAAAAAAAAATAAAAAAGCTAAAAGTAGTAGTAATATTATATAAAAAAAAAATTATAAAAAAAATAAAAGTAGTATAATTACTTACTAAAAAGCGCACTATAAAAAAGTGTATAATAATAGTTTAAAAATAAACTACTACACGCGCATAAAAGTAATAAAAAAAAAATTATAATTTTATAAAAACTTTATAATAAAATAAATAAATATAAATAAATAATTTTATATTTTGCAAATTTAAATATAGTAAAGTATTATTATATTATAAATACTAAAAATAGTAATTTAAATATATTATAGCTATTACTGCTTTTATTTAAAACTACTGCACACAGCTGCTAAATTAATTTTTTATAAAAATTTAAATAATATAAATTAATTATAAGTATTTATTTACTAATATTTTAAAAATTTTTATAATAATAATTTTTATTAGTAGTTTTATAGCTTTTTTTTTGCGGATAGGTAACTTTTGTTAAAGTAGTTTATTGGCTGAAACAGTTCATCAGCTAATCTACCTCGGTAAGTTGCTAGTTGCCGGGGGCTAAATATTGGGCATTGAAGATCTGCGCAGGAACAAAGACTCTTGAACAAGCAAACAAAATGATAAACCACCCCCCGGTCAGAAAAACTCGGACACTCACGTGATGCAAATCTGTGGCACAGTCACTTAGCCACAGTAGATTCTTATTCCTATTGGCTTGCATGGACTAGCGTGTCACGTGAGGTGCCCAAGTTTTTCTGACCGGGTGGTGAAACTGTGACTATTGACCCACTTCGCGACTCGAAAAGGGAACGATTGGATACTTGTAGGAATTATTGTTCAATCTGCTTCTTCCTATACCGGCCGCCATAGTTACACTGATGCTGCCAGCTAAAACAAACGGCTTCATAACCGAGTCGCAATCCCTGTTTTCAAACCCTGGTCCGCCTTGTTTTGAAATCGTTTCTTCAAGCACCCACTCACACAAAGGATTATTCGATTGCCTTGACCTTAAGCGGACCGTAGGATGATATGTGAATGACCTAGAAACGTCTATAGGTAAGCTAAAGTAAAGTAGAGCGTCTACATGCAAAACCAAGTTGTAATGCGGGTGAAAGATCAACGTTAGAATTAGCCATGTAGTCTATTGAGTTTCGTTCAAGCAAGACTTCGTTCGTTGTTGTGGTCCCTCTTTCACTCTCGTCCTTGTGTCCCTCTCTTGTCTCGAACCGCGTTACTATTTTATGTATCTGTTATTTGCGCTTTTAGCTGCGGGTCAGTATTCTCTTCTTCAAAATGTCTTGTTTCTCATTTTAAGAGTTACATACCTGCACTCTCTTCGCTATCACTATGGTGGTTGTCCCGTCAGTTCAAGCTTAGGTCTCTGGTAAGATATTTGGTTTTGCTGCCTCTGTTCAGGACGTAGAGGCGTTACTCCGGTAAACGCTGAATACACCAAGGAGTAAGGACACATAACCATTGATAAAGGTTCCGTGTTTACACCAATTATCGTCTTACGTCACTTCTAGGGTGAAGGGAAGGCCTTGTAGGCTCCGGTAAGCATTCTGGATCAGTGTCGCAATCATATGATTTCATGATATTCGGTTTCAGTATGCTTAGATCTCCTCTACTGTTTCAAACAAGAAACCTGTTGACTGAATAAAATCCTGTCTATTGACGCCTGTTGTGGTTCTACGTCGTGTTCAGAGCGCACGGTTACCTTCACTCTGAGCTTATCCCAAAGCTAGCCCTAACTAATATATAACCTTAGCCTACTTACCCAGTTTACCGCGCTATCAACACCGAACCTCAACTAATTTCAAGCCAACGCACAACACGAAGACATCACACAAGCTCCAATCAACAACAGTACCGTCCCGTCACAAACAGCAAAACAGCACGTAATGAGCTTCTCCGCCAGCACTATCCCTGGGGTACCAATCTCCTGCGCGGTCCAAATTCCCGCTCTGCACTCCGAATTCCCCGTAAGCAAATCAACCTAGACACAAGTTATACAAAGCAAATACTGACATCGCACTACAATAGGGCCTCATCGCCATGGGCCCAAGCCGCTCAGAGCGTGATGTCCTCTACCAATGCTGTCACACGCTTCACACTGAGCTGTTCTCCGTGAACGATACGGCATGTCTGCAGACCGTCATGTGCAAGGTGGCTGAGTGCACGCTGAACGATCCGAGCTATGCGTGTGTAGCGCTGCAGAGGGAGAGTTGGAAGATCAACGGAACGTTTGCTTGCCTGAAGGGTTCCAAGGAGAGTAAAGGAGGCACTGTGAAGAGGTTTGGGTCCACATGGATGGTGATTGCGGCTGTGGTGAGTCTGGTGGGCTTCGGTGCTCTATGAAGCGGCAATTGCACTGCTTCATGGCTTGGGAAACGAAGATGAGTTCAAAGGGTTATGGCCTTTTTCGTATTCTCGTATCAGGAAAGTAACAGGAAGTGACGGATGTATGAAGAAACTTCATCTCGATTGCATGTTTTAAATGTGCTTGTTCAACTTCTATATCTCGCTGTTATCTCTATAGCTTCATGGACATCGAGTCAAACATACGGCATCCGATCATTAGATGTATATACCATATGTACTGAGTGCCTATAAAGTTCAGCAATCATTCAATCAAAGGGAGGGGGGGAGAGAGCTTACCAGCCAAACCAGGCGTCAACGCCGTTCTACCTTAATGCCTCACCCGACTAACACTCCTCCTTGTAACCCTCTCATCCACATAACTATCCCTCGGCGTCCTAAGCTCAACATCACTAACTCTCCTCCTGGACACACTTCTTGCCCTTGTAGTACTGCGCCTCGGCTCCTCATAGTACTCGATTGCCCTAGGCTGAGACCGCCTAGTATGGGTGTTAGCGAAGATCACGCCACATTACACGTCAAGACCAGTGTATACTATCTCGAGAGCTTCATGGAGAGAGAGCGGATAGAATACCTATACTCGACATATCGCCCATCATCACTATAGCTTCCTGAGCGTCGCCATTCGCGTGGTAGACGCATGACGCCTGCTGGTGGCTGGGACGTGAAATTTCCACGTCGAGGAGGCGGGTCTAGGACGCCTGGGCCGCGCGTCTCATAGCTTTTTACAAGACACATGTTGACAATTCTTCCTGGTATTCTTGCTCTTTTCGTTGCTCAAAAGTGTAGCTCAGCTCAAATGAGATTCTGAGATCGGTTGCGAAACGTCGAGGATGTGGAAAACGAACGATTGGCCGTACTGATGAAAAGTGAGTGAAGGTTATGATCATTGAGTACTCTAATTGCTCGGAGATGTACAAATAGAAGAAGATATTTGTCGAGACATGGATCAGCCCATTTTCTGAAGGAGTTGGAAAGGCAACTTAGCGGTGGTTGGTGATGATGACGTGTGCCAAGTTCTACCCAGCATGTTCCAAGGTTGTTGTTCGTTCAATCAGCCTTGTGGTGGAGTTTTCTGATATCAATTGGGTGCTTAATTACCTAATTCTTATATCGTGGGGTGGGGTGGGATGGGATAGAAATCGGTGTAGTGTTCATCACGGGCAATATCAAAGCCAAGGAGTCAAAGGAGGGAAATTGCACGGTTCTGGTGTAGGGGGTCATTGTAATGCTACATATAGTACAAGATTTGATTATGCGGATGAGCCGTCGAACTCTGCCTTTCCGTTTTTTATGGTGGCATATCTCACTGTCCCAGACGCATCCGTCGAGGCTATTGGCGCTTTGTTGCCAGCTCCTATTTCCTTGATCTCCTCGTTTATCTTCCGCGATACAGCATCCTGGACTGCACCGGGCGGGCTTTCAGCAATTTCATCGACATCCTTCAAAGTGAGCACATCGCTGAGGCGCGAGGCGCGGGATTGAAGGAGCATTGTTGTCGGGCCTTCGAAGCGGAGAAATAACTGCGCAACTGTCAGTACAAGATATGGTCACTGTAGAACACACATACTCTATCACCCCATATCGTTCGTCGCATCCATGTCTTTAGGGTATGGTATGTTGTGGCTAATGCTCGCCATGTTGCCGTCTCGCTCATGACCCTGAAGAACTTGACATTCTGTGCTAATGACCCAAAACCGAGATCAGGGACCTGGAAGCGCAGGTTGGACGACTTGAAGCGGAAGGGAAGAGGTGGCGTGGATGAGGCAGTGTATGCTACGACATTGCTATGCCTTGTCAGTCACTGGTCGGCATTCCCAGCTTTTCACATACCTAGGATGCGCAACATAGCTCTCCCCAGCCTTGACTTGGACCTGGTAGATCTGACCGCTTCCAGCCAAGGCCAATAGTCCTCGTCCTGTGATGTACGTGTTGCCCCAGTGGGCAATGCCCAGCTTCGCGTTGTATTGCGGCTTCAAACTTAGCGTGTGTCCAGTCCATGCGAGTAGAGCCTGCCGTTGGCTTATGATCCAGTCTTGCCTGCCATCCAGATTGACAGAGACTATGCTCGATATTGGCGACTTGGTAGAAATGAGGGCTGTGACGGGGCTTGTGGAAGAGACCTTTTGGTAGAGAAAGGGAATGCCAACGGGGATGCGTCGGAAGGGCTCGAGCACGGAGAGGGTCGAGAGAGTGTTTTCTGCCTTGCCGCTGAGGGCTACCAGGGTTCCACGGCGCGTGTAGAGGGTCTGTGAAGCGGAGAGGGAGACGGAGAGGAGGGAGAAGGGTGTGCCGATGACTTCGAAACGGGCATCTATAGCGACAAGTCAGGTTTAACATGTCCCCCAGACGGGTCTTGAGCTTACCTGGAGAAGCCATAGGTGCCGCCGAAGCATCGACATTGACCTGGGGCTCCAATGCCGGCTCAGTCGAGGAAGTCGTCGCGGCGATGTTGATGCATCGTGCAGCGAAGGGCGTCGGCCGCGCGGTAGCAGCCCATGTGCGGCGCGCAAGACTCGTCGTGCAAGGCGAGGCAGCCGGTCGGAGCATGACTGTGCCTGTCAATGGGCGCACATTCGAGAGATGCAAAGGGTTGGTCGAGCTTGGAGCTGTGGATCTTGCACTACACTACACTACACTACTACAGTATGATGCAGCCTCGTTCAGCCCTATCTGGCGCAAACACGGCAAACATGCGGGATGCAATAGCTCCCCACTAGGTACTCATCACGAAATCCCGCCCGCCCATCGCACAATCCTTCGACAGTCGCTCCTTTTCTGCCATTAGAGCTCCCTGAAGCTCCGTTTGAGATACCCGAAGCTCCAGACACTCGAACATGTGAGCTTCACCATGTTGCTCCCACCGCTTGCCCGCGCCACCAGCCGACCGGGCCTCCGAGCTCATAGCTTGGGCCTGCGTCCAAACGCCATATACCACGCCACACGAGTCTTCACCTCTTCTCCGCTTCACAGAAAAGATGTCCACGGTCAGCGGCCCACGCCAGCTTCCACGCCCGCCAAAGCAAAGGTGGTCGCAAAGGACCCGCTGCTGCAGGAGCAGCTGTTGACCAACAAAGAGCAGCGCAAGGCCGACTGGGCAATCATGAGAGAAATGTCCCAGTATCTGTGGCCCAAGGACAATCTGGGCACACGCTTCAGGGTGGGCTTGAGTGTGGGGCTGCTGGTGGGCGCAAAGCTGCTCAATGTCCAAGTGCCCTTCTACTTCAAGAGCATTGTCGACTCCATGAACATAGACTTTGTTGCTGTGGGAGGAACAGCGACGACCGTGGCGGGTTCTATGATTGTAGCATGTAAGCCCACCAAGCGCCACAGCCAGTGATCCCACCTTGCCTGAGACTGACCAAACGAGACAGACGGCTTGACTCGTATCGGCGCCACCGTTTCCCAGGAGCTCCGCAATGCCGTCTTCGCGAGCGTCGCCCAGAAGGCTATACGGAGAGTAGCGTGCAGTGTGTATGAGCATCTGCTGAGGCTGGACCTGAGCTTCCACCTCTCCAAGCAGACCGGGGGCTTGACTAGAGCCATTGATCGCGGAACCAAAGGTATCAGCTTCCTGCTGACATCAATGGTCTTTCACATTGTCCCAACTGCCTTGGAGATCTCGCTAGTCTGCGGCATTTTGGTGAGCCGACTCAGACAGATCGTACGCTGCAATTGCTGACAACTGAAGACCTACCAATACGGCTGGCAGTTCGCCGCCATCACAGGCATAACCATGACGGCATACTCGGCCTTCACCATCTTGACTACTTCATGGCGGACCAAGTTTAGGAAGCAAGCCAATGCTGCCGATAACAAGGCGGCTACCGTGGCCGTGGACTCTATGATCAACTACGAGGCAGTCAAGGTACGTTGCTACCCTTCTACCCTCTATTCTGCTAATACCATTGCAGTATTTCAACAACGAAAAATACGAAGTGGGCCGGTACGACAAGGCGTTGAAAGACTACGAGAAAGCCTCCATCAAAGTCGCTACCTCCTTGGCCTTCCTCAACTCCGGCCAGAACATCATCTTCTCCTCTGCTCTCACCGCCATGATGTATCTCGCAGCCAATGGTGTCGCAACAGGCCAACTTACCGTGGGCGACCTCGTCATGGTGAACCAGCTGGTCTTTCAACTCTCGGTACCTCTAAACTTCCTAGGCTCAATGTACCGCGAGCTCCGGCAGAGTCTGCTGGACATGGAAACCCTCTTCAACCTGCAGAAGGTCAACGTGCAAGTCAAAGACAAGCTAGATGCCAAGCCACTCGCCTTGTCTAAAGGAGAGATCAAGTTTGAGAATGTATCATTCGGATATCGACCCGATCGACCTATTATCAAGAACCTCAACCTCACCATCCCAGCAGGTAAAAAGGTCGCCATCGTCGGCCCTAGCGGTTGCGGAAAGTCCACGATACTGCGCTTACTTTTCCGCTACTACGATGCGCAACAAGGCCGCATACTCATCGACGGCCAGGACATCCGCGACATATCACTCGATAGCTTGCGGAGAGCCATCGGTGTCGTGCCGCAGGACACGCCACTTTTCAACAACACTATTCAGCATAATATTCACTATGGCAACTTGGAAGCGACGCAAGAACAGGTCCACGAAGCAGCCAGACGGGCGCACATCCATGAGAGCATCATCAAGTTCCCTGATGGGTACAGTACTATGGTCGGTGAGCGCGGCATGATGATCTCGGGTGGTGAGAAGCAGCGTCTGGCTGTTGCAAGACTGATTTTGAAAGATCCACCGTTCCTCTTTTTCGATGAAGCCGTACGTTCGTCCATACCAACCCACTTGCAACCCTACTAACTCAATCCACAGACATCAGCGCTAGATACCCACACCGAGCAGGCCCTCCTCAACCACATTAATTCACTCGTCAAAGAGAAGAAACGCACATCTATCTTCGTAGCGCACCGTCTCCGCACTATCTACGACTCTGATGTAATCATTGTCTTGAGAGAAGGAAATGTTGCCGAGAGTGGGACGCATCAGCAGCTGATCGACAGCTCAGGACTGTACTCTGAGCTTTGGAGTGCACAGGAGACAATGTTTGCGGATCCGATCCAAGATGAGGATGTTCTCGAAGTCCAGGGCGAGGTCAAGAAGTAGGATGAGGTGATGAAAGCTATATTTGTATACATCCCCAATCAGGTGTGTGAATGATGGGAAAATAGAAGTAGAGATCGCTTGGATCTCGAGTGCAGTGTCATGAGTAGAATCAGCACTTAGCGTAACCAAGCCAGATGCTTACAGCAACCTGTCAACCGGCTTTAGCCACATCAAACCCGCCTCTTTTATGCACCTTACTAATAAACTCGACCGACTGCTCAAAGACCTCCATCCGCTCCTTTTCCAAAACGAATCTTGGTACTGCCATTTAATTAGCAACCGTTCCCATAAAAGTCTCCCAATAGAAAAAACTTACACTCCAAGAACCCGTGGAACCCATTCTCAATCAGCAAAACGTGGGCCTGTCTATGCCCATCGCCGTCATTTCCCATTTCCTTCTTGAGCCGTTCAGCCATAACGAGCTGTTCGTGAAGCAGGATATCAATACCTGCAACGACAAACAGCATATTATCAGGCAAAACTTCCCTCTTCGCCAACGTAGAATGCAATCTCGGGTCCCGCAGATGCTGGGTACGATTCGTCCCGCCGTAGACGTCGTACATGGGCATCAAGAAGCTCAACAGATCAATAGTGGGAAATTTTAATGGCACGGGTTTCTCCTCTGCCTTCAATCTCGCGTCGACTAGGGGGTAGAAACCCACCCACGCCTTTGGGACGGGTAATTGTTTCTGATGGAGGTACTGGCATGCACTGAGCGCCAGGGACCCGCCGACGGACGAACCGCCGATAGTGAAGAGCGCTGGATCCACCCCGAAGTCCTTTGCGTGGGTGATGAGATACCCGACTAAATCGTCGATGTCGTCGTGTGCGGCCGAATACAAGTAGCGCGGCGTAATTCGGTACGTGAGTGAGATGACGACAGCGCCGGTTTGATCGGACAGATATGCACACCATCTCGTGCCATGCTCCGGGCTCCCGCCTATATACCCACCACCGTGTATATCTACATGAAATGGTTTCAAGTGCCTGTCCCCTTCTACTATCGAGGTAAGGGTCCTGGCTCGAGACGGTTGATACACTAAACACCTCTTCCTCCCACTCCTCGTGGGCACATAAATCACGCTATACCTGTTGTTGAATAACCATGTCGGCGCTGTGATAAGTGCAACGAAGAGGTTGATGGGTTGAAGGAGGAGTGTGCGCCAGCGTTGCCAGAATGGAATGGTGGAGAAGATGGCGTCGTACGTTGGGTAAAAGAGGGGTGGGAGTATCGAAGACTTTGCGCGGATAAATTGTAGGGCCATGAAATTACTTGTCACTATTTGATCAGGATGTGGCTTCTTCCCCTTTTGTTTCCCAAGTGGGTACTGGTATACCGCGAGGTCTGGTTGTTAACGAAGGGCGGGACTTGCGATTAGTGCGAGATGGAATGGAGACAGATACGGAAGGGCGTGGACTCGTTTATTTGATACACAATTGTATCAAGTGTTGCCTGATGTTGTTGTGCAATGCGAAATACGAAGGTAGTTGCCCACACCTCGGGGCCTGTGCCTGGCGTAACACCGGCACTAGGTAGTTTGCTCCGATGTTACACAATGCACACGGAAATCGTAGGAGTGCATATATGTTGGATATTAGCGAGTATCTGATCGCTATATACCGCACCTAGTACGTATCTTACCCGCCGATTAAAAGCTCTAATCATTTTCTGACCAGATCTAGAGTCTGCTTATTATTGACTGCTCAGCCTGAAGCCTTCACTGCCTACTCCGCTAGCCTAGCAGCGGACTTGACCTTCTCCTCAACGCTCAGACGGGCAAACTTGGGATTTTTCGCAACAGACTGCCAAATCTCACCGTGTCTGGGTTCCGCCATGGCAGCTTTGGAGAGTACCTCCCCTTTCTTCTCTTCGGTGCCATGCTGCTCCAAGAATTTGTAAAACCAGATCCAGCCGTCAGCGTAGTCAGGGTCCAACACGATAGCTTTCGTGAACCACGATGCTGCCTTGTCTAGTTTACGCTCTGACCAGAGGATCCGAGCCACGACAACAAACAATTGTGGATCTTTCTCGACTTTCTTAATCGCTTCAAGCGCTCGTGGTCTGCGCTGGGTGCGCGACTCCAAGTGCATGATCTTCTCCGCCCACAGAAGGCCTGAATTGGGACACTCCTGGAGCGCGGTGGCCATGATCTTCTGGGCAGCGGGCACGTTGTTCTGCCGGCGTTCGAGACGGACTGCTTCACACAAGAGCTCGGCGTTCTTGGGATTCTGTTGCCTGCCGCGGTCTAGTGTTGAGCGGGCTTTGACGACTGCACCTTGCTTCTCTTGTATCCGGGAGAGGAGGATAAAGAGCATTGGTGACTTCGGTGCTGCACGAGTGCCAATGCTGAATGCCTCTTGCGCCTCCTTGAGCTTTGACAACTGCTCGTATATCTGACCCTTGATGGCATGTAGTTTCCAGCTACCAGGCCAATTCTGCAAACCTTGATTGCAGATGTCAATCGCAGCCTCATAGTTTTCTAATTGCCGCTCGAGGACGGCAGACTTCATGAAAATCCGGTCGGTAGCAGCCGACTCCCGAGCGACCTGCAGGAAGCTGCGAGCCTGCTCGTAATTGCCAGCGTCAACCTCGAAGTCAACCGCTCGGGTATAGAGGTTCTCGTTGCCCGGTAGTTGTTCGAACGAGCGGCCCAAAACCTTACGAGCTCCTTCAGGGTCTCCTGATTGCCACATCTCTCTAGCGTAGAGCAGCCAGAGCGACTCTGAATTCGGACAGGCGTTAACCGCGTGCTCAAGAACACGGAGCAGGGAATCGGCAGTGCCATGGTGCTTCTCAAGGTCCGCAGACGCATGCCAGACTGTTGTTGAGTAAGGAAAGATTGAGACGGCGTGTCCGAGAATAGCACGTGCAGTTTCATACCGTCCGCGACCGGATATGCTCTTGGCGTCCTCAAGCCATGTGTCTCGTCGTTCGTCGTCTTCGTCGAGACCCCAGCCCACAGTTCTCTTGACTATCGAGGCCGCAGTTGCCTTGTCGCCTTCTTCTTCGCAAATCTCAGCCTGTGCCAACCACTCCTCGCGTTTAATCATGGCATTTTCCTTGATGAGCGCCTTTACGGCACGCTCCATGATCTTGTCGCAAAGTTCGATCTTCCCTAGCTCTTCTTGCAACCTGGACGCATGTACCCAAATCGCCCAGCTGGTGGGTATAGCTTTGCGTGCTCTGTTCAAGACCTGCTGAGCTGCATCAGCGTCACTTACGCGCGCGTAAGAGATCCACAGTTCCTCGGAGAGAGGTACTGTCTCTGTAGCTTTGGCGAACAATAGCTTCACATTCTCAATGTCTTCCGTGTCGTTGATCAATGTCTTCCAAAGCTCGACTGACTGCGGGTTGTGATCCAGTGCTTGTCGAGTGACCTTTTTCCTGGCAGCTGGCGTTTGCTCGAGATCAATGGCCGCTTGCCATAGCTTGATGGCCTTCGGGTTGAGTTTGATACCATTTGCTGCGATAATCTTTGCGTTGTGGATGCTCTCCCGATTGAGGCGGATAGCTTCTTCCCATACGACGATCGACTTGGGACACATTTCACAGCCTCTTTGTATGACTTTCTTTGCAGTGTGAATCTTGCCAGCCACCTCTTCTAGCCGTGCAAGTGCAACGTAACCAGGCCCGTTGTGTACGTTTGTCTTTACAGCCGACTCGAGCAGGACTCGGGCGCGGTTGATGTCCTCGACTGGGACCTCGTCACCTGTTGCTTGCTTTCGGTCCAATGCCGTGATGTATCCTTTCGGGTCGACTGAGGTCGCTGTTCCGGATGTTGTCGTTTGTGTGCCAGGGTTGGAGGCCGCCGAGTCCAGCCGCACTGTCAACGCAGACAACTGTGCAGCTCCAATAGAAGCGAAGTTCGTCATGGTTCCCGAATCGGCATCATTTGAAGATATCGACGTATCAAGCTCCCCGGATTTGGACGCTGCTTGCAGAACGCTGTCCGGTACAGCATATGACCGTGAATTTGCCATGCGAGCCTCTCGCGCACGCTTCGCCCTTCCCGTCATGTCTCCTACTTCAGGCAACGCAGCCCATTCTTCTTCAGATACGGAGCCGAGTGCTCGTTTCAGGTCGGCGAATTGTAGCTGGATCTTCGGATTATTTTTCTCGTAATCGTCGCGTTCTTGCTGCTCGCGAGCTTCCCTAGGTCGGACATCGGTATCTGTTCATGGAGAAAAACACGATGAATACCGCGACAATAAAGATGGAGGGGAGGGGCATTAGGAGAAACAAAAGGGGAGTACTAACCTTCGAGCTCTTCGCCGTTTGTCCATCTTCTCATCTACCTCCTGGTATATGCGATCTGCCTCATCGTCGTCCTTGTCGTAGTTCATGCCACTCGAAAATAGACCGACTTCATTGTCAGGGTCCTGGAACCGGTCCTCTTCTTCGTCTTCCTCCTTTTTCTCTGTCACACCGTACGCAGAGGGAGCTGCCTGACCCAAAGACGCCGCGCGTTTTGCTAGCATCTCCTTCATCTGCTCCTCTGAAGGTCCCTCACGAGCCGGACCCAAATCGCTTCGAGTCGTGAACCCAGTGGCACCACGCCCGAGACCAGCCACATAGTTCTCAGGCGCGGGCATAGATAAGAAGTCGCGTCGTCCGCTCATTCTGGCGGTATGGGCCTCTCAACTATCGACGTGTGGTGGTGATCTTGCCGCAGCCCGAAACCGTTGCTGGGCTCTGCAACACCCTCTGTTATTTGTTCAACTGGACCGGGTATTGCTCTCTCCGACGGGGACCGACGGGTAAGTCAGATTGCGAAGGTGCAATAGCTTGGGCTACGGAGGTTTACAAGCAGAAATGTGGGATGGGAGGTGGTATGTGAGAGCAAACGCATCAGCACATTCTGTAAAGTTAGGCTGTCGCGTATCACGTGCCCGATTAAAGCTTTGGAGGTAATCGGCGCTAACCCAAAAGGTAGTTTTGCGACAAGCGACTCCCAAGGTTACTTATTACTTAGTTCGGAGATTGCAGTATATTTAAAAGCAACGTGACCTATATTTATGATTGCTAATGATCTTGTTACGGCTCATGTGAATCTTAGCATCAGGGCTCCAGCTGCGTTTGAAGTGCCCATTGACATTTCCAAGACTCGCCATGTGCACCCCAAAGTCTTCCTTTCGTGAGTTGCCATGTTACTCTATCAAGATGGGCTACATGCCAGGCCGATTTGCTCTCGCGTATGTTATCAACATCTTCGTGTGTCGTGAAACATATGATAATCACCGTGGCGACAAGGGCGCCTTCCCATTTGCTGGGTTTAGTGCTTGAGACTGGTCTGCGGCGTTGGGTGACAAGGGCGGTACTGGTGGTGCGGGTTCTCGGATCGCCATGTTCGTCTTCAGGTCTTTTGCACTACGAGACGTCAGACTACGCGCAATAACTGACCAGAGTCATCTTACCTTCTCGACTTTTTGAGCCCACCGATCCACTTCTTGAGGCTCCTACCCGTAGACGATCGTTGTACCTGTTGCCCGCGGACTTCATCCACCTGACCAACACTGCTTCGTTGGCTAGTCGGACTGAACTGGCTGGCTTCCGGTGTTGTGTCGTCGTCTTCGTCGTCCAGTGGTGGTGCCCACCTCTCCACGTCCCCGTTGACCACGACGAACCAGCCCAGTTTCGCTCCGGGAGCGACCTTGTCCCTCAGGTCTGCAATAGCTGCCCATTGTTCTTCCCCAAGACCGTTCCCTCGGATGTCGTCTACATCCACACCGAGTTGGATGTGGTGCACGATGTCGCATACGTATGCGTACGGCTGGTCTTTGACTGTGATATCTTCAGGGTCGTATTGCTCGATGAAGCGGAGGCCGGGCAGTTGGGCCAATTGCTCGGGCCACTGGTCCTTGAAGTTTTTAATCATGCAGGCTGTGGTTGCGGGCGCCATAAGCCACTCTGGCGCGGCATCGTCGAGGTTCTGGAGGATGACGTGGATGCGTATTTGCGCCCGAGGCCAACGAAAGCCGTGAACGAGCCACGTAGGCATCTTGGAGGCTACTGTCGTGAGCAAAGTCGCTTCGTGAGGATAGATGAGCGCAACCGTAGAGACCACTAGAGAAAGAAAAGCAAGACGCCCAAGATGCCGTGGGGCCCGTCCTGCTGGTCGACTGACGTCCCGGCCTGTGTTTTCTGTTTGGAGCTTAATTGCCTGTAACTACTGGATCGCGTCCTAAGAGGACTTTTTCTGTCCCGTCGTACATTGGCCTACATCAAGCAAGCCCTGTGGTCTAGTCGAAGGTTGAGAGATGGCCTGGAGCGAGGTGGTTGGGCGGCTGCAGCTCCAAGCTTGCGGCTTCCGGCTCCATGACAGATTCGGAGAAGACAGCAGCGATCTATGCTGGCGCGCCCGGATTGCCTAATTGCGGGGAGGCCTTGGAAGGAGGATCCATTTATGACCATTCATCTATTCCCTAGACGGGTTGACCTCTCCCACTGACGCTAATGCGGGTCCAAGGCTCCCCGTTCGCGTCCCGCCACTACCTTGTACTCGCTGCTCACTCACTCACTCACTCACTCACTCACTCACTCACTCCAACACGCGCCATTGAGGGTTAGCCGTTGGTGCCGGCTTCCTCCTTTCACCGAGCGCCAGATACAAACGTCAGCATGCCTCTGTACGTCACCCTACGGTTGAACCCCGTTCTGCAGTCGCTGACGGATGATATACAGACACTTGTTAGGCAAAAAGGTACTTGAAGCAGACAATTCTCTACAGTCCGTGTCCTGACCTCACGCAGTCATGGAACGTCTACAATGCCGACAATATTGCGCGAGTCGAGGCCGACGAGGCCGCCGCCACCGCCCGTGAAGCCGCCGATGAGCAGCGCATGCAAGAGCTCGATGCCGAACGACGCGCCGCCATACTTCGAGGGCGAACCCCTCCACCGCTGCCCGACGAAGATGCGGTTAAGGATGCTGGTCGGAAAGGGGACCAGGACAGAGGTGCTCGCGGACACGACAGGAAGCGGAGGAAACTTGTTGGCGAGGACGACACGGCCATGGAGATCCGACTGGCGACATCCATCACAGCTCAAAAGGACGGGGCCAACGAGACTGCGACCATCTTGAAGCTCCGAAATATCTCGAGCGACGCTCCGCTGACCGACCATGCGGGCAACATTGACCTGTTTCCTGTGGAAATCAAGGCCGCAACACAGCGCGAGAGGAATGCAGAGGCTGAGAAGGAGGAGAAGAAGAAGAAGAGGAAAGAGCGGGCTCTCGAAGATCAGTACACCATGCGTTTCTCAAATGCCGCCGGTTTCAGGCAAGGGCTGAGCCAGCCATGGTACGCAACTGGCCAGAAGCCCTCGCAAGAAGCCGAGGAGCGTAAGGACGTTGTCGCGTATGAAGGCTTCGAGAACAAAAACGTGTGGGGCAACGAAGATCCGCGACGCAAAGAGCGGGAAATGGCACGTATAACGACCAACGACCCATTTGCCTTTATGCAGAAAGCGCAAGCTCAGCTAAAGAGGTCCAAAGAAGACAAGAAGAAATGGACAGAGGAGCGCGACCGCGAATTGAGAGAATTGCGAGCAGCCCAAGAGCGAGAAGACAGGAGAAGCAGGCATCACAAGAGGAAGAGGCGACGCGAAGACGACTACGAGGACCGCAGGTCGGCCGGTCTTGGACATGGCATGGACAGAGATGGGACTTCTCGGCACACTGTTTGCCATAGAAGTCGAAGCCGCAGTCAAGAGCGGCGTGAGAATGGACTTGGCACCATAGAGGGCAGAGTCGTAGCCCACGCGGATCGTCAGCATAAGAGTCGGGACTCATGGCGTGATCGAAAAAGCCGACGCCCCAGAAGTCTGAACCGCGAGGATCGAGATAGAGACTTGGTTTCGCGTATCGTAAGGAAATGATCATAAAAAGTTGCGCGGGCAATACAGTCGAAGCGGCCCGAATCTTCATGTCGTATGGAAGTTTTTTCAAGTCATTATTATACCCAATTCACAACTTCAAGGCTCAGCGCCCAAAATTCAGTTTTAAACTCCAATTTGCCAATCCCACTTCCACTCTCCATCCGCTTTTCAAGTCGTCACTCCAATGCAGTGCTCGAAAACTCGCGATCGCATTCATCGCATCGGACTCGAGCAACGAGACAAGCTGACCCAGTTGATTAGGGCCTTGGTTTCTCCTCGCCATGCGGGCAGGCAGCACTGCTTTACAAGCTTGATCTCCAAGGTGACCAATGGCTATATATATTATATAGTTTTGATATATCACGAATCGATATTACATAAAAATAAGTTACTTAAAAGCCGGTAAACCCCTCTACCAGAGATCATACAAAAAAGCGTAACAGAAACTTGATCAAAGACGCTGGTTCTCGTTGGCTGTCGGCTGGTCGATGCACGAGCTCCGACTCGCTCCGTATGATTTCCAGTGTTGAGCTCCAGATTTCCTCTTTCGCATTGTTCGACCCCAGTCAATTTCTTGATTGCACTCGAGCACCATGGCGTCCAACCCCATGCAATGGTGTTGCGTTGTTGGCGTGAAGCATGATGGCACTCCCAAGGGGCAGCTCAAGAAAATTGGCGATAGTAAACATTTCCCATCCGCCGTATAGGCATTGATACGTAGGCTAACTGCACACACAGTACGCACATAATTTACTTACCCAGAAAACGGCAGCACCCAGAACGCCGTGCTCATCATGACCGACGTCATAGGCATGGACTTCCCCAACGTGCAGCTCATTGCCGACCAATTCGCTACCAACGGCTATTTCACCGTGATCCCTGATGTGTACGCCAAACCCTCAAACTCACCACATCCACTATAAGTACTCATTTCAGCCGGCCCCTAGTTTCAACGGCAACGAATGCCCCTTCCCAACACCCGAATCGTTCGATCTGCAAGAGTATTTCAAGACGAAAATACCGGGAGTACCCCAGGTGGATCCCATGTATGAGTCAGTCATCAAGCATCTGCGCGAGGAGTTAGGTGTCAAGAGGCTGGGAGGCGTGGGTCATTGTTTTGGTGGAAAGTATGTGTGTAGGTGGTTGAAGGAGGGCGCATCCAAGTTTCGTCGACGCAGACGAAGTCTGGGGAATCAGAGGACCGCTTTCAATCGCCGCGGCAGGTGCGTATCGTATCGACTTTTACTTTTATCGGAATGTGTCATTCTTCAAGAGATACAAGTGCTACCAAACACGAGAACAGAGCCTGACCGTCTGTGCAGAAACTGATTTCATCTTCTCCACGGAGAAGCGTTGCGAAACAGAAGACATACTCAAAGAGCATACCGTACCGTATCAGGTGTTCCTGTATTCGGATGTCGAGCATGGTTTTGGCGTCAAGGGCGATCTCTCGCACGCCAAAGCCAGGTTTGCGAAAGAGCAAGCATTCATGCAGGCAGTGCATTGGTTCGATGAATATGTCAAGAAAAGGTGACTTAAGATCTATCGTATGTTGAGTTTTGTCGACCTGTTGTTCAATTTTCGTCACCAGGAACGTTGGACATACGAAGGCGTGGAAGGTCGCACGTCGAAATGCCAGCGGCCACCAGTAGTGAGAAATGCTATATGTTGGGTGCTGAAGATGCCCGGTTGTCGTCCTGTTGATGATGGTAATGCATAGGAGCAGTGGGTAGTTGATCTATCAGAACGCATTCCGTGTTCGCGCTTGTTGTACCTTCCACGGCTACTTTCGCAGTGTTATAAGTTGTGCTGTGCGAGTATCCGTTCCGGCTACGTTGACGAGAGCCACTTCCTCAAGTCTCGTCGTTCGGCTGAGTAGTTGGCGACTCAGCAGGACTCGGCTCTTTCGATATTTGTTCGATATTTGCTGTGACCTTTGAAGCCCATGGTGGCTCGCCATCCTCGTCAAACTCAGCCCATTGAAAGAACCCACAACCATCTCGACCGGGAACGTAGTTTGTATGACACATCCACATGTACCGGCCTCTCGACTCTTTCTTCCGGGTTGCACACCTCAGTACTGTCGGCACGCCGCAATTGCATTTCGGTGTGGACTTCGGGTGGAGACTATCTTTGTAGAATCGATAGGTGATATTGAGCCGCTTGTTCTTCGCCAAAGGATGCGGATCGATGGCTTGCGCCGGTGCGATGGAGTGTTTCCATTCTTCCTGCATCTCGGCGTGCATGACGAGCAGCGAGTTGTGCGGGAGATGGATCGATATCTGACCTTGGGCGTCGGCTAACGAGCCATCTATTTTTCGGTGTGTGTCGTCTTCAGCAAGGATCCTGCGTACACGGAACTCGCGGGCTACTCCAAGACTCAGGCTACCAATTACTGCTCGAGGACCGAGATAGGTGAGTTGGTCAGCATGGAAGCCCACGTTCTCTTTTGGTCCGTCATAGCAGTTCACGAAGGCGGTGTTGGCCTTCCAAGGTTGAGGTGACTGGTATTTGAGCTTCTTGCGGCCAGGATAGAAGTCACGGATCCGTCGTTGGATCTCACGGTTCACGGCATCCTCAACCTGCGGACATGCCTTGAGCATCTCTGGCGTACTCTGTCGGACGTCCTACGAGCCATCAGCAGTAGGAACTTAGCCCCTATATCTACGTGACACCTACTTCAACTTGACGTCCATCATAAATGTACTCTGTCTTCTGCTCTTCCGCCTCGACCAAGCTATTGACGTAAAAGCAAAACGTGTGTGGGCTCCAAACAACTTTGTCGAACAGCTTAAACTCCAAGCTCTGATAGGTAGGCGCTTCCTCCATGAGTTGTAGCAGTAAGGCATCTGCCTGCTGTGGCGGTAGAAAGTTGTGGATGATCGAGCATGGTGTATGTGCCTCGATGTCCTGCGGGCTGTACAGGTATAGGGTTTGACCCTTCCGGACTAGAGATTTCCTTGCTGGCCCACTGCCTTGAGGTGCGATTCGGTATACACTGAGCGATGACTGGTACCCAATTGTCGAGGGAGCACGTCGTTTTCTCGGAGACGTCAGGCATTTTGCAGCTTGCTCTACCGATCCCTCAGAAGCAAGAAGGGCTTCGAGCAGCGTGGTTTCGTCCAGACTCGGATGCAGAGACGCCAGTAGAGCTAGCTTGAAATCTGTGGGCTCTTCCTCTTGTGGTGTGTTGTTTGGGAGTGGTACCAAAGCTGGCGCCACGGTAGGCTTCTGTCCTTCTTCGACCCGCCTTCGCTTCCGCGAGACGAACGCGTCCATGGTGCAAGTTGGAGTTGCAAAGGGTACGCATAATGTGCATTAACAAGGCAGAGACGATGCAGAGTGGCGACACGACGGGTTCCCAAACACGACGCGCTTCCACGTGACATGAAGCGGGCGGGAATGCCCCGCTGCACGCACGACGCTCCAGCTGCCTCGGCGATTCACAATCGTCATGCCGCACCAGTGCTCCTCCTCGACACCAGCAGCGTCGTCACCTGTCTACGAACGATGACGCGAATCTACGCGCCCTAGTCTCCAAGCCTTGAATCATTCTCATAGCTTCACACTATGCTCGAGTTCCGAACGCAGGGCTACAATGGCTACAGCGTCAAGTACTCGCCCTTCTTCGATTCGCGCATAGCCGTCGCAACGTCAGCAAACTTCGGGCTGGTAGGCAATGGAAGGCTATACATACTAGGTTTGACGGCAAATGGCATTGTCGCAGAGAAGTGGTGAGTGCATTCTACGCACATGCACACCCACGCAACACTGACAATGCCCACCATAGGTTCGACACACAAGACTCCCTCTTCGACAGCACCTGGTCCGAAGCCCACGAAAATCAAATCCTCACCGCAGGCGGCGATGGCTCCGTCAAACTCTTCGACATAACCCTCTCCCAATTCCCAGTCCAGTCGTGGCAGGAGCATGCTCGCGAGGTCTTCGCCGTACACTGGAACCTGGTTGCGAAAGACACCTTTTTGTCAAGTAGCTGGGACGGCACAATCAAGATCTGGAACCCCAACGCTGCCCAGAGTATAACGACGCTGCCGACGCATAGCTGCACCTACTCGGCAGCCTTCAGTCCACACAACGCGAGTGTGTTGAGCAGCGTAAGTTCGGATAGCCATCTGAGAGTGTTTGATCTGAGGACGCCTGCGAGTGCGAGTAATCATCTCACCATGAGCGTCCCGATTCATACCCCGCCGAAGCCGCGCATGGGCACTGCTGCACCAGTTGGCGTACCTCCTGCAGAAGCTCTAACCCACGACTGGAACAAATACCGGGATTCCATCGTTGCTACGGCGGGTGTGGATAGGATGATACGAACTTTTGACATTAGAATGCCGCAGGCTGGACCGATTGCTGTATTGCCGGGGCATGAGTATGCAGTGAGGAGGGTTACATGGTCGCCGCATCTATCCGACATACTGCTGAGTGCGAGCTATGACATGACATGTCGTGTCTGGACAGACGGTAGCGCCATGGGCGTAGGGTCGGTAAAGCAAGAGAACATGCTGGAGGATCCCATGTTCCATGGAGGTGGGAGAGAGATGGGCAAGATGGGCCGCCACACCGAGTTCGTAACAGGCGTTGATTGGTGCTTGTTTGGTGCGGAAGGCTGGTGTGCCAGCACGGGATGGGATGAGAGGGTGCTGGTGTGGGACTGTAGGGCTGTCATGCAATGATGATCGTGACGAGTCTATGACGAGAAAACGAATAATGTCCGAAACAACTCATCAGGGATGCCGACATGATCTAAGAAATGATATTCTTCTCAACGCTGCCTTCTCCTCAAACAATGAGCTATAAATGGACAAGAAGCCTAGGAACCGTTGATGGTCCAATATGCCAAAACCAAACAGGGTATCGTCCCAGATCCAACACCATCAACACCCATTTCATATTTAATGCGCCACCCGTAATGCCACAATAGTGGCCCGAAACCAAGCTAGGGCGCCGTGAAATGCAACACTAACGACGGAACTCCTTGCCGCGTCGTTGGAAACCTGTCCTCTGTGCTCACAGATCCCCCAAATTCAACACATCATCGAGGGCAGTGTCCATCTCCGCGATGTCTTGCACACTGCCGCCCTGCCAGTTCAGCCCTAGGTCGTCGTCGATCTGCATTGGATCTCCAAAGTCGACGTTCCAGGTTTCACCAGTCACTGAATGGCGACGCCCATTCGAAGAAGCACCATTGACGCCGTTGGTAAGCCCTCCATTCGTCAGCGGTCTCGCTATCGGAGTCTCGTATATCTCTTCGATGCCCTGCGTATCCAGGAATCGACTGTTCATTATGGCCCCGGCGGTCAAGGGCGTCTGTCCAAGGTACGAATCACCTAGCACGAGAGCAAGCCGCAAATCCTCCATACTCAACAGCTTCCTTTTCCGCCTCTCCTCGCTCTCACTAGGCAACTCCCCTCCAGCGCCTCTCAACAGCTCGCCCCTTTCCACCATCCGCTCCTCCCTCTCCACTTTCTTTTTAAACTCTCCGGTCCGCACGTACCCTGCCCCATTCGCACTTACTTTTCCGAGGAGGTTGGCCAAGGCTTCTTTGATGTATGTTTCGGTAGCGATGTTGAGGTAGTCAGGGCAATCGGGCGTGTGACCTTGCGGGAGCCCGAATTCATAGCAGATGGGGAGCAGGCGGTAAGATATTGTGGTGCTGGTGGGGAACTCGTGGGTTTCGACGTAAAGGGCCGAAGTGTAGCGTTTGCGGATCTCGAGGTCCCAGTCTATGCCAATGTTAGTATACCCCTATGCATTCCGAGGAGAGGGGTGTGTACGTACTCGTCTTCCCGAATCCACCGCCTTGTGTGCTACCCGGCCCAACCTCCAGCTGTTTGACTCGTCTCGCATCGACATACTCCTGCACCGGGCCCAGCGCTCCTACTCCCGCCGGGCCTGGACCCTCGCTTCCCATGTTGGCGCCTCCATCGCCCGCCGGTATAGTCTTTAGGCGTTTCCTCTCCCTCCTGCTCAATTGCATGACCTCATACTTTAATCTCTTCTCGCTCTCATCACCTGTACCCTTGATGGTCCCGCTCGTCGGCTTGTCACTGCTCGACACCCAACTCGCAATGCCCGCCTCCGGTGCGTCGCGCCATATGTTCGCATAGATTGCTGTAAATAGAGCGTTATGCGCGTGCTCGAGAGCTGGGGTGGTCAGAATCTTGGAGAGCTTGAATGTGAGCTCTTCCTGGTTCAAGTTGCCCAACAGGAAGAAAGATAGCGCTTTTTTGTAGATAGTCCAATCTGCGTCGCTGATTGCGCCTTTGACGGCAGCGTATAGAGGTTCGACATCTATTCGAGGGGTTCGTGGGGCGGAGGGCTTCTTTGCAAGGTCTGTTTGCAGACTTGAGAGGCCGGGGAGGGAATGGGAGGATAGTGTCGGGGTCGTCGAGACATTCATATCGTTTGGCCGTATTGTGCCTGCCATTATGGCGGTATATATGCGCCGTGGGCGCGCTCAATGGGCTGCAATGCGTGTGGTGTTTGCGCGCCTTAGGTTGAGTTGAGCTGAGATGCGGGCCGAAGCGTGATGGCTGTGGAGATGCGGAGGAGGGCGCGAGGGCGCGAGGGCGACGGAGGGTGATGCACGGTTGTAGGAAGGCGGCAAGTTGATCGCCGACGTCACCGGTAGTCTTCTGCAATGGCGCAGACGTGTAATAGGCGTGGTGCGAGGCGTGCGCTGATGGAAAGGTCGCGTCGTGGGTAGCCAGGTGAGGTTGGGTGGAGGTCGGAGGTATTGCGGACTTCACTGCCGAGAGCATCTTGGGGTACGGACCAAAGAACATGCGCCCAAGACAATGCAACGACTGAGACACTTCAACGGCTCGAGCCATTTGACACAAATCAAGTTGACTTGCACCATCTCTCCGATTTCATCATTCTGAGACTCCATGTAGGTAGGTAATCATGATTTGATGCATTGCGCCGTCCCAATACTCCACACCTCATGCAATCGCTTTTTATACCACATGTCTGTGACTTCTTCCAAATATATATAAGCCCGTCATGCTTCCTCTCGTACCTAGTTCTCTCCAAACACATCCCCCAGCTCAACCTTGCCCACACTCCAAATCTCCCTCTCATCCTCCATCTCATCGCTCGACAAACCCAATCCACCTGCACCACCCTCAGCCTCCTTCCTCTCTCTAGCCTGTCCAGCCAACCGTAGCGCCACTCTCTTGAAGTAGTCCCCCATGCTGCGCTGCTGGCCAGCCGACAAACCCTTGCCCGGCCCGGCCATGTACTTGTCGAAGACGGCGCTCTCCTCATCCACTACAGAGAAGATGGTGAGGAAAGTGGCTTCTGCAGAGAGCTTGACCGGAATGACGGGGTCGCGGACCGAAGCGAAGACAGGAGGTATAAGGAGCGGGATGTGCGGGCGGACAAGCTCATTATGCTCACGGGCGACGGTCCGGAGCACTACGAGCGCCAGGCGTCTCGTGTCAACGGGATGACCAGGCTCTATGACTGGTGCCAGAGCCTCGAAGATTGGCTTTGTGTGGTCGAATGCCATGGTCGTCTTGTCTCCGAGGAGGTACTTGCCAGCTGCTAGCACCGCGTTGTCCGAGATGAAAGGCTGTGAATGTGCAATGCCTTGGCAAATGACGGAGACAGTCTCATCAGCGAACGACTCTGCTAACGCTTCTGGGGCATCGAGCAAGATAGCGTTGAGGGCTAGAACAGATGCTTTGTTGAAGTGAGTCGTAAGCACACGAGATTTGAGTAGGCCGGCGGCGATGTCTTCAGGAAGGCAGCTGATCAGGGCGCCGAGCAGGCGGGCGTTTGTGATTGCCATAGCGTCTAGCAACAGGTCAGCTCATGCTTGAAAATTGAAACTTGAAACAAGAGAGATGCGTACCATTAGAGTCGTCAGCTTCCGTATCAATGAGACTAAGAATCGCGTTCCTGCTCGACTCGTTCATGTTCTTCCCGGCCTTGCTTACCACTTCAAACAAGGCTTTTAGCATAGCAGTCTTAACAGCCTCATCAGCGGTCTTGGAACCAGTCACAAGTTCTGCGATGAGAGGGTCAACCCTTGGCGTGAGCTTGATCAGGGTACCCAGTGCCTTGGCTGCTCGCGCTCGCAGAACATCGGACGAAGTATCAGCAAGCGACTTCGCAAAAGTTCGCTGAAGCTGCGGCAAGAAAGGCTTGAGAAATGTCGGAATCTTCTCCAGCAGATTGTTGAGTGTGAGAAGGATGGCCGCTTTTACCTCCGTCGATCGCTCCGTGACGACACGAATGAGAGGCCCAGTGATCTGAGTGACAAACGGTTGTAGTGCTTTGGCGCTGGTGCGATCAATGATGTCTGAAATAGCCAGAGCAGCTTGTGTTCGCTGGTCGACAGACCCGTTCATGAGACCTTGGAGGAAGATAGGTAGAATGGCATTGATACCCTTCGGTAGTGAGAAGCCGGGAAGATCTGCACCAGCGACACCAACCTGGTTAAGCGTCTGTCGCGTGGAGACGACAAGAGACTCCATCTCCTCTTTTCGCAGGCGTTTGGTGGTGAGCGTGCTGAGAGCGGTCCAGGCCGCCTTGATGACCTCCTTGTCGCTATCGTCAAAGGAGATTAGGAGTGCGCGAATAAGATCAGGGTAGTATCTTGAGAAGTCGACTTCTGATTCGGCGAAAAACTTGGCCAGATGCATGTCGGCTCGCGCCCGTCTCCGCTCGTCGTCGTGCTTAGACAAAGCGAGCATGACACTCATAGCAGTGTTGAGACCATCGTACTCATCCACAGATAAGAGCACCTTGTCAAAGGACGACTCCAGCTCTGACTTGAGTTCATCATCCTTGGAAGTGATGATGTTGTCCATGATGGTATTAAGGATGTTTGGTAGTCTTCTCGTCATTGCGGAGCTAGCTACTTCAGCCAGGGAAGCAATAGCCCGGGCGTTGAACGCGGACATTGGCGAGGTGAGGAGGGTAGGGAGAAGGTTTGGTAGAATGATGTTCGAACGTGCTTGGTCCGTAAGGAGAGTGAGGAGTGCAGAAAGGGCGTTGTGAGCATCGTCTTCGCCACGCAGTAGATTGAGTAGGTATGGCAAGACTTGGTCGACGGCCCTCTTGCCGAGAATTTGTTGCAGGGCATCGAATGCTTCCGCAGCAGCTTCTCGCACGTCGACATTCGGGTCTACCAAAGCAGTCCTCACTACTTGGATCAACGTCTTTTCGTAATCCTCTAACTGCTCGGGTGAGGCAGAAGCAATAAGCTCGCGGAGAGCAATGCAAATACCTTGCTTGGCATCGGTATCGGTGGTGTGCAGACCCTCTTCTAGAGTGGGTAGCAATGTGGCTAGAACGCCGTCGCCAGCTTTTCGGATAAGCTCTCCAAGAGCATTGCCGGCAATGACCTTTTGCTCCATGTTTGAGCTTGCCAGGCGACGAATGAGAAGCTGGGTAAGCGTAGGGACCAACTCGCGTAACGTGCGTGGAGTAGCCACCAATGCTTTCCAAACATTGATGGCTGCGGTGCGGACCAGACCAGATGTGTCGCACCTGCAGATATACAGCGCGGACAGAACCTTGTTTCGCTTCTCTTCCCCGAGGACCTCCAGAAGAGACTGACCGGCCTCTTTTGCTCCCTCCTCGACCTCCTCTTCCTCGACCTTGCCGCTGATGCCAGTAAGGTTGAAAAGCAGGTCTCCGACAAGCTCCACGGAGCTGAGACGAATACGGTGGCTATCATCTGCAAGCCCCCTCTCTAGCTCTGGCAGTAGAAGATCGATGGCTTTGGTAGCAAAGTTCTTGACCAAGAGGCGACCGGCACGCAGAGCGGTGTCTCGTATTGATTCTACGTCGTCTGCGAGGCCGCCGAGAATGGGAGGGATGATCTTGCTGAGATAATTGGCGAAACTGTTTCCGAAGCAAGCGGGCAAGAATATGAACAGAGACATGAAACCCTCCCGCACCGAAGGCTTGTTGCTGGCCACGTTTTGTAAGATGCTGGGAAGAGTCTCTTCCAAGCGTCCAGTTCCAAGGCCAGCAAGCACTTCTGAAAGAGCCTGAGCAGAACCCAGTCGGTCCCCAGCGCCTGTATCAGCTTTGAGAGTGGACATAAGACTAGGGATGAGATCTGGTAGCGCATCCTCTCCAAGCTTCTCCATAAGTGAGCCGAGAGCCTTCGAAGCTGTTGCACGAGTGGTAGGTACTGGATCCACAATAGCCACTCGCAAACCGGCGACCAAAACTGGTAGATGTGATACAAGGTCTTTCCGCTCGGTAAGATACGCTAAGCTGCCAATAATTTGAGCAGACTTTCGCTTGGTTCCAGATCGGTCACCCAAACCTCGCTCTAAAATTCGAGACACAAGGGCAAGCGATGGAGCATCGAGGAAATGGGCAAATTGGATCTTGATGAGCGCATCCAACGCATCGTTAGTGTGCTTTGTCGGATCACTAAGTGCTTTGAGCAGAATGTTGACAACGCTCTTGATCTCGGGGTTGCTGATTACTTCACCAAAGCGTTGTAAGCTTCGGTTTGCCGACGAACGTACCTCTTTGTGACTGTCCGTCAAGACGGTGGTCAGTGGCGGGATAATGACAGGCAAACTTAGGGCTAGCTGGTTCGGATCCAGATAAGCCATGGCACCCAACGAGTCGCAGGCGCCCTTCTTGCTTCGCCATTGCTGGTCATCGAGGCCTTCAAGGAGAATGGGAAGAACCTGTTTGACACCAAACGAGCTGAGAGTCGAGAAGCATGTCTTTGCTGCATCCAGACAAGCTTCTCGAACGTCTGCGCTAGTGTCACCAAATCCAGCGAGCAGCTGCGGGACAAGCTGAATGATGTACGGCTCGAACAAGCGACCCAGAATGAGAGATAAGAGTTCGTAGGCTAGGTACACACCTTGCCTCTGGTTGACGTCTTTCTTGTTCTCACTAGCACCCTTGAAGGTCGACATGATACGATACTCCTTGAGTACACATAGGCCTTTGCCAAGGACGAGGCCGGCAAGACCATATGCAGCGCCACGCCGTGATGCATATTTCTTCGACTGTAGCAGTTGCTCCATCATCTGATCAACGTAGCTGGAGAGTTCTTGTTCTGAGGTTCGGACCAAAGGCGGCAGACATTGGGCCACAGCGTATTGAACTGTCTCAGATGGCGTACTGAGCGTAGCCAGAAGCCTTTGCACAATCTTAGGAACTCGCATATCTCCCGCAGTAAGATGGCGGCCTAGTGCGCCGTAAAGGATGATCACTGCTTCGTTGACCTGATCGTACATCTCCGACTTGCGATCCGGTCCTTCTAGCGCGTTCTCGAACAGTTCCATTAGGGGTTCGACCTTGGTTTGAGCCTTCGTTGTAATGACTGATGTAGCTGCGCCAATCATCTCCTCTCGCACAGCAGGGCTTCGATCTCCGAGAGGTCCTTCATAGACCAGGAAGTTCAGAAATTCGACCAGTCCATCCGGCTTGAATCCTGGTGTCATCTCCTTGAACGCAAGCGCAATTCCATCTCTGCTCTCCCAAGGATCTCGTAGATCCACTTTCCGTGGCATGCCATATTCGTCGCGCTCTGGCACCCGCGGCTTTGCCTTCTCTTTGTAAGATTCTTGAAGGCTCTTGAGAAGAGGGTCGAACGTGTCAGGGAACTTGGTAATTATCTCGCCGATGGATCGAGCGGCCGCTCTTCGAAGTTGTTTATCGAGAGAGTCAAGATAGGGTAGCATCTGCGTGCCTGCCTCTGCTTTGAGTTGCAACTCATTCTCATCCCAGATAGTCTGTGCAAGCTCCACATTCTCTGGAACATCATCGTGGCATGCAATCCAGATCTCTTCGCTAAAGCTAAGGTCGTTCATGTCTAGTTCGGCGTCAATGGCTTGCAAGGTTGCTGTTCGAACCGCAGCCTCCGGCACGATGGTCCCGCGAAGTAGTGCGCCCAGCTCCTCGTTGGTGATGTTTGGAGCGAGGCCGCTAGCGAGATCTGTCAGACAGTCCTTGATCATCTTGTAATGCTGCTGGTAACGTTGCATGGACCATACTAGTATCTCGAGCAGATCTTTGCGAGGGAGACGATTATCGGTGCCTAACAAGACTTTAGTAACGAGGTTGACCAACGAGCGCAATGACGTTCTTACAGGAGTTGGTATGGAATGCTAAGACCTCGATAGCCAGAACTAACTGTTCATCGGCTTCTTCGGCAGAAGACCTTCCAATGCCACTCTTCTCCAGGACAAGGAAGATGACAGGAAAGCAATATGCGAGAGACACTGCATCCAATGGTCTCTGTTCACTCAGGAATCGAAGTCGATAGAGGACGCGCGTGACCAAATCTAATGAAGTTAGCACATTCAAGCAATAACGTGATGTCTGACCTACCACCTAAATCTTCGTCTTCATACTCATCGGAGAGCTGTATGGAGCCGATGGTCCTCAAAGTAGCCACGCCAACAAAGGGGCGTAAGACTCCAAGCCGGTTCGAAATCCGTTGCGAACATGCAATGAACGCGGTTGCCGGTAAGTCTCCGAGTAGGAGGCCAGCGCCAGCGCGAATAGATTGAATCAAGAGATCCACAGCCGGACCCATCCATTGCTCTGCTTCTGTAGGAGGCCCAGTAGCGAGGCTCCGGATAATACCAACTCCTCGCCTCATCTTCCGCTCCGTCGCATCGACTTCATTCCTGATGACTGCTTCTTTTGCTAGTTGAGCGTTGATCTTGGCTTGCTCATCAGCGGTGAGCTTCTTCGTCTGACCCTTCTTTTGAGCAAGTTGTGCCCGTAGCTCCTCTTCCCATTTCAGGGTGTCATAGTCCTTCGTATTTCTGTCAATAGCAACGGGGGCCTTCTTGGACAGTACATCAATGTAAACTGTACCTGCCGGCGTGCGGAAGATGGCTGCCTCGGTTGGCCCTACTGCCTCCAGCTGCTTCGGGTCAAGATCTTGACTAAACTGAGTTACAACGGCCGGCAAGGCAGCCTCTGGTGCTACGAAGGCTATATCAGTGTAAGCGCTGTACGCTGCTAGGCTAATAGCCGGAAGCTGGTCATTGTTCCTATTCTGTTCAGAATATGTTAGTAATATAATGAGATGTAGGACCAATGAACAGACCTGAGTAGCCTCATTGATAGTGCTCACAAAGCCCTCTAACTTATCCCGCACCAATTGACCCGGGTCTATGCCCATGCGAAGGCATAGCTCAATCCATGAAACTCGTGGCATGATCTCGGGCCTCGCTAGAACAACCAGACCCATTGCCTGCCTTCGCAGATTTCCAATGTCAACGCTTATTTCGAGCTTCTTCAAGGATTCAGAGGGCAGACACAGACATCCCAAAACATAACTGAGCTCACTGGAGCCGGTCCTTGACGCGACTGCGGCGCTGTCCTTGTCTCCCTGTTCATTTGACCTATACCACGACCATAAGCCCTCAATCATTATGCTGCTGATCCTCGCTGTTGATGTGTGCAGATAGGTTTGAGTTAGCGCTTGTTTGGCTGCCGACTTGCCTTTGGCCGAGACGCCTTGGGCTACGATGAAGAAGATGAATGCCTGTGCCCATGCGTCCTCAGCACCTTTCGAGAATCCCTGATCGAGGAAGGGAGCTACAGCTGTCAAAGCACGAACTGCAATTACGACATCGTCCTCAGTAGACAGTTTCGAGTACACCTTTGGGTTGAGGATAAAGGAGGGTTTTGGCTGAGTAGCGAGTGACTGTGAAAGAATATCGGATTTCTTGAAGATGGAAACGAGCTTCTCGTCCTTCAGGTTGCGTACTCTATCAACGAGAAGAGCGGCAACATAATGGCCCACAGTCACTAGGCCGCTCTGTGTCGCGGGGATGGGGTTCGCATTGACCTCTTGCCAGATCTCTACCAGTTTTGGCAGCGTGGCTTGACAGAAGGCAAGTACGTCCTGTTGAGCATGCTGAGCATCAGATAGATTCCACCAGATGTCTGCTGCGCGGATTGCCCAAAGCCGTCTGACAGGCACACGCTTGTCCGCCATGCCCTTGAGAAAAGCGTCCGTCACGGTCTTGTCAAGAGGTTCTCCATTCGCCAAACCGAACGTAAGATGTTTGACCATTGCAGACACCTCTGCTACTACAGCTGGCTCGCTCGGCTCCTTGAGTGCCACCGGAGCAATACCCGCAGGGATTTTTTTCGATAGCGATGGCAATTCGGGTAGGACTGACAGCATTTGGGCGTGCAGGACTTTCTGATCAGCACCGGTGACTTTGCCCTGTTTGAGAGGATTCAGGATCTCATCCGCGACTTTTCCGATGACATCGTCACTCCGCGATCGTGAAGCCAATGCTTTAAACGTTCGCAACGCGCCTGCGCGGATGGCGGGGTTGCTAGATTTGACGTTGGATAGTAGCGGCTTCAACAGGTTTCCGAGCAGGATATCCGATAAGTCCATGGATTCCGGGAGGGCTAAAATCATTGGTGAGACGATGTCATTCAAGACCACTTCCGGCGCTCTCAACAGAGCCTTTTCGATGGGCAGTATGACCTCTTTACGCAACTCTTCCAACGTAGGGAAGCTGTCAAAAAAGTCGTGCAATGCGTTCGATACATGGTCAGGTAGTTGGTTCCTCGAACCAACGACTTCCCGTATGTAGAAGGTGTAGTAGTCATGCTTGTGTTGCTCTAGAAGCGTCTTGACGATCGGGAGCCGGGACGAGACGCCAGCGATGACTCCAAGGAACACGGAATTTCCCGCTGTAGACACCGAGCCCTTCGCAGTGAGTGTGGTGACCAACTTAGAAAGGGCGTCTTGTCCGATTGCCTCGGAGCGAAAGATGGCGCGCAGAGCCCGGCGCGTCGAGACCAATGCAGATTCCGAGATGCGAGCTGCTCGCCGGTCGGTTCCTACGCCCACACATGTTTCCAGCACCCGGGCGTTTGCGAGAGCTACGTCCAGCCCATATTTCGACCATCGCTCCGGCGATTTGGCGAATTGTAACAGCAAGACCGAACACCAATCCACCAGTACGAAGGCATTGACGTGTGCGATGCCCTTCTTAAGACACTCCTGCTTCAAGAATTTGACAATAGCGGGCAGTACCGTCTCCCCGTGCGGACCATTGACTAGCGATTTGAGGACTTCTTCAACGGCTCGTCGTGATTCGCGGTCGTCGTAGAGTGGGTAAGTTTCGAAGAGTAATTCTAGAAGCGCTTGGAGGTCGGCATTGACGAGTGCTATCACAGTCAGTCTAATCAGCCCTCGTCATCATCTTTCGGTAGTCATATACAGGTACTTACAATCATCTGCGACCTGGTGTTGCAAGCCCGATAGCTCCGCTCTTCTACGCTTGGTGGAGCTTGTTATAAGCCTTTGCCGCAGCTGTGCGCGGTCTATGGCCTGCGATTTAGCATCCCCATTCACAGACATGTCGTCTCTGCCACATGAGTGAGAGTAAACGAATGCGGGGTGTTGGCGGGGTGTTTGAAGGTATCAATTTCTCCAAATGCGATGCCGCCGGCGGAAGACCGCAGTTTTGCCGACTTTCTTTTTTTACTTGCAAGAGCCCCATGACATAGTGGTGGAGCGCCCTTGAATTATCCAACCACACAGGCAACTCCGCCCTTTTCAGCAAAATCGACCACCTTTCTTGGAGCAGTCTGCGCCCTAGATGCGTCCTATCAGCGTCTCTAGCCTCCCCAATCTTGATCTCGCGAAAGATCAAGCCCCCATATACTCCATACGCAAGCCTGCCTGAGCTGCCGCACTTTCCGGGACTTCTGTCGTATCGCAGAAAAAGGCACTTGAGCGTCTTTTTCAATGGCGAAAAAGAAGAAGCCCGCTGGAAATCCCGCTCGAGGCTTCGCAACAACATCAGTTGCGAGCAAGCCAAAGCAAGAGAAGGCTGCTGCTGACGCCACAGCGAAGGAGGTTGCGCAGACGCCCTCAAAGGAAAACGCAGCCGCGCCCCAACTGGACACCTGCAATCAAGCGTCCCAAGACGTCGAAGGTCCGAAGCAGGAGGTCGTCCAAACTCCGGAAGAGTTCGAGGCCCAGCTAGAGCGAGATGAGCTCCAATTGCTAGTCGAGAAGCACGCGCCCAAAGTCCGACGGGAAGCTAATCGGCATGTCTCAAAATTCCAGACAGACCGTAGAGTCCTCCGTGGGCAGTCTCATTCCATGACTGTTCACGATTGGCTCCCGGGCGAAATCCTGGATAGCATTGTCTCTCTGGCCCAGGCTGAGTCCAATGACTCGAACAGAAGGCAAGGGCAGCAATCTTTGCTCAAGACGCTAACAGAGGAAGATGCCTTGTGCAAGCTCTGGGCGCTCGATCTAACCTTGCGTGATCTTGGCTTTTCACACGACCACATTCAGCCAGTCTTGAGATGGCTATGTGCTAATGCTGCTAGCATTGACACGTCAGCAAACATCTGGGGATTACAAGAAGCGCTGGAGTGGCTGGCTTTGGATCAATGCAAAGGGCACTCATTCTCATACGAAGAGGCTAATACTAAGCGTTCTGCAATCGATACTCCTGATGCGTCTCGCCCCGGTAAGTATTCTTTTCGATTATCCTTGAGCTACAAGACCTCTTTCAACTAGCGGTTTGCGCCTTTTTCGTCACTTCAACTTGGATGAAGCTGGTCCTTCGCATGTCACTAACTAACCGTAGTTACCCCTGTCCCGGATACGTCAATCAACGAGGCCCTGACTCAAGAAATGAAAGACCCCAAGGCATCTAAAACTCCAACATCACTAGTGCACACCCCTAGCATTCCGACACCTGTCGATTCAGAGAGCGGCGATGTCTATGTCAGTGACCTTGACAGTGATCTCGAGCTCGATGATCTTGTACCAGCGTACTTGAGAATCAAAGGTAAATTGTTCGAGATTGACCCGCAGCTCGTTGACGCAAATTCGCGTAAGCAGACCAGGGGTGCTAAATCGAGAAAGCCGGCCTCGATGCCGAATCAGAGTCTAGCGGTTCGCAAACTACTCTCTCAACTACAGCAGCTCACATCAGATGCTCTGTTTGATGAGTACGAGGCTGAGGAGCAGTGGCCTGCGAAGCGTAACCAGATTGCTCAAGTCCAAGCTGCAAAAAGACTGGAAAAAGAATCACCGCCTACTGCTAATAAGAAGCAACACGGAAACGTCCCTGAGATACCTATTGTGTTGACTGAAAAAGAGCCAATACTAGCCGTAAACACAGCCGATGTTGACGGTAGTGAAGATGATACTGATCTGCTAGGGGCTATGTTCTCTGCAATTCCTGATCAGCCAGTAACGAAGCAACCCGCGCTTGATGATATCAACGCTGAAAATGTTGTGCTACGGGACTTTGGCAAAGTTAGCGGCGTAACTCCACGAAAAGTGTTGGAGGAGGCGGTGCGTTCCAGGTCAGCCAGCCTTTCTGACATGATGGCGTTGTCAGCTAACGAAGTTTAGGGATCCAAACGCGCGCTTGACGTATCAGATGGTATCGCCTACAGCGTATTCGTGTCGACACTCATTGACTATCACATGGTCCAAAGATCATGATGTGGAGTACGACGAGGATATCATCGGAGTCACATGTTCAGTGCGTAACAGGCAGGCTAAATATGTGGCGACTACTACTGCCACCATCTCAATTGATCAGAGCGAGAATTACGTTTCTACAGCCGCCCTCTTTTCAATCTCCGCCACCTCGACAAAAGAGGAAAAGGTGTATTTAAGGCTCCCTTCGAACTGGAGAGAACTCTACAGAGAGTTCCTGGAGCATCGTAGGACACGTTTAGACGCAGCGGATCGAGAAGCCATCAAGCACTACCGCTCAATTATCCAGGATCAAATCGAGACCGAAGAGTCGGATGGCGTTGTGCTCACAAGTCGGTTCAAGATGCGCAATCAGGTAGCCACGAGTTCCAGCGCGTCGAATTCAGGATACAGCACACCAGTGCGGCAGGTTGACGGCCTTAGAGAACTGTGGGCGCAGAAGGCCTCGACCCCAGCGTATCAGCATATGCTTGCTGGCCGAGCAAATCTTCCGGTCTTTGGTTTCCGTGAATCTATCTTGTCGACTGTGGACAAGAACCAGGTCACAATCATTTGCGGGGAGACCGGCTGCGGAAAGAGTACGCAGATACCGTCCTTCATTCTTGAACATGAACTCTTGCAAGGCAAAACCTGCAAAGTCTTCTGTACCGAGCCGAGACGTATTTCGGCTATCTCACTTGCTCAGCGTGTTAGCGAAGAGATGGGCGAGGGCCCCAAGGACCTTGGAACACCACGTTCGCTGGTCGGTTATGCTATCAGGTTGGAGTCCAAGACATCTTCTCAGACCCGACTTGTATATGCGACCGTGGGTGTGGTCTTGCGCATGCTGGAGTCATCTGGGGGCCTACAAGAAGTCACGCACCTCGTTATTGATGAAGTCCATGAACGATCGATTGACACTGACTTTTTGTTAATCATCCTCCGCTCGTTGATGGCAAGACGCCCGGAGTTGAAGGTCATACTCATGAGTGCGACGGTAGATGCCGCGCGCTTTTCGAGATATCTGAACAACGCACCAATTCTAACAGTGCCTGGTCGTACCTTCCCAGTCCAGACTCGATATCTAGAAGACGCAATTGAGTTGACACACTATGCTGGAGCACCGGGGACGTCCAAAAACGCCAATACCAGCGACAATGACGATGACGACGAGATCACGACAGACAAGTCGGGTATACCCACAAAGCTCCCCGGTTACAGCCCTGCAACCCGAGAAGCGCTTTCCCAGTACAATGAGTACGCCATTGATTACGATCTCGTACTCCGTCTAATCGAGTCTGTGGCATTTGATCCGCAGCTGAGCCGCTTCAGTCATGCGGTTCTGGTGTTCTTGCCTGGTATTGCCGAGATCCGCCAGCTAAACGACATTCTCGTAAGCCATCCGTCGTTTGACGCAAACTGGTTCATTTACCCACTTCATTCTACAATCTCGAGCGAGGACCAGCAGGCCGCGTTCCTCATTCCGCCGCCTGGGGTACGCAAGATCGTGCTTGCTACGAACATTGCTGAAACCGGTGTAACGATTCCTGACATCACTTGTGTCATCGACACTGGCAAGCACAAGGAGATGCGGTTCGATGAGCGTAGACAGCTTTCTCGCCTAACACAGTCGTTCATCTCCAGGGCGAATGCGAAGCAACGACGAGGTCGTGCGGGCCGTGTTCAAGAAGGGCTGTGTTTCCATCTGTTCACTAGATACCGCCATGACAACATCATGGCCGAACAGCAGACTCCGGAGATGCTTCGACTATCTCTTCAAGACCTCGTCATGCGCACAAAGATATGCAAATTGGGCGACATTGAAGCAACTCTTGCTCAAGCGCTCGATCCTCCGTCGTCTAGGAACATACGCCGCGCCATCGACGCGCTCATTGAAGTCGACGCACTTACCCCAGGCGAAGATCTCACGCCGCTTGGACGTCAAATTGCGAAACTGCCTCTGGATGCGCACCTTGGCAAACTCGTGCTTCTTGCCAGCACGTTCGCTTGTCTCGATGTTGCCATCACCATAGCCGCAATACTCTCCTCCAAATCCCCCTTTGTGACCCCGTTTGGAGCCAAACAGCGTGCTGACATAGCACGTCTTGCGTTCAAAAAGGGCGATTCCGATCTTCTTACTACGTACAACGCGTACAAGACCTGGAGAGGGATCTGTACCACACCTGGGCGATCCGAAATGCAATTCTGTCACAAGAACTTTTTGAGTCCGCAGAATCTAGGTAATATCGAAGACCTCAAGGCGCAGCTTCTGTCATCGCTTGTTGAAGCAGGCTTTGTACAGCTCTCGCTGGAGGAGCGCCGTGCCCTCGGTCGCTACCGCAGCACTACACGTCACCGTACGTTCGTCGAAGTGCCAACGCAGTACGACATACACACCGATAACGACATTCTCGTCAATTCTGTAATCGCTACTGCGTTCTACCCGAAAATCCTCACCAGGGAGGGCAAAGGCTGGCGCAACATTTCCAACAATCAAACTGTTAGCCTAGCCCCGACTTCGGTGAACAAAGGCTCATCAACTGCCAAGTTCTTGTCCTACTATCACATCATGCAATCTAGCAACAAGTTTTATAATGCGCACTCGACATCCCTGGCTCATCCGCTACCGATGGTACTCATGGTGGCGGCGGACATGGACTTCAAGCTACATGCTGGTGTGATCAGCCTGCCGGGTAACGTGCTGCGCTTCGCCGTGAGGGACTGGAGGGCTGCTGTTGCATTAAAGGTGTTGCGACGTCGGGTGAAAGAGATCTTGGCGAACAGTTGGAAGAACCCAGCACGGCAGCTGAGCGAGCGTGAAAAGGAGTGGCTAGCATTGTTCTATAGGGTCTTCGAGGAGAGGTTTGAAAAAGACGAGCGAATCAGGGAACGGGCTGGCGGAAAAGGCAAGTGATTGACACAACTGGAGATGTATTTGGTCTTCTCGTGGATCGATCCACAGATACCGAAGTTTCTGCATATCCTAGGCCATCTGCTAACATGAACGTCTTGCCAAGAGAGCTGAGGATGTCTTGTAAACTACAATTTCCTATTCAGGTCGCTAAAGTACTATACACAAAGAAGCTTTACTCGATACACCACATGCACCAGAATTACGCCTTATTGTACATGCCTATAATCCGGCGCCCTAGCAGCTTTCCTATGTCTTCCCCTAGGATTAACAGGCTGCCGCTCATAGGCATCATTGAAATCCCCGCCCTGTCCCCCCATGCCTCCACCACCCTGGCCATACCCGCCCATGCCATTCCCATTCATCCCGCCATACCCCCCACCGTATCCGCCGTTGTGGCTGCCCTGCCACTGCTGGTTCATGCCCATGTTGTTGCCGTAGCCCGTCATACCCATCATCTGAGAGTTGGGGTGGTGCATAGGCATGTTCTGCATGTTTTGCATGTGCATTGGCACGCCCATCATTTGAGGGTTCATCATCGGGTTGGTGTAGCCCATAGGGCTGTTGAATGGCATTTGGTTTGGGTAGCCCATATTGTTCGGCATATTAGGCATGTTTGGCATGCTCGGCATACCCAGCATCGGTATTGGCATGGGCATGTTGGCTGGTCCGTTCTTGAGGGCTTCCATCTGTTGGATGAACTCCTGTTCCATCGCTGCAGTCGGGTTGGACGCTTGTTCCTTTTGCTGGCGCATTGCTTTGGGGGCGGTGGGCGGTTTGATCTCTGAAGGTGGCGATTTCCGCTTCCGCGAAGATGTTGATTCAGTGTCTGAGCCATTGCCTCCAGCGCCTGGAGTGGCAGACTGGGCTGGCTTGGTTGCAACTGGCATGGGTGATGTGTCATTGGACGCAGTAGCCGATGTCTCGACTGGTACAGAACTCTCAGTTTCATTTTTTGGGGGTGATGCAGGTTGTTCAGCCGCCTTAGCCTCTGCCTTTGCTTGTTCCTCCTTCTCCAGCTTCTCCTTGGCCTTCTCTGCCTCGTATGCCTTGATAGACTTGACCATGTCATCATCCCGTACAAGATCATCCATCAGAACATCCTCCTTCGCACAGTTTGGACAAATTAAATCTCCATCTGCCAACGCATTGTCGATGCACTCATGGCAGTACGTCTTGCCGCAACACGGCGTCTTCACAGGGTTAACAAACATGCGCTTGTCGAGCGGACACTCCAGACCGCGCTCCCGCACTTCCTTGCTTGCGGCATCAGCGCTCGCAGCCTGTGCCTTGGATGCATTCGCCTTCTCCTGGAACTTCTCCCATGTCCTGTTGTCCGTCATGACTTGCACGTATTCTCCGTCGGCATTCATCATGACGCCTCGCGCATCCTCCTCGTCCACGGGCTTCTCGACTTTCTTGAGGAAGGACTGCGGTATTCCAGTCGTGCGCTTTGCGCGGATGGTAGGCTTGAAGTCAGGGTCGTTGTTGGTGGGGCACGCCTGGATCCAGTGGCCCTTTTGATGGCAGCGGTAGCATACATAGCCCGGTGGCGGCTCGTGTGTCGGCACGTTGACCGGCTTCTTCTTGTGGAAGACTGGCTTTGCGTGCGATAGCGTCTCCTTCTGGGCGTCCCAGACCTGCGCCGACTCGGCCAAGAAGGCGGCCTCGGCGTCATCTTCATTGAGGGCGCCGCCCGCGACGGGCATTGTAGGTTTGGACATCTTCTTGATCGCTCGCACGGGTGCTTTTCCAGAGACATATCTAGCGGCGCCGCCATGGCCACGTGCGGCCGGTCGTCGGACTGCGATGACTGTGCTGGATCGCGAGATGGTAGTCGTGTCGTCGTCATACTTGGCTTTGGGATCGTCCTCTGGGTAGAGATGGAGGTCGAAGTCGGTGCCGTCGCCGAGGCCAGACGCTGTGATTATTTCGCGCTTCAACTCAAAGACTGTGATGTCGGTGCCATCAAAGACGATGCGCTCTGGCTCTCGCGAGTTCTTGAACTTGTAGAAGACAGAAGACGACATGGTGAGGTGAGTGAGGGTGAGAGAGTGCAGGCGCAACAACTTTATTGCTCTATATAACAGTGGGCACGCAACCAACGTCGCTCCTTACCAAGGGGAGAGGGAAGAGGTCGCGGTCGCAGTTGCAGTCGCCGCTCCTTCTGTACTGAGTATGTAGGGTGTGTACAGTGTGCGTGTGAGTGTGAATGTGAATGTGTGTGGGGCAGAAGACGTGGTGGGGATCAAGGTTGGGTGAGTCGCTGAAGGAACAGAACGGAAGGAGGCGCTGCTGATAAAGAAGGTCTAGCCGCCAAGCCCGCGCACGGGCCATGGCGCTCCAAACGAACCACGGGTCCGAAGTCGTGATGAGCCCTGGCAGAGTCTGGTTCACTCGATGCAATCTGTATCTGAATTGACGCCCCAGGATACTTCACCCTTGAATCGCTCACTCATGCAAACCGTGAATCATGGGGGCACACTGCAGCCTATACCACTGCAATGTGCGGACATCTATTATTTGATACATGGGGCCCAAACACTAATCCCCGGGGTATTGACATTTGCTACTCGTTCTTGGACGAGGCTGAATGCTTGTAGGGTGCTGTGCACATATACAATTATTTTTACACAGCTCCTCCTTGTACTCCGCGTTCTGCACCCACTCACTCTTCGCCAGCTGCCTCGACCTCGAGCTCGTCGGGCCCCATCTCTTCTCTCGCACCGCCGTCTTCGCATTCGTGTATTATCTTCTTCCAACCCAGCGGCTCAGCAGCGTCTTTGAGATACTCAATCGTGGGGAAATAGTGTTCGTTCTTCTTCATTGTTGCTACCCATGGCACGTTGTCGAATGTCATCACTTTGAGCCGGAAGTACTCGTTATCACCAACCTTTTTTAGTTCTCCAAGGAAGGTGTCGAGATCGGGCGTGGGGATATTATTTACGTGGGTGACGAAGTTCGTGGGTGCGAGCTATAAGTAGGTCAGCGACAAGTTCATCCACCATAATCAAGCTGGATAACCTTTGAGAGGATAAGCACTTACTCCGTACATGTATGCCGGTGAGCCACGGGCGCGCGATGAAATGTATACATCCGAGTGGATCTTGCTGATCTGCTGGCGGACAGCCTGGTGTGGGCGATGGAATGTGGCACCGCAGAAGCTGACCATGCGGTCAGTTTCGAGGTCCTCTGTCGCAACAGTGGAAACCTTGATCGTCTTCTCTTCGCGTTTCCGCACGACCACCGCATCGAGGAACTCGTTGTTGTACATGACGTCCAAATCCGGTGAACGAGTCACCAGCTTGCCGTTGAGCGTTAGAAGGATATCGCCTTCATTCAAGCCATCACCATGGCCCGAGTCGACTTTCCGGACCATGAAGAGCTGGTGGCGTTCGGGGTCTGCTGTTTCGGTCTTCTCCATCCATTCTTCTGAGACGCCCATGACACGGGCTTGGCTCATTTGGACGGTCTGGAACTCAACGTTGAGGATCCTCAGCTTAGGTGTCTTGCCGCTCTTGATCTCGTTGAGTACGGGCAGCAAATTCGGTGTCGCTAGACCTAGGTGGTACTCGACATCTTTCCCACTGTGCGACGTCCGCTCGCCCAAGTAAGAGAGCCAAAGCGCCTGAACAGTGCCATCTTCAGCAACAAGCACGCCAGAGCCACTATGGGACGCTTGGTTCGTATCCACGGTAATGGCGTCGAAGTTCGTTGCTCGGTAGCGGGGTGTGATGGCACTGGCTGGAATGGCGACCGTGGTAATATCGGTAACGACTGTCTTCGCTACAACTGGCCGAAAGTTCTGGTTGAGACCGAAGAAGATGGTCTCATCGCCCTTCTTGATGAATTCGCTGGCAAACTTGGGTGTCTTCACCTCCGCGTTGACAAGCGACGGGTCGTATTTGACGATCGCATAGTTCTGCAATGGGTGCATAAAGACCACCTTTGCATCAACGAAAATGCTATCGGCGATGATTAACGAGATGTCGCAGAGGTCATATGGCAAAATTGCTCTGGAGACGAGGACAAGGCCTTGCTCAGCATCTACCACAAGACCATAGCCCTGCTTATTCATCTTGGGAAACCCATCAAGCTTGATAGGCATGGAGACATGCACGCGTACGAAACTGCGGACTATATCAACAGCTGCTGGGTAGTTGGAACTCATTTTGACAAAGTTTGCACGACGCGGGACCAGAGGCACAGCCGGAATGGGATCGGCAATTGGCTTGAAGTCCCATAGGCCTGTCGTGTCATTGCGCGTTGCTATCCGTATCTTAGCATGCCAATGCCTGTCCACCGCAGTGATGCTGGTGTTGGCAGTGTGCAGATCGCGAAGATGCTTGTAGACTATAACTACGCGCTTTCTGTCGGGTATCTTCCTCATGACTTCGATGAACACATCGAGGTTTGGCGTAGGCTGATTGTCGACCTCCTGGATCAACCATCCGGACGCATAGCCATCGGCAAATCGGAACGAGCCAGCTGCTTCGCAGACGTAGACTCCGGAGTTCTTCAGAGATATAGCATATAGGCGGGCTTGTTGGTATGACAGGTCGTGGAAAGAGGCTCCTGCCACTGAGACGAACTTGTCAGGGGTAATATCGTGCAGATTGCCGACGTCCAACTCGACGTCCATGTTCTCTCCCGCGCGTTGGATGGTGACGGAGACGGTCTTGCCGACGTGATCATCCAGGATCGCATCGAGGCGGACAAATTGCGTGATGAGCTCTCCATTGACTCGGATTAGAATGTCACCTTCCTCGATCTTCGTTGATGCGGGTCCTTGCGGAAGAACGACTTCGGCAACAAGCATCCCTGTTTCCTTTGGGAACTGGGTTCGGATGGCCTTCTCCGATTCAGGCGAGAGACCGAGCCTTCTGCACTCATCGAAAGGCTTCAATATCCACTGCGTCTGAACAGTGCCTCTTGAGACTGGTTGGCTTTGGCGGATAAGCTCTAGCGCTCGCAACGGTCGATCAAGGGGAAGAAAGTAGTCGGTGGCAGCGCCGTCTGCTCTTCCACCGGCCTGCAGCGCAACTGCGAAACCGTCCCTGTTGACGACGGGACTGCCAGAACTGCCCCCACTTGCTGCAGCCGCCGCCTGAATGTAGTTGGTGTTGAAATCCGAGTAGCCCTCGCCATACTCTGGCGCATTGCGGTCTAACCGACTGATGACTCCTGACAGAATGCTGAGCTTCTCACCGGCGTCATTGCCGACTACGCGAATTTCTACACCAACTTTGGCATAATCGGGACGGAGTTGAAGGGCAGTGACTGGCATGTACTTGATGGCCTTGGGGTCGAAGCGGAGGATACCAAAGTCGTGTACGGGGTCGCGATAGACGGGATAGACGTCGCATTCTTCGTGGTTGTCGAAGATGCAGTAACCGATAAACGGGCCGGCGCCAACGACGTGCTGCCAAATGTTAGCTATTTGTTCGCATGCGCAGAAATCTTCTGAGCTACACAATGCAGGCAGCTGAAGGCGCAGCCAGGCGACTACCATGGGTGAATACGAGCTCTGCCTAATGCTCGGGGCCAAAATCCAGAATCTGTCCTTCTCGCTGGGTTTGTGCACACCAGCTCCTTCCCATGCAAATTTGTACGTACCCTGTTTGTGAGAATATACCCCTTCTCAGCATCCACCACAAAGCCAGTCGCCTCGGAACTGATGGCCGGATCGGTATCAAACGAGCACGTCTGACAGAAGTGGATTGACACGACACTCTTGACGACACTCTCTATGGTCCTCTGCCACTCTGCCGTATCGTGCACCGCGCCGGGTATCAGCGCCGTCGGCAGGTCTAGTGGCTCCTCGAGGCTGTAGTCGCTGCGCGCATCGTCCATGACCTCTGGCTCTGGCGACTTTGGTATGCCGTTTCGGGTGTGCGCGTTGGATTCGGGCTTGATCTGCTTCATGGGGCGGTCGGTTGCAGGCGAGGTAGGCGGTTGCTTGCGCTTCGTTGTGCCATTCTGTTCCATCTGTGGGGGCGGAGACGGACAATTGCCGAGCGTGTGGATGCGTTTGCGATGAAAAGCGCCAGTAGGCAACAGGTTCGTGAGAAGTGACGTGGAAGCGAAGGGCTGTCGCTGCGAGGACTGACGAGTGACGGCGAATGATGCTGTCGCAAAGAAGCTTTTTTTGCAGGCGGCGAGTGGAACTCGGCCAAGCAGCATGCCAGGTGGCCGCGCAGAGAAATGCAAAAAGGCAGCTACAGTCGGTCCTGCAACTCTATAGTACAGCACGACGCGTAAGGAATTCGCGATTGACGGGGATGGAGTCGCTCTGGGAACATGTGCAGGCGTTCCTGAACAGGCCCTGCACTGTACTGCAGCAGTGCAGCACAGCTCGCGCCGCGGTCCCCGGCCGCCCATCTTCGCCTCACAGACATGACATCGTCATAGTGCGAACACCCATGACAACGACAGCCTTTGAGACGGCAAAGCCTGAACCTATCCAGTCCCTTCACACGTCTCGTCTGACAGTTGCGAGGCTGCGTGGGGATAGCCGCCCACTGCACCTAATCCCCTACAGCTTCTCAAAGGAACTGCGAATGTCCACTGTATCTCGTTGACAAAGTAATTTTATTTCCTATTTGCCAAAGCAAGCAATGTCTCAAGCCTAACCGTATGGGTGCTTGATTCATAGACGTAAAAAGAGCCGGAGTCGACAAGCTTCCTCACCAGTTGAATCGCTACTACCATCATATCCATTACCAAGAGCCAGTGTCCCTTGATGCATCAGCAGCCTAAACCAGCATTTCTTCATCTTCGTCCATCTCCTCTTTGACCACATCGGCTTTCTTCTTGCGACCACCAGCCTTCTTCTTGGGCGAACCATCGGCATCGCCATTGTCCGCGCTGTCGCCCTCAGCTTTGGTCTTGCGCTTTCGGGGCGTCTTTGACTTCTCGGGCGTGGCAGTGGCCTCGCCACTGGCACTTGCAGCAACGTTGACGGGCTGGTGGTTCTTAATCTTCTCGATGTCGTCTTTGTGCTTCTCCTTCAAACGCCAGAGCAGCTTCTTGCAGGAGACGATGGAGCGACCGACAGGGATAGGGGCCGCCTGCTCTGTGTTAGCACAGGAGGTGGGTATGTAGAGGGCGCTAGTACTCACGGCGATCTTGCCATCAACCTTGCCCTCATTCTCACATAGGACAATGAGGTATGCGATCTGCGTATGTTGAGCCAATTGAATCAAATCTGCGTGGAGCATACTCACTTTCTCAGCGTCAGACCATGTAGCACCACTGGCGCCTGTCTTGTTCGGTGTCTTTTGCTCGACGTCGGACATGTTGGCTGTTGTTGATACTTCTGTCGAAGGCGTACTGAGTCTAGTGAAAAGGTTTGGGGGAGATGGTGAGAGGAAGTGGCGCGAGTTGGGCGCGTTCTTTTATGTTTGAGGGGGAGCAAGATGACACGTCGAACTCACCTTCACCTACTTCATATTTTGATAGTGTGCATCAGTCTCATCGCCGCATGAGTGGAATGGTGAAGTGAAGGTAAGGCTTCCTGCTCGACTTACCACTGCTATTCTATCTTTACCAAGCAGGTATTAGCTTCCATTCTCTGCTTATCAGGGGGCACGACGTCAAACATAGGACGCTAGGATGTAAGAAAAGCTCTGTAGGATGCGCAGACGATGGCAATATTCAACCAAGGAGGAAAACCAAATACTTCTACATGTTTTTCAAGTTCTTTGGGATAATTTGGAGTCGACCCTACAAGCCCAAGCCTAATGTAGAACGCAGAGAGTATATCCTCTATCCGTTACTACACTCTTCCTAAACTAGTCATATATGTTATTTCCCCATTGTTAAACTTCCATCAGTCCTATAACCAAATGATGCTCTCAGCATGTGTTCAACATGCTCGTCAAAGCCGCCTTCTCCGCACTTGTAATCGTCAAGCTATACACGCCCTTTACTTTTACCCACATCTGGTAGTCGTCAGCATGTATTCGAATTGTCATGTATCCTGACCTTACCTTCGCATATGTGCAGTAGTAGCTTGATAGTGGCTGCCGTAATGTTAGTCCCTCGCTAGGCTCGATGATTGTAGCCTGACTTACAGGCTTCCAGTCTTCAGGTCCCTTATCGCCTTTGGCCTGGTTGACGTTGTCGGTTACAGCAAGGAGCTGCGGGTTCGTCAGATCATTCGCAAAGGCTTGCCGACGAGCGGTTGTCCAGCTAGCTGCTCCAGACTACATCACATATTAGCACTTCTGTCTAAGACGGACAGCGAACCACTTGCCTTCCAGGCATTGCTCAACGGCACCATATGATCGATATCCACGTCACTCGCAGCAGTCCACGTAGCTCCGTCATAGGGGCTGTTCCACGTTCCGCTAGTGGCCGCGCACGCAGCGTTAGTAACAACACCTGTGCCATCACGCTTGAGAACAGTTTCGCGCGTATTACAAGTCCCAGATTGATTGATCCAGTGCGGGAACAGGTCGCGAGAGTAGCCAGTTTGAGGGCCCTGGGCGGCAACAGTAAGACCGGCGAGCTGAGTTTTGGCGGCGGCGGTGGTGGGAACGTTGGGAGGCGCGCGGGCGACGAGTGGTGCCGGGGCGGCGGAAACGAGAGCAACTGAGGCCAGAGCGACGAAGATAGAGGACTTCATGATGTTGTTACGAGATTGACCAGAAGATGAAGGTAGAGATGATGAGCAGATGCGAATCTATACAACTGGAGACACTCTTGAGAGCTGAGGTTCGTCGCACTGGCTGCGAAGCTGGAGTCGAAGGCGGATCTTGCAATCTTGTCGTCTAGTTTCAAGCTGAAGCGATATCCGCCACCTTTATATAGTCACCATTCGCATCTATCTTCGGTGCCTATGAGGTTACAGTGGTCGTAGTTGGCTCGTCCGACAAGCCGACCATGCAGCTGTCACAGAGTCCAATGATAAGCACCACGCGCTCTAGGAGTCACGAGGCCCTTACCTATGTATCACCAACCCAGCGAATGCACCATAGCGCCCTTCAACCTAGACAGGCAGGTGAATGTAGCGGCCAAGTGTTCATGGGCTGTACATCTTCTACTCTTCTCGGTCGAACTAAACGATGCGTACCTGACCAGCCGTGTTTACATGCCCTTGCAGGTGACGAGTGGTTCAACTTCCCTCTTCAGATCCGGAGCCGGCCTACCTGCATGTCCAGACACAATGACTGGCCATACGGGAGATTGCTGTTGTTGCAACTAAAGGCGGATGGTTAGAGAAGTTTTGGAAGGTGATCGCAGGTGCTCTTATCGCGGCTTGTGATAGGCCGGTAGATGATTTGGATGGGGTGGATCATCATCTTGATTGGCGCTCCAAATGAAACCTCCGATATAAACAACACGGCGCTTCTGCGGTTCGGAACGAGCATCTTCGGCAGTGTTAGTGGTTGGACTCGGAGCGAATGGATGATCAGAGATGGAGAACGTGAGGATCAGTGCGCTGGATAGCCTGCAGGAAGCCGCCTGGAAGGTGGATGGAACTAACTTTCTCTCTGGAGATGAATTGGACGTCTAACTGGTTATTACCCCACTTCATTACACGTGAATTGGACACATGGGAGAGCCAATAAAGTCTTGGCCAGATACAGAAAGCTCTTAGCCTCAAAAGGACGCGCCAAGGCGTATATGGTAAACTGGCGTAAAACGTAGTGTTTGCCTTTTCCGTCCTCAAATAGTGTCACCATGTCAGAGGTGTGACATATCACCCGGCAACCACGAAAAACGCACACGTCAAGACTGACTGCGGCTGCTGGTAAGAAGCATTCTAAAGACCCGGCTAGATCCGAAGCTTAGGGCGCCAACCCTTTAGTGCCGCATTCAATGCGATTCTAGCGAACATTCCGATTTGAGCATGTTCGCGGCGACGTCAGGGTCCAAGGACTTGGCTGATGTTAATATATGCACATATGATAAGAGGTGCTGCGAAATTCGTGGAGGACTGATGATAAAGGATAGTGATTGCTTCGGGTGAGGTGTGCACCAGTTAACGTACTCTAGACGCGCGGGCAACCGTAGCTGTTGATACAGAAAACTCATTGTCCAAATAACGGAAGTCTCATCTCGTATAGCCGCTCTGGTCGCGGGTATCATGCAGCGAAATCGAACTTTCTGAACGCCTCCTTGAACTTCTCCACATCCTGCTCTTCCTGGACTTGCGTCTGTCCACAATCGCGCCAGTCAATCCTCCGATCAAGTCGCAATAGTTTCGCCAGCACTTCTCGACCGAATTGGTTGTGGAATCGGATCTTCTCATCAAAGCGCATAATGTAACTCGTCGGCTCCCCGGCATCATCATTGGGATCCCACACCAGGACCCTGAAGAAGTCGCTCGTCTCGTCGAACCCGTCGCCGACATCTTCTTTCGTAAATTTTGGCCAGTGCAAGTTCTCCGCTAACGCTTTGAAGGCCGCTTCCACCAGCCCTTTTTGGATGAGGTCTGCCGTCACGGGCAAGTACTGCCAATGCGTATGTGGTAAGCTGGATTTGCTGACTTCCCATGTGACGGAGCCGTATTCTACGCCGGTCACAGACTTGAGCATACTATCCATAGCACCACGATATCTTTGCATTTCCGCATATGTAGCACGGCGCTCTTCTTCTTCCATAGAGCCAAGTGTCGGTTGGTGGATAAACGGTATGATAAGCATGTGGCATGGAAAGCCCAATTTGGGAAAGGTTTGCGATGTTGGCAAAGGCCCTTTAGCTGTGGTTATGTAGGAGTTATCGCCGATCGAGGTCACTAGATGCGTTGCAATATTCTCATTCGCAAGACAGAAGAAGCACTCTGATGCTGAAATGGGTCCTCGAGGCTCGCCTTTGCGCCGCTTGTGCGATTTTCGGCCACGGCTTCCGTCGTCGTAGACGAGGGCCTGTTCGCGATGCTCCGTTGCAGCTCGCTTTTTCTCTGACAGTGTCAGAGGACACGCAGTAGATCCAGTGGGTGGCGAGACAGGATGGCTTGCGGAAGGCTCAAGCGAAAACGCGTATATCCACTTTTGCTTGATTGGATTGCCATACGGTGCTAGGTTGATGAATCGCGTGACCGGGTACAGATTGTCGGTCTCTTCACTTGGCGTATGAAAGAAGGGTTCTCGCTCGTAGAATGTATCCCCAGATGCTGAAAAGTGGTATCGAGGCTTCAGCACAATGTCCAGGTCTGCAATGCATTGTCGAGTCAGAGGCTGTCTTTCTGGATTGAAATCCACCTTGGAGCGCTTTTGAATGCCTTCTGGCCATTCGCTAGTAATCAGAATGTCGGCCGTCGTTGCTCCACGCAGAATCTTCGCGTCCGTCTCCCCGTAGAACGGAGCATATTTCTCTTCGGACTGGCCAGCGATGGTGTTCGAGTCCAGCTGCCCGCCTAGAGCAACGATGCGGATGCCCTCTGAAGTTTTCATAGTCGTCCGTTTGCCAAGGAAAAAGAGATTGTGACATAGCTCATCACTGGATGATTGCAGCTTCTCGACAACTGGTGGTGGGAGAGGACGGCTGCCAAGAGCAAAGTAAGTCGGCAGTGGTACATCAATTTTGCTGTCGACGAGCGACTGGATGGTTGCCCCTGCCCCGTCGGACTCCCATGAGTCGGCGAATAGGTTTCCGACGATGATGGCAAACGCAAAGTTATTCTTCGCATGCAATGCGCCCAGCTTCGAGAAGACAGCCTGAATCTGGCCGTTCACATTACCAATGACCAATCTGCGCGCGTAAGTATGTGCCGAGAGCCATACGTTATTGGTGACTCACATTTTCGAGGCCATGGTGGGTTCTAAAAGTTCGTGATGTTCCTTTGGTGTTGACTTTGAGTGATTGGCGCGGCGACTCGGAGCATCCATCCGTGCACGGCAGGCGCGAAATCTTGGCATCCAAAATTTTAGTGGAGAAGGTGAAGATACGCAGCACGGTAGGCTTCATTGCAACAACCACACCATGGCAGCCATGTCGCGAGGCCCGACCACCATGCCGGCTGCAAAGTCAGCTGCGAAGCCTAAATCGAAGCTGCGTGCACCAAAACGAGTCAAAGGCGGCACCGAATCGACTCGAAACCATGTCTTCAAGGGCTTCTCGCAGCGCATCGCTCAGCTCAAGATTGAACCGGTTCGCCGCGGCCGTAGCACTATCCTCGACGATGCCGAACTCGACTCTACCTTTTCCTATTTCAGAGACTCCTTGCTGGAATGGAGGGAGCTCAACATGTCCGAAGGCTTCACCATGTTCGCCCGCAAAGTCGCGCCACTTTGCGACAGCCTCCCGCAGGTTCTCCACCACAGCGACCGTATCCTGGCACTGCTCGTAGAGTACATTGAAAAAGGGGAAAAGTTCAGCCAGGAGCCACTGCTCAGTCTCATGGCGCACCTTGCGCATGACCTGGGCGAGAAGTTCGAAAAATACTTCGAGACGGCGGTCAGGACAGTGTCCAGTTTGGCAGCAAGACATGCGGATGTGGAGGTCATTGAGTGGAGTTTCGGGTGCTTGGCCTGGCTGTTCAAGTATCTGTCAAGACTTCTGGTGCCAGATCTGAGGCCCGTCTTCGATCTAATGTCGCCTCTGTTGGGGAGACAACACCAAAAGGCCTTCGTATCACGCTTCGCGGCCGAGTCACTCAGCTTCCTGATCCGTAAGGCTGGCGCCGGATACCACAGGGACAAGACGCCTCTACAGTTAATCATCAGACATATCTCGCAGCTGCTGAGGGACCTGCAGGAGTCTGGCATGGATACCGAATTTCAGCAAGGCCTCATGTTCCTCTTTACAGACTCATTGAAGGGCGTGGGCCGAGGTTTTCACTCCAGTGCTATGGTTATACTGCAGGAACTGTTGGCAGAGACGTACAATGTTGCCCATATCAATCTCCGGACCCCACCCCTCGAACCGGTCTTAGTCGGCGTTGCTACCGCGAGCATTCATCACTCGGATGCTGAGAGCTTCAAACCATTGCTGGATGTGATCCTTGCACAAATTCGCTCCGTCTCATCCGATCTACGCTACTTGGGACTATCATCTCGCATATTGCTTGTGGTTTGCGGCGTACGCAATGGCACCCGGGTAGCTGACTGGATGTTTGTGCTAGGCACAATCAGCTTACTACTTGATGCAGTCAAGCAATCACTCGAACTCGACACCACCGATGCATGGGAGCTTCTATCGGCAGTGGTCGTAGTGTTCCAATACTGTGCGTTAGACGCTGCTATTCCTCATGAGAAACTCCTCGAGGGGCTATCAAGGGGTCAATGGGAAAGATTCTTCCTACCCTTCTGCAATCTTTTCGCCGATCTTGGTGCGGAGAGGTTTAGGACATTGCTTCTACCGTATTTTAAAAGGTAGAGGCCATGCGTCTTCTTACTCTAGACGGATTATATGCTGACGACGACTAGATTTGTTGCGCACAAAGCGCACGACTATGGTACGGAGCTCTGCGTTATCCTACCCCAACTTTGCCAGAGCGGAGTTGTGTCAACCGGCACCTTGCAACCTTCAGAGCGTTGGCAAGCACACTTGAATAGGCCTTTCGAAAAGCTCATTCAGCCTTGTAGTAACCACGCGGAGCTTGTGAATACTACCTACTATTGTAACGCTCTGCTGGACACAATAGACCTACTCGGCATAACGCAGGAGAATATCCACAGTATATGGGATTCTCTGGGAGAGTTGGTCAAACGTACCATTAATGCAGATAATGCGGAATCGGTCGACACGGTTGATGCATTTGCAACCGGGAACGGCCTGCACTTTCTTATCGAGAAGAACAATGATCGCAGTCTCGCAGTCAATCTCTGGCCTTCGCTTTGTCAAGCATCGGGCCTGTACGGGCATTCCATATCCTTTTGGCGTGCTATACGTACCTTAATGGAGCGAGAGAAGGCAAATTTACTTCTGGAAGGGCTGCACATGGAGCCATTAAAACGAGCGCTTATGCAATGCCTCAGATCGCCATCGCACGATATGAGGCTCACGGCTATCTACATCCTGGAGATCATCGCAGGTCGGAGTGAAGAGCTACGAAATGTCATCTCTGTAGCCATGATGATCGAGCAGACACCGTTAGACCTTGGGAATCAGCGATCCATTGCGATGCGCGTAGGACAACTCGCGAGGCTGTACCCCTCGTTATGTAACGACGAGTGGATCGGGGAGGCAATACCCACTTTCTGCTTCGGGCTTCTATACGTACGACTAGCCTCTGTATGGGAAGACACTTGCTCCGCCCTAAAGGTAATGTGTGGCACAAACAAAGGAGAAAGAATTGTCGTCCAGGTCGCCTTCGAGTGGCTAAGTAAACCTGAAAACCTGGATTATGCTACGAGCAGGGCGAACGCGGGTGCCTCCGCACAGCGACGATACGTGACGGAATTTGAGTGTACCAATCTCGTGCAACTACAGGAACAGATCATCAGTAACCAAGCCCGCGCGGACGATATCGAAGACCAACTGAACACTATTTTCGACGAAAGACACGTCAGGGTACCATTCTCTAATGTTTTCAGCAGAACACAAGCTCTACGGTTACTAAACTCTTTACCGCATCTTGCGGAGAAGCGCTCGCGTCTACTTGTCCCCGTTCTCCTCGATTGGGCCTTGGACCAGCGCACGCCGGAGCCCCAGGATGACGATATATCCACAGAAGATGCTCTCTTGCATGATCGCTGGTCGCGGAAAGATCAGAAAGCCATGTTATCTCTCTTCGCCAAGTTCACCAACCCCAAAGTCCTCTATCGATCCGACGAAGTCCACGAAGCTCTTCTTGCGCTACTGAGCAACGGTGATATTGAGATCCAAAAAGCAGCGCTACAGGCGCTCTTTACTTGGAAGGAGCCCGCTATTGCATCATGTCAAGAAGACTTGCTCAACCTTTTGGATGATGCTCGATTCCGCGATGAGCTCCCAGTGTTCCTAAGTGAGGGAAAGCTTCAGGATGAGGACTCTGATCAGGTGCTCTCAATCGTCCTCCGATTGCTTTATGGTAAGGTCATCGCTGGAAAGAAGGGGCTTGAGTCCAAGAGGAAGGCTGTTTTTGTTGGACTTAAGAATAGGTTCGGAGACGGAGCCATACACCAGTTCCTGAGTATCGCATTCGGGGTTCTGGGCGGTATATCCGTTCTACAGGATGCTACTCTCGACGAGGAGCTCTTACAGAAGGAATTGGTGGATACCCGGAAGCAGCTCGGTATGCTGAACATGTTGGACGACCTACTGAGTACTTTCCAAACCACCTTCGAGCCGTTCACCGTCACCGTCGTGAACCCCATCCTATATTGCGCCATCAAAGCCTCTCGAGATTTGTCAACCCTTGGCGAGGGCGAAGCTGACGAAGGTCGAACCATGAAAACATCTTTGCTCAAGACAGTCCGTAAACATGCACTTCAAATATTGAGCAGGCTAATCGAAGCTTGCCCCGAGTTTCCTTGGCAGCCGTACAGTTCCATCATGGTCAAGGAACTTGTCGATCCCCGGCTCGAACAGTTGCCTATCGAGACAGCTCAATCGGTATCCGGCCAGCTTCAATTTTTCGCCGCTTGCTCAAAGTCTCCATTCACAGCTCCGTTTCTAGTCGAACACAACCCGGACATTCTGGTAAAGGCTATCGATTGCCTAGAAGTTCCATCAGCCAAGGACGAAGTGAAGTGTTTCGTTATGGATGACATTATCCGGAACATAGTTAGTCTCGTTACCACAGAGGATGAAACAGCAACAACAGACTCAAAGCTCCTTCGCAACCGCATACACATGGATCTCATCCAGCCTTACTCCGTTGCGATCCTCAATCGAGTCGGCCGTTTGCTTCGCCAGAGCCCCAGTAAAGAGGTGCTTGAGTCTGGAGTTCAGACGGTTGCGGACTTGGCCCCTCATGTCGTTGGCTCGACGGAGTCTCGCAGTATGATCGAAATCTCGACGTTCCTCCTTCGTCAGCCGTCCAAGCGCGTGAATCCCCGGACGAAAATGGGGTTGCTCAAAATACTGCACGAGTTCATTCAGCGCAGCGACAGCGAGAGCATCAGCACGCTCTTCGCTACCATTTATGATGCCGTCTGCCCCATGTTTGCTTTCGTTCAAGATCGAACAGCAAGGTCATTACTTTGCAACGTTATCAAAGATCTCGCGGATACCAAAGAGGAGCTCGTAGCGATCGCAAGCCTTTGTCACGATCTGAACTCATTTGCGACGGGACGATTGGATGAACCTGACTTTGAGCGCCGATCGCGGGCATTCAATTCGATCAACGAGGAAGGATTTCGTTCGTACTCCATCATGCAGTGGAAGCCTTTGGTCCACAACATGTTATACCTTGTCAAGGATAATGATGAGCTCAGCATCCGGGTCAATGCGTCCTTGTCACTTCGTCGCTTTATCGAAGTTTCAGCGAGTGATGAGCTTAAAGAGTTTCTCTCAGCGGCAGTTCTACCTGGAATTCAGCACGGCATGCGGGAAACATCGGAACTTGTCCGAATCGAGTTTTTGGCTGTACTCGAGCACTTGGTGAAGACGCTTCAAGACTGGGCTCCCGTAGCCGATCTGCACATCCTGCTCTCAGAAGATGAGGAAGCCTCGTTCTTCAGCAACATCTTGCATATCCAGGGTCATCGCCGGTTAAGGGCTCTGCGTCGGCTAGCCGCTAATGCTTCCTATCTTCGAGGCGGGAACATCTATCACATCATGATACCACTTCTTGAACACTTCGTTTTCAACAAGGCTGATGACGAGAGTGCAGACAGCTTATTAGGCGAAACCATTAAAACTCTCACTGCTTTGACTGAGGGTTTGGAGTGGCCTCAGTTCCGGTCTTTGCTCAAAAGGTACATCGGTTATCTTACTAGCAAAGAAGACCTGCAGAAGCCCATCATAAAACTCATTGCAGGCCTTATGGACGGGTTGAACCGAGCAGGGCGCGCTAAAGGTTACATCACCGTAGTGGACCCCGGACCCAATGACCTCAGTGCCCCCGAATCCACTGAGGTCACGGAAGCTATGGATGTTGACACACCCTTATCAACACTCACGAAAACTCTTCCGCAGCAGGAAAAGCTGACCAAAGATCTTATTGATAACTTTCTACCCAACCTGATCGAATTCCTGCATAAGAAAGATGAAGCAACCGTCAGCCTACGAGTACCGATCGCAATTGCTGTCGCGAAGGTTCTCCTCGTGCTTCCGCCACCGGAGATTGAGACACGCTTGCCGGCAGTCCTTCTAGACATCTGCTACATCCTAAAGAGTCGTGCCCAGGAGAGTCGAGATATGTCAAGAACTACACTCAGCGACATTGCTACACTCATGGGGCCAAGCTATCTGGGTTTTATTCTCAAGGCTTTACGAACTGCTCTCCAACGTGGCTATCAGCTACATGTTCTCTCATTCACGCTCCACCATATCTTAGTCAAATTGGCCGATCAAATGAAGTCAGGTGATCTTGACTATTGTCTTGCTGAAATCGTTGATGTCATTATGGATGACACCTTTGGTGTTACCGGACAGGAGAAGGACGCAGACGAATACATTAGCAAGATGAAAGAGGTGAAGAGCAGCAAGAGCTTCGACTCCATGGACATTGTAGCCCGGTCCGCTACTCCTGCGCACATTATAAAGCTGGTCCTTCCCATCAGATCTCTCCTCATCGAGAGGCTCAATTCAAGAATGGTGCAAAAGATTGACGAGCTACTTCGACGCATTGGGCTCGGCGTCCTCCAAAATCCAACCGTCCATAGCAGGAATATACTGGTGTTCTGCTATGAGCTGATTCAGGAGGTTTACAGCACAAGCGCTTCCACCGATAGGAAGCTGAAGATTGATCCTAAGAACAAGCGATATTTTGTCAACAACAGAGGAGCAGCCAAGTCCGGCGCTCGTCTTTCAACATCGTCCTACTTGTACAAGATGATCCGATTCGGCCTAGACATTCTGCGGACGGTGCTGCGCAAACATGACGACCTTCAGACCCCTCAGAATCTGGCTGGCTTCTTGCCAATCATAGGCGATGCCATGGTACAAGGACAGGAAGAAGTACAGGTGTCGGCTGTCCGTCTTCTCACGACTATCATCAAAGTGCCCATGATGGAGCTGGACAAAAACTGCCCCGTGTACATTGATGAGGCGATGCGTGCTATCAAAGGTGCGTTGTCGTCGAACACCGAGCTTGCCCAGGCGTCCTTGAAGCTGGTGTCAGCCGTGCTACGCGAAAGGCCAAACGTGGAGGTCAAAGAACGAGATGTTGGACACCTCCTCAAGCGCATGTTGCCCGACCTAGACGAGCCCGACCGTTCGGGTGCCACTTTCGGCTTCCTCAAAGCTGTCATGAACCGCCGCTTCGACGTTCCGGAGATGTACGAAGCCATGGACAAGGTCGCAGAGATGATGATAACCAATCAGACAAAATCCGCACGAGACATCGCCCGTAGTCACTACTTCCAGTTCTTAACTTCATATACGCAGAGCGAGAATCGGTTCAAGAAGCAGATGGAGTTCCTGCTGAAGAACCTGCGGTATGAGCACATCGAGGGCAGACAGTCGGTCATGGAGGCTCTGGATCTTGTCGTTACTAAAGCCCTTCCGAGGTTCCCGGAGAAAGCGCAGTACGAATATCACGGCATGTTGTACCTCCCACTGATCAATACCCTCGCGAACGATGATTCGAGCAAGTGCCGTGAGTTGGCTAGCCTCCTTGTCAAGAGGCTATTCCAGCATGCAAGCGACAAGCGGCTGCAGAACTTTGCGGCGGACCTCAAGACTTGGTTGGAACAGGACGAGAATGTAGGGCTGAAGCGACTTGGCATCCAGTGTTGGGGATTCTACTTTGAAGCTTTAGACGGTGAGGCGCCGAAGGAGCTGTCGTACGTCCTGGACCGACTGGATGCGACGATCGACAAGTGTCTGTCACGACGCGACGAAGATGATTGGGAGCTGCTCTACTACTCTCTTACCTTGCTTTCAAAGGTGTGCAAAAAGTATGCGGACATCATGTTCTCTTCCAGCAAGGACAGCCTATGGACTGCGGTCCAAGCGAGCGCAACCTACCCACACCTGTGGGTCAAGCTCAAGGCTGCTGAATTGTTGGGAACGTATTTCGCTCATCTTGGTATTTCAAACAAGGATACTGGCCTGAACGCGCTGCCCCTGGCAGGATCTGGTGGTCTGCAACTCGCGGAGCAGAATATGATCCAGCTATCGAACGCCTTCCTCAAGAATCTGCTCAATCCGGACGTCACCGAACAGCTCTGCTTGCAAAGTGTCAAGAACACTGCATTTCTGGCGCGATGTCTGGCCGTCAATGGAGCAAAATGGCAATGGCACAAAGTCGACGATGAGGAAGAGGAGGACGTGGTGGAAGAAAATGGAGCTGCGAACGGCGATATACCATCCTCAGATGAGGACTTTGGCGGTTTCTCACCTCCCCCGGAGTCCACTAAAACCAAGAGCAACACTGCACCCCCAGCAGCGATTCATCGCCTCATGATTCGCCTCTCCGGCATCGTCCGCCGCGACACAAGCTCGCTAACTGCCAAAACTGCAACGCTATCCCTCCTCGAAACAATCGCCTCTAAATTCCCCTTGGAACCTCTCGGTACTTCAATCCCCCACCTCCTCGCTACTCTTAACACCCTCGTCGACCCTGTGACAACCGTCCCGCGCTCCTTCACCCAGGCCACGACACTCAACGAGCCCAACGACGCGTACAAGTCCCTCATTGATAAAGCAAGAGAGATTATGAACGTACTGCAGAAGCGCATGGGTACGCAGGAGTACCTGGCGGTGATGAGTGAGGTGCAGAAAGCGGTCAGAGAGCGGAGGGAGGAGAGGCGTAGGAAAAGGAAAGTCGATGCTGTGGTGGATCCGGAGAAGTTCGGTAAGGAGAAGAGGAGGCGAAACGACGTGAAGAGGGTTAAGAGGAAGGAGAAAGGGCTTGAGAACCAGGGGAGGAGGAGGGGATGGTAGGCAGGCCGATCGAGCATTTTAGAGCATTTTGGGCGTTTGAGTGGGAAAAGTTAGCCTGGGATATGTCGCCACTATGTATAGGCTGTAGGGTTGAGTATAAAGATTCAGGATGATACCTATCCAAACTATTGATTCTCTTACAGCGACAATGCAACCCACTGCAGTGTTTGTCGTCGGAAGGATCGGAGGTGCGATCCTTCCGGTAAGCAAGGCCACCCAGTTCCATCCGATCTTGCCCGCAGCCTCGGACAACTAATCCATCACAGCGCCCGCTTGAGAAGATTCCGGCAAGGACATGCGATAAAAATATATAAATCTAGCTCGCGCATCGACCACAGTTTGCGTTCCCACACTGAGTCTACGAACCTTGCGCCGTAGCAACACCAGACTCAAATAGACACACACACACACACACACACACACACACACACACACACACCAAACAGCCACCACTAAAACCATTCAACTGATATAATGGCCACTACGACGGTCATGGGTCTGACATTGACCCTTACACCACCACTCCTCACGTTCCTCCGCCTCAGCCCACTCCTCAGCACCACAGGGTCCCTCACACACGCGTACATGGAATGGCTCACCACATCATCTTTCCTCCACGCTGCACCGACCACTTCAGGCCTCAGCAAATCCGTGTTGAAGTCATACACCCCAACGACGTCACCTGTAAACGTGGAAGAGCTCGACGCGGCGAAGGAAAAAGTGGCACCGGCGTGGTTCGTGAACTTCTTCAGCCAAGGTGTCTGGAGCGTCATTGGGCTGAACAGCATCACGTTACTCTCAGCCACTACGAATCTGTACTTGTTTCCGGCTGGTCTAGACAAAAACACTCGATTTTATGCGCTTGGATTATTGGCAGCGGTTACTCACTACGCTTTCGTACCCCTTGTTGTGCCGAGTGTGGAAAGCTTATTCAAGAAGTGCGCTGTGCAGGAGAAGGGTGAGGAAAGTGCAGAGGCGGGAAAGAGTGCGGTAGAGAATGTTAGTGAGTGGGTCGGGTATCACAAAATCAGGATGTGTACTGTTGATATGGTGGCTTGGGTATGTTTTGCTGTTGGCGTTGTTGGCGCTGTGACGGCGAGGGGCGTATGAAGGCTTACTACTCAAGAGAGGGAAGGAAATACCCATATTCACATTACAACAACTTCAAGACTCTAGCTGCTGGAGATGCGGCCCAAAATCGTTCGCGTGCAATTTCAACATCTTTCAATAGGTTACGATATCCATCTGCAGTATAGCGCAAGCTACTTCGTGCTCTTTTTTTCGTCGATTGCTTGGGCTATAACATGTTTTGGATACACAAGAGGAGCCCCGTGTTTTCAAGTAGGGAGGGAGCTACCGGGCACTGCCATGATTCGCATGTATACATTTCTCCTCGCATGAGACCTGACTCGATGAAGGATCACATGTTCCTTGAGATCATCTTACATTTAATTTGCCTCAATGGTAGGTAGACTAGCCTCCCACGGACGTACCCAAGTCGGCTCAGGCAACTGTGGTTCTGTCGTAATAACGTCTATGACCACTGCATCCCGAGCTAGAGATTCGAGCAGTTCTGCCAGTCCCGGATCCTCTCTCTGCAGCCAGATGCGAGCAGCTTCTCCTTCGACCTTGGCCCTCCGCGCCATCCACCACAGCTCTCCGTCCTTGAGCATCGTGAACCACCAAGCTAGGATAAAGACTGCGCGCGGGTCTTTGTCCTCTAGCAGCATGAGAAATTCAGGCCTGACAGACGTCGTGACGTACAGAGATTTCAGTGTGTTTTCCTGTGTAAACCGCATGGTTTGGATACGTGACAGGATGAGCACGGGCAAATAATACACGTTGTTCGTGCTGGTCGAGTCCAGTGTGATGTTGAAGACTTTCTTGACACGAGAGGAGATGCGCGATGTGTTATTGGTCTCCATCCAGTCCGACAAGTTAGTACGCGATTTGTCCTTGAACATGGCACTGAAAAGACTTTCCGGTCGAGTTGGATCGGCAATTCGCTGGAGATGCCTTTTGCCCTCGCCAAGCCTCAGCCACGTTAGATCACTTGGATCTCCAGGCTTCAGTGGCCAGACGTTTTCCACACTGGTTGATTCCACGTACCAAAAGGACGCAGCACCTAGAAAAATACCAGTAGCCCAAACTTAATGACAGTTAGCAAGAAATACTCGATCGCTGGACGGTTTTGACCATTTTTGCTAGCTAGGTGACTTACTGCACGCTGTTAGACAACTTCCTAGCCATGTTTGTAGTGGGTTCAATACCTAGCGTCTTGGTATGAGGGAGGAATTGGATCAGCTAGGATGCGATTGAAGAGCCCTGTTGCTGTGTTCCAATGTTGGAGCGATGCATGCTTTTGCTTCGTAGCTAGAGACGGCGAGCATGAGAGGGATAACTCAGCATCATGCATCAAAGTCAAGCTGAGAAGCATGTGCATCAGGAAGGCATGCTGTAGTTGTTAGAAGTAGCTTGTCCAGATGTGGATGCTAGACGACATACCGTATGTGCGAGCTGACATACAATGTCTCGATACACAGGGGCCATTTGCTTGCTTCCGATCGTCAGTGCCGTTCTGTCGTGGAATCTTGCCATTGTCTCGAGGTGAGATTCGGAGAAGTGCCAGAACAGGGTGGAAGACGAGCCAGACTGAAGCGACACATCGACCATGGCTGCGATGGAGGAATTTATGGACATGGGCGGGACTTTGGTAGGGCTGATGAACGCGTTGCCTAGTGGAGTACACTCTACTTGGAATGACGCTTGCACAGAGAGATCCAAGGCTTCCGAGCCGCTATAGTCGCAGAATACGCCATATAACCTGCATTTGTTGCAGCCTGGGTGCTGCTCATCGCACTGAACGGGTCAGAGCAGCTTACTTGGTAGTATGATGCGGGATGAGCTCACCTTGACCCGCCGCAACTTGCAGTTTCCGCAACCATTTCTTGACTTTACATGCAGGCGTCGCTTTCTCTCAGCTGGGGTCTGGCTTTTGGATACGCCAGCTGGCATGGCGATGGTGCCTGGGGGTTTCGGTTAGTATGAGGAATATTTTCTTTTTTACGAAACGGAGTTGGGCAATTCACCGGCCCCAGGGGTTGTGAGGCGACGAACGTCAGAGCCATGTCAGCAGGAAGGCTCCAAAGCAGATGGCGCTACCGTTCTAGTCTAACCCGCGTTCGTATCTCGACCTGCCTCATGCTGATTGGTGGGTACTTGACAGAGCAAGCAGTAATGATATGATTCCTAAAAGTAGAATCCTCATCTTGTCGGAGCAGTTTGTATCAGTCTGCAAAGTCACACCATGTCAACAAAGTGCCGGTAACGGTTGATAGATGAAGTCGATGAATTCTGCAGTTCGGCCGCTTGACGCTGTCGCCGACTGCCGGATATGTGAAGAACGAAAGCCTAAGCATTTGTGCATGCGAATCAATCCAGCCATTCGTGGCTCTCCCCTTTAACAGACCCAAAGCAATAAAATGCAGCAAACCCGTCATGGTTCGTGAACGTGTCATGACCTCTTAAACGCCGATCCATGTGCCGCTTTCCACAGGCCCTTCAGAGATCGCTTGACCGTGTGCCAATCGCTGTTGCGGCAGGCGGTAGTCGAGGTTGCGCTACGAGGAGCGTTACCAGGGTCCGCTCCTCTCGGAATCGTTGCCAAAGTGCGCGTATCGGCACGGCGGCTCGATGAGCGTGTTGAAATTACGCTATCCGTCTTGAGGCCCACAGGAGTCTTGTCGTTAGTTTGCTCGTGTGATGTCACCATTTCCTGGGGCCTCGCGCAACCCTAATCAATACCATGCTGTTTTTTGAGTTTTTCTAAATTCTCCTGGCGCTCTGCGAGATCATTCGCCGCCTTGATCATCTTCTCGGGCTGGTGATATAATACTGCATCTGTCAGCTTCTCTGCGGCCGGGACAGGCAGGTGCATGGTGGCCGTACCAACGAGGTATCGGTTCTGGAAGTTGAAGCCGTTCAGCTTGTCGCAGGCCGACTTTGCGTCCATGACGTCTTCATAGACGACGAAGGCGGTGCCTTTGGTGTTGTTGGCGATGCCCTGGCGAATTTGGCTGCGACTCATTAGGGCTGTGACTAGATGCAGAGGCCGAGAGCGACAGCGACAGCGCATGGGGAGGAGTTTGACGTACCGCACCGGGCCGAACTTGCCAAAGAGATCGAACAGTTCCTCTGGGGTGACGTTGAAGCTGGGGGAGAAGTATTAGCGTGGGCGCAGGCGTCTTCATGGGCATATACGGACCTCAGGTTCTTTACGAATAGAGCCCTAGAGAGAAGGACAAGTTAGCGGAGGTCGTGTGAGTTGGCCGCACAGCAGCAGTAGCAGCAGCCTTGCGGTGGGAGCAGGGCAGGCGGAAGAGGGCGGACTGACCGATTGACCTCTGGCGCAAGCTTGCCGCCTCTACTCATACTTTGGCGACGGTGTTGGACGGTAAAGGACTGGCTTCTGGGTGGGTGGACGACTAAGTTGGTGAAGATGCGGGATGCGAAGTGGGCCAAGCCCTTGCTGTGAGGGCTTGGCGTGCGGTCACGTGCCGGCCAACTCGGCGAAGCTGGCAGGGAGTGAGTGCAGCGACGAGTTTGGTTGAATGGGACGGAAGTGGGCGAGGAGGTGGCCAGATGGAGAGTATCAGGGGGAGAGAGAGCGAGAGAAGCTTATGCATTGCATCGCCAGTGGGAACAGAATATAGATGATAGCATTCTCCGCGTACTCGAGGACCAGTCGGAGACGGCTACTGCAGCGAATGGGAGCCCCCAACGTCCCATCTACTACCTACCTACTACTACTACTATACTACTACTACCCACCCCCTCAGCTCTCTCTCTCTCCCTCTCGCTATCTCGCTCTCTGCCACGCTGATTCCTCCCCTCGTCGCACTCGTCTGGCATTGCGCGCCTGTAGTGGCACCCCCGACTGGCCTGGCTGGACGTACGTTGGTTGACATTCCCAATCGTATTCCCCACACCAAAACCTCCGCGCCCTCTCTCTCGCCCTCTCTCTCGCCCTCTCTCTCTCTCTCTATCTCTCCCTCTTGCTCTCTCGCCCTCGACCCACCCACCCCTACGAGCACCACCACGCCTACGCTCCTCGTCCCTACGCGCTGTCGCTTCGATACAGGATATGCCCGCGTCCGCCTGCGCCGCCTACTCGCACAGCGCTGCCGCTCCATAGCTACGCCCTCTGAGACGCTAGGCCGACGACACTCCCGAGACGCCCACGACCCCCCTCGGCGCGCACCACCACCATGACGGGCATCTCGTCCTTCAAGGCCCACTACAGGCAACCTCCGGCGCGCGCCGCTACCCCTCCGCCGCCGCCCTACGAGCCTCTGTCGCCCATGCTGCCGCCCATGGAGCCCTCGACTCAACACCCCGCGGCCACCAACCCGCCCGTCATGGCCTACACAACCAGATACCCCAATGGCCCTGACAAGGCCCTGTCGCCCCTCAAGGACTACAGCCGCGCGCCCTGGGGGACGGTGACGTACGAGTCCCCCCTGCGCGCCGCTCCTCTACCTTTTGCGCAGCCACTCCAGCAGTACGCCCTGGCCCTGACATCGCCCATTGAAGCTCTCGCCGATGCTGCCATAACCTGGCACCAACCAAGCCCAGCCTGTGTCGAGCCAGCGCGCCGCGCTTCACACGCCACCCTCGTCCAGCCCGTAGGCCAACGCGCCCCAAAACACGCCTACGCAAGAGACGCCTCCTACCCGCACCATGAGCGACCAGCCAAGCGAGCACGCTCCGAGTTCCATGGCTCCCCGCCGTACGGGCAGCCCCAGTCGAGGCCGGCCACTAGCCACATTCCGGGCTGGTCCTACAATGTCGAGCACATGGTCGACAGCGGGATGCGCATGTACCAAGACACCAGGGCCTCAGCACCACAACAGACTGAGCGCGGCAGCGACAGGCTCTCTGATGCTCAATTGCTGCTAGACTTTTTCAACGTCTCTGCCCACACGGCAAAGACCCCGCCCGCGACGGCAAAGCGCCCAAGTCTTTCCTCCTATCCAGCGCCCTACGAACAATCCCTACCCTCAATGCAGCAAACCCACGAGCCCTCAAGCCCATTTCCACCAGCACCGCAGCCCTTCCAGCTCGATTCGCAGCCAACGCAAGCACCCCCACATGTCAAGCCGCCTCCGGAGCCTCCCTTTCATTCCGCTGGCGTAGCCGAAGCCGTGTCGGCCGCACAAACACACACACCGCCTGAAGATACTTTCGGCGTCGCACCACAGCCTGCAATGCAGGAAGCCGCCCCCCCTGAAGAGCCCAAGCCAAAGAAACACCAGGGTTGGCCCAAGGGCAAGCCACGTGGCTCGCGTAGTACTCCGTCGACGAGCAGGCGGAAGAAGTCAACACCAAAGCCGAAAAGCGCGTCGTCTGTGAGCACATCGGGAGCTCCCGACCAGCTTCAGTCGCCGCAAAGCCTGCCAGCAGAGCAGCCTGCAGCCATGCCAACCGATGGCGCCGGCGCTCCATCACAACCAGCCGGATCAGCACACGAAGCCACCACCACCACCACCATCTCGCGAGCCCGCCGCCACTCGTTCTCAATCCCTGCTTCACCAGTATCCAACGGCGATGCTACCTACCCACGCGCAAAGTCTCTCCCCCTCGGCCACCAGCAAGCCCTACTACCAAGCCCGGCTGCTGTACTGCCTCTGCCCACAAACAAGGGTCCCATGCAACAGCCAGATCTTATATGTGCCGCGTGCAAATCCTCCGCGTCGGAGATCAGGGTGGGCGATGGCGAGCAATGGATTGGCTGCGATGGGTGCAAAGAATGGCACCACTACGCTTGCGCGGGGTTCAGCAGCGAGCGCGAGGTACGGGATGTAAACAAGTTTTACTGCGAGCCGTGTAGACCCAAGTTTGGTGAAACAACAAGTAGGTCTACCGACGCACATTGGGGTTACCGTTCTAATCTGGTCCAGAGGTTCGAAAATCCGTCAGAGCCCACACAACTGTTGACTACGCCGGCCTAAACGAAGGCGTCCTCAAGACGTCTGACGACAACCCCGAGCACCACTACATTGCCGCATTCAAGAACGGGGACATTGAGTTTACGCCAGAGACCTTCGCACGTATGCCACCTGAGCTGATAACGGGCGACTTCCTCGAAAAATCAAATGGCTTCAAAGAGCCCATCTTGATTCCTGGTTCGTTGAACCCTCGGCCCGAAGGCCCTGCCAAAGAGCACGCTCTTGCACAACCCACAGAGGATGCCGACTACATGGCCGATGAACAACCAAGCTCACACTTTGAGTATGAAACCACGGCCGACGATGGCCAGGACAGACTTGACATGGTCATCCCGAGGGGTCTGACCGTTCGCCGTGTCGCTGAACTCTATGGCCCCAACGAACTGGTGCCTGTCATCGACGTCAAGGCCCAGGAAGGCGAAGGCAAGAAGTGGACCATGAGTACGTGGGCGGACTACTACGAGCAGCAGGGCGAGAAGCCTGTACGGAACGTCATCAGTCTCGAAGTGTCAAGGAGCAGGCTGGGCAAACTGATTCGCCGTCCAAAAGCGGTCCGGGACATGGACCTACAAGACTCGGTCTGGCGGGAAGACGACAAAGTAGCTCCGCCGCCTGTACAATTCTACTGCCTCATGTCCGTCGCGGACTGCTTCACCGACTTCCACATCGACTTTGGCGGTTCGTCTGTATACTATCATATCGTCAAGGGCAGAAAGGTCTTCTTCTTCATTCCGCCGACGAAGCAGAACCTCAAAAAGTACGAAGACTGGTGTCTCTCCCCCAATCAAGGGCATGATTGGCTTGGCAAGCAGGTCAAGGAGTGTTACCGAGTGGACCTATACCCTGGAGATACCATGCTGATTCCCTCTGGTTGGATACACGCTGTTTGGACTCCCGAGGACAGCCTCGTCATCGGAGGCAACTTCCTTACCCGGATACACTACGGCATGCAAATCAAGATTTTGGAAATCGAGAAAAACACAAAGGTCGCATTGCAATTCCGGTATCCTTTTTTCCAGAAAATCATGTGGCTGACGGCCATCAACTATCTCGAGGAAGACCCCATCCCGGAATCAGTTCAGCAGCTCCTGCAGAGTGGCAATCAGTTCCCGCGGTCCACTCCAATCTACTGCGAGCCCGACAGATTTGGCCACAACTGCCATCTCGGGGTAGCCAACTACAACAGACGGTACTACTCAAAGCACGAACTGGAAGGTCTTTCAGATCTTCTCAACTACATCTGGAGGACTGTCCTCATCACATTGGACAAGATTGATGTGCCGCAGAAAACGCGGAGTGCCGTCAACAAATCGATCCCGAAAGGCCACGGCGAGCCTGTTGTCCTAGCACGACGCCTCGCCATGTGGATCGCTTGGAAGCGTGGTAATGAGACGATTCCATCATGGGCTTTCCCCGATGCTAGCCTCCCCGAAGCATCCGAGTCTGGCGAGAAGAAGTTCAGTGCAGCTCAAGTCAAGAGACTAGAGCGAGAGTCGTTGAACCAGGCGCTACGTGCAACAGCAGAGCGGTCGTCCGCTCGCATCCGAGCTTCCGATGCTGTTCCTGAGCATGTTACGGAACCGTCGCCTGTCAACGACCTGGAAGCTTTCCATCAATTCGACACGCTTCCCGCCTCTGGCCCCTTGACTGGATTCCTACGCCCGTCAGCCAACAACCCGCACATTACTACCCCGAAGACGTCCCAGCTTGGACCAAAACGAGTTGCTTGCGATGCCTGCAGGAAGCGACGAATACGATGTAAACACAAAGACGAGCTTGTCGACACGTCGAAGCCGGGCATGCACACAATCGACCTCTCTGGCTCCTACGGCATTTCTGTCAAACGCCGCCTCAGCGATCATTCAATAGCCGATGGCCCGTCGAGCGCGGCCAATGGTCCCGTAAACGGTGGTCCTATCATGGCAGACGTGAACGGGGATCCGTATGCGCTCAAGTCTGGTCGAGTCAAGGCTTGTGCTGATTGCCGCAAGAGCAAGGTAAGGTTAACGATTCACTGGTGTCCTAGGGTAGCGCTAACAGTTACAGCGTCGCTGCATACACGACGAGTATGGCAATGTCGATCCTGTCAAAGCAAACGAAGTCCCGATTCCCCGGGGATCAGCATCGAAGAAGCGACGCGTGAGCGATGAGGATTCAACAACAATGGCCAAGAGGATGAAGCACGAGTCTTCATTTGACGATGAATATACCAACGGAGGCATGCATGCGCGGCACTCTCTGCCAAATCAGTTCACTGGAGGCTCCTCATTCCTCCAAGACCTCGCGTACTCGGCGCAGCAGGCACTCGATCAGAGCCCAGATGACGATCTAGTGCCTATCGACCCGGCACTACAAGCCTACGCCAATGACAGCTACCAAGAAATAGACATGGCACCTTCATATCATCAAAACGGCGATAACATAATGTCATCGATCGAATACCAAAACGGTGGCCCTCTGGCCATGGATGGTATCGAATTTACAGGGAGGGAGGGCGATCGGCATGGCCCTAGTGTTGAGCCACTTACTCCAGGCCCGCCTCCGCACTCAGACACTACTCACGTCCGGACGAACGGCTTCACCTCCAAGCCGACGAATGTACTCGACTCTGCCCAACGCGACGCTGTTCGTCATCCGTCATCGCCTGTCTCACCCAGACACATCTCCGCCGTCTCTCCAACGGCAAACCCCTACAACCCTTACAGTACCTCGCCCACTATAAACAACTATAACAACTTCACAACCAACTCTGATTTCCCGCCTCCACCAGTAGTAACCCCTTCGGCGGCGAATATTCACGGTAGGAGCAGCAAGACTCCCAAATCTACCCCCGGCGGCCGGAGAAGAAATAGTAGGGATGGTATCAAGCTAGAGTACGGCTTCGGCATGGGTGCGGGCATGCTGGGCATGATCGATCCGAACCTCGATCAGGCGAGCATCGACCTGATTAAGCAACTGCAGCAGGAGGATCTTGGGCTAAGGAGAAGGAGTCGATGAGGCACTTGTTGCGACCCGTCAGTTTTTTTCAAGGGGGGTTTTTTTTTCACGCATGCCCCTTTTGGCGTATCATTTCGGGTCATTTGGTTCTTTATTGGTCAACGAACATGGCTCCTGGCGTTGAACAAGATTTTGGGTCTTCTACCAGCTTCGACGCGTTACCTGTTCACAGTAAGGGAAGGATATGCGGCGTTTATGCGGATTTTGACCCAGGTTGCTTATACCCATTGCACTGGGATAGTGTATACTGCACCTTTTTTTCTCCTTTCAGAGGGGCGTTTTGCTATGCCAGCAGCGACTGAGCGATATTGATATTTCAGGATTGCATACGTGGTGCAGATGTATTAGTCGTCGTGTGAGCGGAATAGACAACTGTCAAACATGCACAAGCATTGATTCCCTATTGAGGTTTGAAAATTCGTGTCATATTCGTCACTTAGCTTTACAAGAGCTGACTTGGAGGTGCATGGGCGCTGGAGTCATCCAGACTACGTGGTATGCAGTTATTCATTGGACGTGTCTAATCATGGCCGGGATAGTTCATACATTGTAGCAGTCATGAGCTGCCACCAGGTTCAAGTTCTCATCAATGCTAATAAGCGCATCACGGGTTGGTTCCCGGCTCAGACACTGATCCTCCACTGCTGACAAGCCCGAGCGTCGCTCAACCTAAAGGTTCTGATGCCGCCAATACCCTTTACTCCAGCTCGCTTGTAACGTTGGAGAATTCGCCCTTCTTGAGCTTAGTCTCCCAGAAAATAGGATTCGTATCGCTGAAGCCGTGCTTGACCCAGCCATCCTCCTTGACGTGGTACAGGTTGATGAACCCGCCAGAGTAAGCGTCCCTATGGGTGGCTGCCAGGATACTCCTCCGACCAAGCTCCAGCGCCTCATCGTCTTCGAGCTCGTACTTGTATTGCGCATCGAGCACACCGTAGGCAAACGTCTGACCCGACCCGACGCAGAAGAGGTTGCCTGCGAGACGTGTGCCGTCGCTGTCAATGTAGTAAAGGGCGGGGCCTTCCTGAGGGGTGACGCCGGCGCACATTGTGCCCTAGCAGACAAAGTTAGGTTGCGAGTCGGGATGGGGCATGGAGGGGCTCACCATGCTCAAGCCCATGCCCTTGTATGAGTATACCAAATTGGCGAGGATCTTGGACGCTGCCGCTACCGATATGCGGCGCTTGTGGCGGAGCTCGTGGAGACGGCACTGCATGCCTAGATATGCGAGCCAGTATTGGCAGTCCTACTACACATTAGCAGCCATTTCCCCACAGTCTCCCTACTTGGGTACACGTACAGCTGCGCCACCCGCCATGGTGCCCAGCAAGCAGTTGTTGATCTCGATGACCTTCTTCACCGTCTGACTTGCTATCCAGTTGCCGGCCGTTGCTCGCGAGTCGGTGGCGACGATGATGCCGCCCTTGAAGCGGAAGGCCAGCGTCGTGGTACCGTGTGCAATCTTGATGGGGCAGTTGGGGTTGGAGTAGTCGTCTGTCATTGCGCGCAGCCATGATGCCGACTGTGGCCAGAGATCAGCATACGCTCGCTGAGGCCGAGGGAGGAAGACAATCGAGACCTACCTGTGCTACTGGGGGAAGGGCAAACTTGAGTGACAGCTCTGGGGTCCCGCTGTAGAGCTCCAGCTGCTCGTCCTGCGTCTGGCCCTCGTCCGCGTAGGCCGGGCGGGCGTACTGGGCCACTAATGAATCCATGGCTGGGACTCTGATCTGGTGATTGGGGTATCTAGAGATCTAGGTGTCTGGGGAAATGGTCGAGATGTGACGTGGGTGTGGGTTGGCGTGAGGTGGTTGCCGCTGTGCTGCTCAATGAGCTCCGATGGAGCTGGGGCGGCAGTGCCAAGCATTACGCCGCGTCGTGTTGCTGCTGCCTTCTCCCTCCACCATCATCATCTTTTTCTCAACACACATTATACGTCGTCGCGTCCACGACTATGGAACGATTCGGCATACTATTCGCAAATCATCTCAGTTTTGCGTTGCCCATGTGAAGAGCAAGGAAATACTGTTCAACTTCTCTCTGTGGATGGCTCGTTGTGTGCCTCTACTGAACAACCACCTTGGACCTACCCGCGGCCATCAACACCAGTGCTATTCCCTACGGGACTTGACAGGCTTTCATCATGGCTTACAGACCTTATGAACCGCTAGGATGCTTTCATGGCAACATGCTCATGTAGGCGCCGTGTTGAAGTCGTCACATGCACCCTATGAAACCAAAGGTCATCCAGACATTGCACCACCCCACGCGCCATTTTCCACCCTCACCAGCCTCAGTCACTCGCTCCAAAGGACAGAACACATGTTTGCGTCGCCTACCTGCAGGCACCGTCAACCATCATGCAGGCACAAGACTCGCCCACCTTGTCTCATTCCTCCCGACTACCCAGGCATGGTGCGGGCCGCGTGCAGTACCGACAGTGGCAGCGTGATGGTAGCGAATGATGCGTGAGGACATGTATATACATGGCTGGACGTCGTCCTAGCAGAGGTAAGACCAAGGTTCCCTTCATCTCTACAAAGTGCATATCGTCTGCTCCCATCGGTGTTTGTCGAATGCCCCGTTACGAATCCAGCCCATATTCATATCAGCACCCCCCAAGACCACCATCTATCTACGTACCCAAGTTTTCCTCGTCCAGCTATCATCGTCTAGCACCACCAACGAGACTTCGTCCTCTGCCAACGCGCCTTGACTCCGGCATCGACATCGCGCTGCCACCCGCTATTAGCCGTGAGAACAGGAGCCGCCATGTGCTGGCTCACGCTTACACCAGCCAAAGGGAAGAAACATCGTCACGACCACCACGCTATCGAGTCTTCGTGTGTGGAGGAACTCGTCCGCGTTCATCGTAGCCCTAGCCCGCGCTTGAGCGATGTAAGAGTGCGAGTACCGAGTAGCATTAGTGTAGAGCTCGAAGATCATCACCATGTACATCCGCATTTGCATCACCACCACAAGCATCATCTGCATCCACTACACCTGCATCCGCTCCATAGCCATCACCGTCACCACGACATGCCAGCGCTGAGACTTAGGGGGCCCGGCAGGAAACGATGTCCACCGCCCCCGGGTCCGCCTCCGCCATCGCGCGAACCGTCGAGATGCCGACCTTGCTCTCGGTCATCGTCACCACTGCGGCCCCGTGAACCAATCTATCGCACCCAGATTGTTGAGCCCGCACAAGTCAGGGAGACGACTCGTGTCGCGTTGGGTACCGTGCAGCCCGAGAGACATAAAAGCCGACTGAGGAGAGTTGCTGGCTATGAGGTCCTGGGTAGAGATGTGCCGTGGAATTGGGATTGCGTTAGCAGTACTGTAGGGAGTAGCAGCGCAGGTGGCGGCAAGTGGACGAGGAAGAAGGGAGGAGGGCTGAGATATCCGCCCTTCGGTGCACTAGATCGGTGGCTATAGAGCATGTCTGGAGTTATACGAGTTGATTTTCCTCTTCAGTTGCCTCTCACCTCTTCTCATGTTCTCCCTTCCACTTGGAGATTATTGTATGCCCTCGGCTCATGCACGCTCGTGTTCCGTTCAGCCCTGCGTTGGTGCAGTCCGCGCGTGTGACTTGTAGGCTATTACCTCTGCGGTGCAGCCTGACAAATGATGAAGCCATGGGTTTCATGCGGTCACACTCAGTCTGAAGCTCCCCTCGGGGTAGCATCATCTTCGGGATACACCGGGGCAATTCTCGGCATATATATAGATGAAGAGTGTTCTTTTTGGCAATGTCATCTAATCTATTGGAGGGTGTTCAAAGTAGCGTGCTAGAGATATATTGGTTCTGAAACTGAAACGAGAGATCGTCTGATCGGGGGTATTCTAATGCTAGTACAATAGTGTGGAGAATATGCTACAGATGCATGCCAGGTGGCCACGATAGAAAACAAATAGAAAAGTTACGTGGCCGACGACACATGATTTCCTGTACGCCATTCGATGGACCATTGGAATGCTTCCTGCCATCAGTGACCTCATTAACGCCATAGTTATCCTCATTAAGCTTGCGTCTTGTGCTCAAAGCAACTTGCGCATGTATCATCTCATGTCGCGACTTGTGCGCTCAGGGGCAGCAACTTGCACGAAGTTTGAGTGGTCGTAACATACATCATCATCGTTACCTCCTAATGCCAGCACTCCACAACGGCACTGGCTTCGCGCTATCTCTTTCATATGGCCCAAAGGGACCATCTGCCACGTTGATCCAGTTGCCAACGCTGCTCGTTCGCTTACTCCTCGTTGCCTGCCTCGTAACGCTCGCTTGCACTTCCCTGCGACCCAGTACACTGCCGAAGCCCAAGACTTCAGGGCGATCAAGGTCGAAGGGGTCAGACTGCCGGACTGTACGGCCAGTAGGAAGCCCTGGTGTGAACATGTTGGTGCCGGGTCGACTCGGACCAGGCTCGCCGAAGAAGGTGAAATGGGAGTCGCGAGATGCGCCGCTCGAGGTTGCGTCGAAAACTGGATATGCCATGGAAGACCGCCGTTTCTGATCTGGTAGTACAGCCTGAGCAGGCTTGGGCGGGATGCTTGAAGGATCTGCAAAAGGATCGTCACCGGGTGGGTATATAGATGAGGGAGGATGTGGGCGCAAGGCTGAAGCTGAACTTTGAGTGCGCGTATGGCCTGGGGTGGAATTTGCACCTCCCAGCCAGTTCGGTGCATATTCAATTTGGTTGAGGAGCGACGCAAAAGGATCCTTGGATGCGCGATCTAATGTGGCTGCGGGTAACGGTGTACTAGGGCCGCTTCTGGGATCGGGATTAAGTAGCTGCAGATTCCTTGGTGGTGCAGGATCTGTGAAAGGGTTCACATCGCCTTTGTTTTGCGAGGGCGCAGCTTCCATGAAACCAGGAAAGCGATAATCAGACGAGAGGCTGCCTGGCTTCTTTCGAAGGAGGTTCCTTTCGCTCTTCTTGCTTGATGTACTTCTGACGGAGCCTCCGCGTTGCACAGCCATTATTCCCTGCGGTTCACTGGTCGATCGAACGCGGCCGTCTGTCGAGTACACCGAGCTCACACTGGTATGTCCACTATGTCGCTGGTAAGGGTTCGCCAACGGGCCAGACTTCTTTCCTTTTATTTTTGCGAATAAGACGCCAAGTCCAGCCGGGATGCCTTTCATCTTTTCCATGAAAGCTGGTCCTGCCTGCCGCTTCTCATTCCATCTCGGTGCTCTTGTTTTCCGCTTCCGCAGACAGAAGAATAGCAAGCCAGTGATTAAGGCAAGACCTACGACACCACCGATGACACCTCCCACAATACTGCCGATGTTTGCGTCGCCGGTGTTGGGCAGAGTGAGAGCACCATTGTTATCGGGGCTGTCCGGTGAAATTATGCCGGCCGAACCTCCGGATGGAAGGGGGACCACAGCAGAAGTCGACTGTTGTGGTTGTGTCGGGGCTGTTGTATCTACAGAGGATGGGAGCGGCTCTACATCTGTTTGGCTAGACTGCTCGGGAACTGCGTTGACGGACGACGGGGCGGCTGAAGCAGCTGGAGCTGTAAAGGAAGGCGGTCCAATCGACGATGCAACGGGCGACGATGTAGGAACAGCTAGAGCCAATGTGTCAGAGCTTGTTGATGCTGGGCCTGTGGGAGAAGTCGAAGTGACGTCAACGACTTGCGAAGGCACTGCCGTTGGCCTGCGCGACAGCTCTACGGTTGGTCCGGACGGCGCAAGGTTTGCAAGCGGTATGTTCCGCGGAGATGATATAGGAACCGGACTACTCGTACCTATCGCGGAAGAAACTGTTGCTTCTGTTGTGGGCGCAACGGCTGGTTGCTGTGCTGGCGCAGTCGAGGAAGGTGGCGGTGACGGCGGCGGCGACGGCGGCGGCGGCGGCGGAGGAGGAGGAGGAGGAGGAGGAGGAGGAGGAGGCAGAGGCGGTTCAGCAGCGCTCGTTCGTACTTGCGGTGCCTGTTCCACGGCTGTGGAGGTAGTAAACTCAGTGGGAGTAATGACTGATGGCTCTACTGTCGTGAGGGTGGATGTGGCCGCTGTTCGGGCCCGGGAGCGCGTACACCGTCTCCCGCTCACCGTTGTAGTCGACTCTTGCGGAGAGGCCATGCAGACGACAGCTCGTAGAAAGTAACGCCCTCAAGAGCTCAGAAATGGAGACTGAAGCAAAGGGACTCGAAGCGCCGCGGGCGCTTTGGGCATATTAACCTGGAAAATTGAAGCTTTCCGCTACTTGATGCTGGATAAGGGATTAACAAAGAGAAATCCAGTAGGCGTTCGAAGAGCGGCCGGACAGATGTCAACCGTTGGCACAAGGTAGTGCGCTTGTATCCTTCTGAAACGCAGACAGCTTCATGTGCCGCTTCGAGCAGCGACTACAACACACATGAAGCGCGAAAGGCCTCGCACGTCTACCCAGTTGCGCCATAGCTGTCTCAGCCGAGAGAAGGCGTGCTGGGTTGGATATGCGAAGAATCATCAGTATGAGGGCATCGCAAGACTTGTGGCCATGTGGATGGTGATGGACATGCAAGTGTTGAGGGGCAGGCGACGACGGACTGCCATTACGCGGGGAGCACGTGATTCGAGAGTCTGCTTCGCTCCAACCTTTTGTGTGTATTGTCCTCGCAGTCGCCGCTATGCCTGTTTGCTATGTGATTTCTAGTCGGTTCGAATGACGCGGTAGCGACTCGTTTGACAGCCACTGTTGGGCTGTGGTGGTGGTAGAGAGGCTATCAGAATCCTAGTGGCCAGGAAGCACGGGAATGGATGCTGAGCATGATATCCATCGGTAGTTTACATTTCGAATCGAGGTAACCCGGCGTATTGCCTTATCCACGCTGTATGGACGCTCATTGAAGAGTCGTGGCATGTGGAGACTGCTGCTGCATGCGCACAGAGACGGTGATTGAGAGCCGAATGCGCGTTCCCAGGATTCGCAGGCTCACGACGCACCCTCAACCTCAGCCTCGCATCCACGATTCCAAGTCCAATTCCACGTCGTTGATGCTCCGGAAGAGATCAGCGCGAAATCGCCATCATGTTCAGCTTTAGCGGTGAGTCTCCCGAGCGTGCTACTGATCCTCCTGTCCACGCGGCACGTCATCAAGTGGAACAACGCCCAACATTGCCCTCAGCTGGCCTCTTTCTCCATGCCAGACTCAAGACTCGACAGAGCCTGTTCCTTTCTCCTTGCATTGTAATTTCTCCGCCCGATTGTTGGTTTACGTTTCGCAGAAGCCATGTGTTTCGCTCCGTGTCCTATTCGAACAAGTCATGCATGTTTGGTCTGAATGTACACGTGCAAAACCGCCGCTGATGTAGCTCGTTCGCCTCTAGGTAACTTGCTTGCGGGGCAACATGATACCCAGAAAGAAAGACCTCCACCGTCAAAGCCAACCCCCATTACCTTTCCCTACCTGGAGCCGCCTGAGCCATCAATACCGACGCCGCCAGCGCCCTGGAGTAAGCAACAAACAGGAATATCCGCGCATTTCCTGAGCTTGCGAAAGCCATCTGATGTCACAAAGGAGACCCTGTCGCTGCTAAACGTCACGTTTCAGCCTGACTGTGAGTTCGAAACGTTGCTGTCATCTTTGTCAAACAACGCACAATCGCATCTGCCCCCAAAGGCCTGGCTGGAGTCACCGGGGCCTGGTGAGCCCTTGAACAGCCCAGAAGCTACTGCTACGCTGCTCAGTAATGGCAGAAAAGCGCCAGAACAGAGAGAGTTCCATGTTCGTGCAAGAGAACTATGCTTCCCAAACGCTGATGCTTTCTCGACGCTCACTCGCAAGGGCCAGGGAGGCCAGGCGCCGTTGCGGCTGGCCCACTTTCGGAAGTTCTGGGAAGGACTCGATAACATGGCCTACTACTGGGATACCTCGCTAGACGAATACTCCTCACCTATTCCCGAAAAGGGTGACGAAACTGCCGCGCTCTCTCTGCCGGATGGTGCAGAGGAGAAAAGCCACGATACAACGAATGAAACCAGTCTCGACTCGAGAACCAAGATGGAGTCCGGATTTGCATCTGCTAGTGAAGAAGAACCGCGGAAGAAAGCCAGAACGGAGGCTATGAGTGGCCAGGCAATAACTCAGTCTCTCAATTCAAAAGGCTTTGGTAGTGGATCTATAGCTACCCATACATCGTCCCTTACTCCAAATCGGGTCCTACCGGCCAGAGTCGCGCCGCCAAAGGCGCCATGGGCTGCAAACATGGACCGTCAAAGCAAGCCCGCTGATTTGTCAAAAGGCTCTTACCGGGGCTATCGAGTTGGCAATGGTGCCGAGATGCCTGATCAGTATCGGATTGACTGCGTGCGGGCCTTTCTTGAGCCGATTGCTTGGGCATTTGGTGTAACGTTTTCGCAGCATCGGCGTCCACCCGTGCTCACACTGGGGTCCGTACGATTTCCTGTCCGCATGAGCTCTGTGGCCTGGCGAGGACCACAGGATAGGGTCAAGGCACGCCAAGGATGGATGGAAGGTCCTGTTTTAGGTGTCCAGTGCAGAGCAGACGTACACTTTGGTGCCACAGGAAAGCTAGATGCAGAGTCTGTGCTTGATGCCGTCCGAGAACTTGGCGGGCTGCTACTACTGGCACAAGAAAGAGCAAGGGAAGGATTGGTAGAGAAACGAGGTGGCGAAGGCGCATGGTGGACAACGAGAGAGCGCTGGGGTGGAGGTCCTGGAGGTGAAGTTGGTGAGGCTGCTGGGACCGACAACGCACCTCTAAAGGATACAACTGTGAAATCAGACGAAAGATCCGCCGAAAGATCTCGGGATGGGTCAAAAGTGCGTCGCCGGCCAACGCCTGCGGAAGTCTGGAAGGTTCTCAAACCCGGGAATCCTCTCTGGGATCCGAAAGTTGTATACGAGGCGATCGGGAGAAACAGAAATGTTGAGTGGGATGATGTAGGCCTCTGTACGACATGTCTTGGGCGGCTCCAATTTGCTAATCTCAAGCGCAGGTGTTTATGGTTTCGTCACTGAACCACCACATTAGCTTGTTGAAGCTGCGTGTACACCCAGCCTACCTACAGTATCTCACAGAAGGAAAGCTCCCTGGGGAAATGCCGTCAGATCCTGATTGGTGCTCTCCCAAGCTACAAAGGACTCGATGGTTTGATCTTTTCGATATTGACGATCGCACCGAAGCCATGAGGGGAATCTGGGGCATCATGTCCTACTTGATGCGTGCGGCAAACGACTAGTCGCAAAGGCACTATAATGAATGGGGACTGAGTCAGAATATCACCAGCATGTCTACTATCGCTCGATGGGAAATAGATCATCAATCATACGTCGTACGCACTGATTACTTTAGTACCAAGTTAATTAAGAGCTCCTTTAGCAACTGATTCCAATCGCCCATTGTGTCATCAACACAATACATAGGCAGAATGAAGATTGCTTCAAGCCAGTAACCATCTTAAGTACTCTATTTTCCAAAGCCATCAATCTGAAGCGCCTCAACTTCTGCAGCGAAGCAGATTAATATAGCAATGGTCGCTGATATACGCCGAATCTAGCTTGCTCCGAGAACTACGATAACTATTGCTACAATGATTGATAATGATCAATCTAAAGTCTACATCAACCTCAACTGGAAGGCGTCTCCAAAGTTTCCAAAAGTGGTGTAGGACAGGTACACGACATACCGCGTGGCGACTTAAGTTTATTTCTCTTCCTCTCGCTCTCACTCGCGCTTTAGGCGAGTCATGTCCAATAATTCTCTACAGCGCCCTAACTGTGCAGACGGGTACCAAAGGCTACACGGTAAACGGTGCAGGTCTTATTTCTTCGTATGCACGCACGGCAAGTGTCACTGCTAATTGTGGTCAACATTTGCACCCCCGATTGCGCAAGCTTCTAGTACAACGGCATACCACAATCGATTGAAAAGAAACACTGAAACCGCACAGTAATTTGCCCTTTGGTACACAACTGTGACATCCTTGGGCCCCCCGTAATCGAGGGGCGCTAAACATAAAGCGTAAGGCGTCTGTCAGTGCCATCTAGGTGACTATGCAGGAATGCACTGTCAGGTCTCGTGAGGGAGTACAGGGCCACCACTCTTTGTGGAGGCCGAATCATTGCTCTATTGCTAGACGGGCCCCGAGACTCGAGACTGCGCTTAGAACCACCCATTGGGTTACTCGAACTTGAATCTTTAACTTTCTCCATCATGCACTGACGCCAAACAGGTGATCTTAGTCTGCAGTCACGCGCTTGCCACCTTACTCGTTACATGTACACTTACACAAACTGTCGACTTCTGAGCACTCTATCACGAGAGATAAAGTAACATCCAGTCAGTGCAGAATCCAGTCACACCACCCAATTCCTGTGACAACCCGGCTATTCGATCCATGCCCGGCCGGACGCATGGTCTCCACCTTGAGCAGAAATCCGCAAACCGGGTTTGCGACTGGATCAGAAGTACCTACGTACCTAACACCTCGCAAGAATTAGGTCTGGTGTGGACCGCAATGATATGCTTACATTATACCTACAATCCAGATACAACCTTAAAAACTCCAAGGCACCCCTTAGTGCGGGTAAAAGGAGCCCGAATATAAAGCCGAATAAATGGGGCAGTAATTGCATACACCACCGCCAGCAACACGCACTAAGTGGATGCTCCTCCAAAGACGCCCCCTCCTGGCAGAGTAACAGTGGCTTGAAAGCCTACGACGAAAGAAAGGGCGCGGTCAGCAGCCACCTTTACACGTTCTTCAGTCTCTATGCCAGCCTTGCCTTTGGTCCGGGCGTATATAAGCTGATGATATCGTGGAGAGAGCCATCAAGCTTTTACTTACCCATTCGCTCTTTGGAAGATAAACGCTTTACATTATTTCGTCGAATACGGTCTTTTATATCAAATCTCGGCCTACTGTCCCGCACTACGTTTCCTACCACGTGTGTTACAGTGCTGCCCAACGAGGCCAGAGAGTATATCAAGTGTCGCTGCCGTCGCCAACAGCCATATCTAACAACGCTGGAGTCTTCCCACTACAATTCGATACTATGTTTGCCCTCATTCTGTTCCTCGCGTTCCTTCTCCCTTTCATCCACGCTACCGAGCCAAAGTCTAGGACCGTCAACCCAGACCTCAATGCCCGCCTCAAGCTGGCCGCTACCAACTTCGACCGCCAAGCTCTGTTAACCAAGGACAGCGATTGGTGGTACGACTTCGATAATCACCCAAACTACAACAGTGCCGTCGGCGCAGTCATCACTGCGGATGCCGCATCATTCCCAGCTCTCACCAACCTTGGTATAAGTATTGCACTGCTGAAGCTTGCACCCTGTGGCATGCTACCACCGCACTTCCATCCCCGAGCAACAAATCTGGTCACCGCGATCACAGGCAATACAACATCGTGGATGATTGGGGAGAATGGAGTGAAGACTATTAGGGTTAACCTGACACCTATGCGCATGACGATCTTCCCTCAAGGCAGTCTACATGTCATGCAGAACAACGGTACGTATAGGTCTCCAAGCACACACACCCAACCTATCACATCGATCATTTCCAGTCAAAACTTGTTCGTAGGGCTGATGAATCAATAGACTGTGAGCCTGCGCTTCTCCTCAGCGCACTCAACAGTGATGACAGCGGCACAGACAACATCATGCCTAGCCTCTGGACCGTCCCGCAAGACATCATTCGAGCTGGTCTTGGCAATCCTACCATTAACACGGAAGACTTAGGCAAGGACATTCCCAAGGTGGGAACCGGTGCGATAATGGGCAGTGCAGAGTGCCAACAAAGGTGTGGGATCTTGCACGGGAAAGAGTAAGCTGTGGTGGGATGGCGAAGGGGATTGGAGGGGTGGCGTGCTGAATTCTGTGTTCGACATGGTGGCTCTGAGTTCCTGTTTTGAAGGCTTTATGTTCTGATGGGCTCATGAATTATGGTGTGTATTGGTAGACGTAAACTCGAAAGAAAAGTCCTTATATGAATGGTTAGAGTAGTTGACGTTGCTCGTCCTTGAATTTCTTAGTGTCAAGAGCAACAGGCTGGTCGCCAGGAGCGAAGATGCGTTAAGGCGTTAAGATATAGGAATGTGTAATACAGATGCCAAAGAAAGATACATCTTTATCGTTGACCTCGATGCTTGACATCGCTATCTCATGATGTTGCAGCCAAGAGAATCCATATGCCTCTTAATCGCACGCTTGACTCATTTACCCTGGCGACCAGCTTTCGGGTTGTGAGACCTTTTATAAAAACGCGTCAGTACCCCGACCGAACGAGCCCAGAATAGATGTCTCACCCTCCCAAGGGAGGTTGCATACTGGAAATGTGGTAGATTCATATAAAGTGACAAGGCCTCATCGCCCCCGCCCTGCCATCGTACTGATGTATAGAAATCAATTATCCTATGACCTTAGATCTAGCGATAGTGCTACTATTGTGTCTCGTTCGAAAGGTTCACGTTCGAAAAGACCAAATCAGGCCCTTCTCCAGCGAGCTTTGACGACATCATTGTTATAACATCTTCAGACCATCGAAATGCATCTACCATTTGATAGTCCAAGAGCGAATTTAAGCCTCTAACGATCCACTCTTGCACATCAGGGGTGCAATACTCAAAGGCCAAGACGAAGCTCAAACCCGTATGGAACGCGCCTATCGGTTTAGTGGCCCAAGCATCCTCCCAAGTCTTACAGATCTGAAGAGCGACCGACCGGCACTCGGATTCAAGGTCATAGATGGCCGGATCAAAGGGTGGTAGCAGTCGCATCATGATCTTGTTGGTCAAGATCAGGACAGACCAGAAGCAGTTGTACGCGGTCATATCGCTCCAGTTGTTGAAATGATAGCTTGTGTGAATCGGACTTTGCTCCTCCATCGTGGCGAATTCGCACATAGTGGTGCCATTGGCAAGCTTAGCATCCATATGGGTCCCTAAATTACAGAGCGCGTCTTTGAGGTCCTGTACTTTGTGTAACAAGGCTATCCGAGCGGGTAGGTACAAACATATATCTGCGTTGACCGAGCACGGTGTGTCTACAGGCTGTAACTTGCTAAGGAGATCAAAACTATCAAAGCTATCGGGTGAGAAATCCAGCGATGGGAAAGTGTCAGAGAGTTGGCCACCAAGCGGCTCACGGCGATTACTCCTAAGATGATGCTCCATGGTGTCCATGGATGGGAAGGTAGCCTGGCTCCTCAACTGCTTCAGATCGTGAAAGATGCCCGGAAGTTCCGCCATGTATTGCATCAGATCCGTGTGTAGGCAGTCGTCGAATCCAAGTCCGCTTTTGTCGAACGCTATGTTCCGCCATTCAGGTGAGATGAGAAAACATTCCTCTCGCTCGTATATAGAGGTGACGATTATGCCGCCTCGGTTGAAACGTAGTATTTCCTTTGCAAACGGATCTCGGTACTTTTCAGGGCCTTGCAGCTCCATCAATCGACCTGCGCCGCCTACGTGAGCCAAGTAGCGGTTCCCTACTCTTGGTCCCGCCAGTGCCTCTACTAAGCCAAGGAGTACCGACGCGCAGAGGGTGTTGGTAGACAGGCCCTGCTGGGGGTCTTCCAGGCTTGACTGCAACGTCTTGATCGCTCGAATATACAGCTCCGGAGACACAATCTCATTTGACATCTTCTTGTGGATGAGCGAAGTGTGTGCGTTGGCCAGGACAGCTACCGCTGCGTCGAGTGCTGCATTGTGTCCGATCCTCGCAGGGACCTCTCGGATAAACCGTCCAAACACAGACATGCGGTGTCCAGCACCACCTGTAGTAATCGCTACGATCAGGGCTCGAGCAAGTTCATGATGCTGAGACGGCGAGGGCTGTCTAAGGAGGGGAGATTTTGGAGGGCTTAGGCTGGTTGAACTTGACCGCCGTGACGTTTTTGTCTGAGGCCTACAGCCTTTGTGCGAAATCCTGAATTTATGAAGGACCGATCCATTTTCCGCAAATTTCTCGTTCAGCTGTGTCAGACTTCTATAGCGCTGGTCTGCTGCTTGTGTCAGTGACATGATTTCTTCTGCACAAGCCAAAAGCCTACCTAGTGCCGCAGGACTGTTGTCTTCTCGGACCACAGTGGCGCCAAGATTTAGTCTGGGTCCGAGATCTTTGAATGTATGGCGCGCAGGAGGGCCTGGACAGCATTTCCCATTTTTCTGGCAGTTCAAACAATGCGGCCAGTTTTCGTCTTGTTTGCAGGTTAGTCTTGGACGTTGATGAGATGTGCGAGCCGGGTCCTACCGCATTCTACAGTTAATTAGTCGATGTGTGATTGACTCACGGCTGGGAAAGCTACTCACTGATCTTTCTCTTTCGACAAATGCCGCATCCAGTACTTTTTGGGACGCCCACCATGCTCGACAACGCAAGCCTTCCTGACAGTTGGCAAGAGGCAATAGGTCACACGATGATAAATCAAACACACTATAAACTTTGGAAAAAGGGTATAAAGGCCAAAGTCATCACGGATGCATTTCGGGACCCATGTGGTTCCTAGAAGTGATGGTGAAGAAGGCAGAATTTCCGTCTCCGTCACCCTTCCCGGACGCGGTGGTAGATGCTAGTAGCGGGCAAGGCCTGGGCACCCGAGGCCCGTTCCTGGCATCCTGGACTGGCGGTGGACGGCGTGGACGGGTGTACTGTACTGAGTAAAGGCCTCATGTCTCAGGCTCACGTGTTCGCAGCATGCATCCTCTTCTGGCTAGCCATGGAACGGCAAAGGAAAGGTGGGTGCGGACAGATACGAGACCAGGATTGGACAATATGGTGAAGCGCTACACGCGGACTGCGAGATGGTCGGAAATTGCTGCCCATGTCGTCACCATGCGTGCGCATAGGCAAAAAGCCCCATCCGACGACGCACCAGCACTAGCGAACATTGCCTCGACCACCTCATCCCATCAGGCCAGCTACTCAGAGCATCGCCAGCCTCGGGCGCAGCAGCACCACTTCATACCAGGGCTCACAAACCACTCGGAGATATGCGAAAACCTGCCGTCTCAACGGCCGCTAGACGTGCTGCCTTTGATGTGGACTTACTACTCTATTCTACGTACCCATCTCGGCAGTCGTTGTCTACAAGAATGACGGCTCGTCTTCGTTTCTACAATGCAACATAGGCACTGCTCGCGAACGCTTGAATCAAAGGTTCAACTTGCTGTAGCGTTTAGCCCTATCGAGGTACGTATGATCCAAGTTCCCCCTCTGTCGCACGATTGCCAAGCCGTGCTCCTTCTCACATGGCTGTCTCTGCATCCTTCGACGAATTCCCACCGCCATAGGACACACTTGATTTCGCGCGACCAATCTCAAACATGGCAGCGTTGCCCTGTTCAGCAAGGGACCACTTCCCCGCGTGTATATCGAGGCTCAATGCCCCACAACGGCAGCAGCACCGCACACTGACTAAAAATAGCTTGATAAGCCACCCAATATAGCCCCAAAATATCAGTTCCTCATTTGTCCCGTGTCTTGTTGGCTAGGGTAAGCAAGTCCTATGTACCTTGTTGCAAGCCTGATAGCTGTTGGAGATCTCGATGCTTCTCCCATCCGAGAATAATGGCGCACAGCCATGATTTCCTACAGTAATGTGGCGGATGACGGGGCGGTGCTGAGGGAACAGGATGGGATCAAACCTCATAGTCCATCTCTTGGAATGCATGGTTGCTTGGAGAAGACGTGGATTCAGGTTGTTCGTGAAATATGGAACAAGGAGAAGAGCCGATGGAAAAAATGAATCGACATCACGTAGCCGAGTGTCAGGCAAAACATGGATGGATGGGCCCGCATGGAACAGTTTGTGAGTGCCAGCGTTATAAACAAGCCTGCCATTCTGGTTGGATATCGTGTAGTTGAAGTAGATAAAGCGCCTTTAAATGCTGTGAATGTGAACGCCGCCCAATGAATGATAGTGAGAAGTCGCCTATAGCGCCTCAAGTTCGAAGTCGTCCAGCTTGTCGCGGTACTTCATGATGTTCCGCTTGATCTTGGACGAGTCGACCCAAGTCACAAAATCTTCCATATTCCTGGTGTTGGTTAGCCACGGCCATGTTCGCAGACAATTCCAGTCATTACTCACCGAGTGACAAGATATGCAGGATCCGTAACAACGTCGGTCCCAACTCGGACATGGCCCTGCTCGATGGTGTGCACAGCAGCCTGGACGTGGTCGGCCATGCGTAGCCTCGTCATGACGACGGGCAGTCTTCTCCGCGCAAAAGCCGATACGGTGAGCTTGTTTTCAACGTCGCTGAGCTTGCCTCTGCCGCCACCACCGGTGCCTAGTATTCCCATGTCGTATAGCTTCTCTAGCATCAGGTCTTCGTGTTTGCGGCGAAAGGGGTCCGCGGGATCGAGGTTGGCGAGCTTATGGGCAAGTTGGCGCATGGAGCCACACAGTTGGTTGTACTTGCGATAGTCGTCGCGGCCTTGGATGGCATATCGTCGCATTACGGCTGCTTCCCTGTGGTCATTGTCGGATTTGTACGTGTTGAAGTCGACCTAGTAAGAGGTTAGGGTGCGGTTGGGAGAGACAGTGGATAGGGGCGCATCTACCTTCTTGAGCAGCTTCTGCTCATGGTGCTTGAGTTTGCGCACCATTCTAGCGGGCGGGCGGGAGGCTCGTTCTTGTCTTGAGGCGTAGTAGCGTCGAGGATATCAGAAACCAAAAGTTGAGGCTCCGAACATTTTCCCCGACGCGCTAGCAGCTAGCGCTATCGTCACTGCCCCTCCAATGACGGACGGCGGGGGTGGCTTCGTACAAATTTCCAGTTCCATTCAAGTGACTCAAGACGACGCCTAAGTCTCGACTCCCATGAGCTTTGCTGATTTTACCGTCGAACCCTCCTTCCACAACACACGATGCCGACCGTTCACTTGCTAGACTATGTCGCCGGCAATGTCCGCTCGCTTGTCAATGCCATTGAGAAGGTGGGCTACACGGTGGCATGGGTCAAGTCGCCCGCCGATGTTCCCTCCGCAGAGGTACTACGCTCGCTTCCTTTGCGGCTGCATACCAATTGACAAGCGCTGATAGAGATGCGCCCATAGAAACTCATTATTCCTGGCGTCGGCCACTTCGGCCACTGCCTCTCGCAGCTCGAGAAAGCAGGCTACACCGAGCCAATTCGCGAACACATCAAGGCCGGGAAGCCCTTTATGGGAATATGTGTCGGGATCCAGGCACTATTCGAGGGGTCAGAAGAAGACCCACAGGTCAAAGGACTCGGAGTGATTCCATATAGGCTTCGAAAGTTTGACGACAAGGACAAGAGTGTGCCGCACATTGGATGGAATAGCGCAAACACTTCACGTACCGGCCAGGTCACAGACGAGTCGCTCTATGGGCTACGACCGACGTCCAAGTACTACTATGTCCACTCATATGCGGCGCCTTACGAAGAAGGCAAGTTGGAGCGGGATGGATGGTCGGTCGCAACCGCACGCTATGGCGATGAAGAGTTTGTCGGCGCAGTAGCCAAGGACAATATATTTGCGACACAGTTTCACCCCGAGAAGAGTGGAGCTGCCGGCCTACGCGTTCTCAAGGCCTTCTTGGATGGGAATAAATCTCAGAAGCTGCCTCAAAAGCCAACAGCAGCCGCCACCACCAGAGAGGGTCTGACAAGGCGCGTCATTGCGTGTCTCGATGTGCGGACCAACGACTCGGGTGATCTCGTGGTGACCAAAGGCGATCAGTATGATGTCCGAGAGAAAGAGGGAGCAGGCAATGCCGTTAGAAATTTGGGCAAGCCAGTGGACATGGCCAAGAAATATTACGAACAAGGTGCCGATGAAGTCACGTTTCTCAACATCACATCCTTCCGTAACTGCCCTGTGGCCGACACGCCAATGCTAGAGATCCTTCGACGGACGAGCGAGACTGTCTTCGTACCATTAACAATAGGCGGTGGCATACGCGACACAGTAGACACGGACGGAACAAAAATCTCGGCCCTCGATATCGCTACAATGTACTTCAAGTCTGGCGCCGACAAAGTAAGCATAGGCTCTGATGCTGTCACGGCAGCCGAGGAATACTATGCGAGAGGTAGCAAATTGGCGGGCAACACGGCGATAGAGACCATCTCCGCGGCCTACGGCAACCAAGCAGTCGTCATCAGCGTCGACCCGAAGCGCGTCTACGTCTCCTCACCACAAGACACACCCCACCACACTATCCAGACTATAACACCAGGCCCTAGAGGCGAAGAGTACTGCTGGTATCAGTGCACCATCAAAGGTGGGCGCGAGGGACGAGACTTCGATGTCCGGCAACTGGTCACTGCCGTGGAAGCCATGGGAGCCGGAGAGATCTTGCTCAACTGCATAGACAAGGATGGCAGCAATAGCGGGTTTGATCTTGAACTCATCAACGATGTAAAAGAGGCGATCAAGATCCCCGTCATTGCGAGTAGCGGAGCCGGCCATCCGGGTCATTTCGAGGAGGTGTTTGCGCAGACGCGGACAGATGCTGCGCTGGGTGCTGGAATGGTGAGTCCCTTTTCGGACGATAAGTTGAGAGAGCATAGTCACTGACCGATTACAGTTTCACAGAGGAGAGTATACGGTCAAGCAGGTCAAGGATTACCTGCAAGACAAGGGACAATTGGTGAGGCCCTTTGAGGATGAGTTATGATTGGTGTAGTCGCAATAGAGTGCCCAGAACTGCTGGCAGATACTAGATGCCACGCGCAAATAAACATGATATCCCAACCCACAACTCCAATGCCATGCTTTTTGGTATACCCCAATGCCAACATGCTTCGTAACCCGCAAACGCCGTGATATGCACATTTCTGTTCCAGGTCAATGCCCAGGACCGGCGCACTATCTAACTAAAGTGTATGCCCTCCTGGTTGAAAGCATACAGCATCTTGAGGAAATCGCCCTCGTCACACAGTCTAGCTCTCTTGTCTGCAAGCTGCGTGTCATCCTCCAACACTTTCCGCACCTTCTCCCGCACAAGCTCGCTAACCCTCCCCTTCTTCTTTCTGTTGACGCCGTTGACTTTCTTGGCGGCCTGCATCTGCTTGAAGAAATCCGGCAGCTCATCGTCGGGGTCGTCGGGATCAGAGAATCCTTCAAACTCGTCTTCGCCGTCGACATCCATTGTCTCTGCGTTGGTCGTGACTTGGTTGGGATCGAGCGGCGAGTCGTCGAGCGGGATATTGTTCTGCGCGCAGTACAGGCGGTAGTTGCTCGCAAGTAGTTCGACCACAGCAGATGTTCCTAGAAAGCCAGCGCGCAGTGTCCTATTCTTACGCACGAACGCAATCCTCAACAGACCATCCCACTCGTCGTAGGCAATCTGTGGCCGCGGAACCTTGGGCTCAATCCGCACCACGTTGCTCTCCACCTGCGGCGGAGGATTGAAGTTGTTCCGTCCCACCTTCATGATGTGACTGACCTTGGCCCACATTTGCACATTCACCGACAGCCTGCTGTATAGCTTCTCGCCTGGTTTTGCGAAAAGTCGCATCGCAAACTCGCGCTGAAACATGAGTATACACGACCGTGGCGGGTTGGGTAGCGAGAGGAGTTTGAAGACCAAAGGACTCGAGATCTGATACGGTGTATTCGATATACACACATCGAAATGCGGCAGCTCCGTCTTGATCACATCGCCCAACATGACCTTTAATCGTTTGCCCTCGGCCGTCCCTTGGACACGTTTGGTCAACTCGGCCGCCATGCGAGGATCCATTTCCACCGCGGTGACGGCTTTGGCAGCTTTCAGTATCAACACTGTCAAATTGCCAGTTCCGGGACCGACCTCAAGAACATGATCAGACTGCTTGAGATGCGCTTTTTGCACGATTGCGCTGGCCACGCCCGGGTTCTTCAGGATATGCTGACCGAGGTCTTTGTCCATCTTGAAGATTGAATGCGCGGCCGATGCTTTTGCCGAGGGTTTGGAGTAGGGCGAGGCGTCGGCCGCGCCATTCGTGCGTTTTCGCTTGTCTTTTGGCATGGTGGGGAGGGTGTGGTGGGTTCCAAGGGCCGTGGCAGTGTTGATGTTGGGATGTGGCGGAACATTTTAAGAAATTTGGTGGGGACGACGACGGCTGCTCGTGCACGTGAGCTGGCGCCAAAGCTCGACGCGTCTCTACATGCCATGCGATGAAAGCCACGCACGGCTTTGGTCATAAGCTCATCTAACTCGCAGCGGCCTTTTGTTCTCTGCGAATCGCATCTAAGATGCTTCCAAGCAGCTGGAGATGGTAGTGCCATTGTAATCATCTACTTGGAGCGGGAGGCTTCCTACTGCCCTCATAGCCTCCTGGCTCGTGCGCCAAAGCTCAGCCGACGCGTCTCTGCATGACGCTGCTCAATGCGTGCAAATACGCATCAACTACAGTTGCACTGGTCTCTTCAAGTTCCGGACGTCGTGCGCATGATACTCTCGTCGAAGCTCTCGCTATCCAAGTCTGCTCCCTCTTTGCGCAGTGGCTCTTTTGCTAAGATTGCTTGCCACCGCTTCCTCGCGCTAAACGCTCACTCGACACTCTCCAAGTCCCGCAACAATTGCACTCAAAGTTCGAGACTGTATATTGTCGCCCCCGAGACTCTGAGATCAAGAATTGACGCAGGTCCTGCTCTCTTGCGTCCAATCTCATCTAACGACACCGCAACTAGAAGCTACTTTAGGGACAGCCTCCTCAACGCGCGCTCTCACCTTAGACCGGGTGCCTCTCACCTTCACCCAGGATCGTTAGCGACCATTGCCTACCTAAGTGAGCCTTGCCTTTACCAGCATCAGTCATACACCAACCTCTGCGCTACCACACCATCTGCACTCCCAACTACACACATGATGGCGAAGAAGCTCCCCAAAACGACTTCAGACTCATCGCTCTCACCTCTTCCTAGCAACTTTGCGTCCGTAACCGAGCAAGTCTCTTTCGAGACGAGAGTGAGCGGCAAGAAGCGGAAGGCGGAAACTACCATTGATGCCACCAAGCGAATCAAGAAGGCTCCAGCTCCAAGTGACAAACCAGAAGACGCCGTTGCAGGTGCTGAAGCGACACCTCGACCCAAGAGACGCGCGACAAAGGAAGCCATTGTCAAGGAAGAAACGATCGATGATAGAGACAATGGCAAGACCCTTATACGCAACAATAAGAGCGAGGACGAGAGTGGAGATGATGGGGCCAAGGTCAAGAAGACAACCACTCGCAAGACCAGAAATGTGAAGAACATGGCACCGATCGCGGAACGTACCAAGGACACTAAGCTACGCGTCGGCGCTCACGTTAGTAGTGCAGGAGGTAAGACACTCTCTGCCCACAGGCTCCTCCACAGCAGGGAAATAGACTAACGCGGACCGGCCGATCGTCGATTAGGTGTGCAGAATGCCATTGTCAATCTCATATCCATTGGGTAAGTGCAGTATCCTTTACTATCATACCAAGCTAAACCTAACATCAACTAGCGGCAACGCATTCGCCATGTTCTTGAAGAACCACAAGAAATGGGAAAGCAAAGATTTGGACCCTGAGCATGCAAACCTCTTCATCGACAGGTGCAAGGAGAATAGCATCTGCGCTGCCGACTGCTGTCTACCCCATGGCTCTTATCTCGTCAACCTTGCCCATCCAGACCCCGAACGCAAGAAGCAGGCCTATGGTTCCTTTCTCAATGATCTAACACGCTGCCACAAGCTCGGCATACGGCTATACAACTTCCACCCTGGCAACGCTAATGCGACCACTCGCGAGGAAGGTATCAAGCTTATCGCCGAGAATATCAACCAGGCCCACAAGGACCCCGCAACCGGCGGTGTCATTACTGTGCTCGAAACCATGGCGTCCCTCGGGAACACCATAGGCGGCACCTTCAAAGACCTCGCTGCCATCATTGAGCTCGTCAAAGACCAGAGCCGTGTAGGTGTCTGCCTAGACACTTGCCACGTTTTCGCTGCCGGTTACGACCTCCGCACGCGTGAAACATACGCTCAGACCATGGAGAAGTTCGACAAGGAGATTGGGTTTGAATATCTCAAAGCTTTCCACATCAATGACAGCAAGGCCCCGCTCTCGAGCCATCGTGATCTCCATGCCCGCATCGGCACGGGCTATCTCGGCCTTCGTGCCTTCCACAACATTGTCAACGACGAGCGCTTTCACGGCCTTCCAATGGTACTTGAAACTCCAGTCGATGTTATTGGTGAAGATGGAAAGAAGACCGAGGACAAGGGTATCTGGGCTCGGGAGATCAAGATGCTTGAAAGGCTCGTTGGTATGGACGTTGAGTCCAACGAGTTTAAGGAGCTGGAAGCCAAACTTCAAGAAGAGGGCACGGCTGAGCGCGACCGCATCGGCGGTCAGGTGGAGCGCAAGAAAATCAAAGATGCAAATCCGAAGAGGACGAGGGCCAAGAAGCAGATCGAGAGTGAGGATGTGGATGACATGGAAGACTAAGAACACACGAATCGTCTGAGCCGTCATCCCCAGTCGTGAAGTCTGAATCGGCTGAATCGGAATGGTGATATGGACAATTGAACAAACAGGGAGATAGGAACAGATGTGTGCACTTTGGCACCTACCTTTATGGCTTGGGCGGTTGACATGTTTTGCATTTGAGCGATATTGTGCTGTCACTTCGGCACGCATCCTTTTACTCTGGAGGAACTCGACTTAGCTTCCATTTTTCACAGATGGACTCCGGTCCCACTGGGTGTCGTTGGAAACCCCTTCTAGCACCCAGGATACGTTCTCTTTATCACACTTCCGGACACAGTCAATGCATCCTGACTATAGAGTATCCTTGCATGGAGCATATATCCTCGCAGTCAGATAGCGAAATACCACTGCCTGTCCAAGATCTACATTGAACGCGACACTACTCGATCCTTTAGAGCTTGTCCTTTAGTAATACTGCAATACCATTGCCTTTCGCAAGCAATACAGCCGTTCGTTCGTTAAGTCGCATCATGAGTCGACCACGGATTTTTGCACCCACATCATCAAAACCTTTCCACTCCACCATCGTGTCATGACACTGTTTCTCATATGTCGATCCCTAGGATGTACGGCTGGTTCTGCGCTTTCTTGCCAGCCGTATGCAACGTATTCCACTACGAATTTTACGAGGGTATAATGTATGCTATACCATCGCGTCCAGCCCCGTTTCCTGCATATTAGGGTACGAGGTCAGTATGTGTCTGACATGCAATTTGTACATGGACTCTCTTACCATTTATCTTCTGCTTTGCGCGTCGGTCCAGTAGACTTGGCACCTTGACTTTGTATGGGTTTGATAGTGTCGCATGCAAAATTACATTGGCATTATGCAGATACGTTAGAAAAGGTTGGATTAGGAATTAGGAGAGTGCAACCAATAATTGTTAGCCTGTTAGATATTGCTTCTTTAGCAAGGAGGGGGAATAATACTACAAGTAGGGACAACAACGCCACAAGCGGGGACAATACTATCCTAGCACGTAAATATAGTTTTTTTTTTAAAAAATATAAAAGCCTGAGCTGCTATTGCAGCTATACAATTGTAGTTAAATTCAAATATTGTAGCCTATTAAAGAAAAGCTTTTATAGCTTTAAAAACCTTAATAATTTAGTTAACTATATAGCTAAGTTTAATAATTGTTTAATTAAATTTAAATTATATTAAAATAAACCTAAGTTATACCTAAGTTATATCCTAATTATATCTAAATTATATATAGTAAACTGAGTTTAAATCCTGCAGTTTCTAATAATAAAAGCTGTATTTTTTTTCTTTTTTTTGCCAAATTTAGTTACCTACTTAAGTAGAAATCCAAATTTTTGCAGCTTAATTTTTTGTAATTAGCTGTAGAAGGCCTCTTTGCCCTTGCTGTAGCTACTAATAGTATTACTTAAACAAGTTAGTTACTATTAAAAGTTAATAGTTATATTGCTATAATTTTTAAATAATAATATATTAAGTTTACTAATAGCAATTGTTAAAAGTTTATTAAAAGTTTATTTAGCTAGCCTAGTATTATATAAACTTTACTACTTTAATACTGTATTAAAGTGCTAAATATAGCACTTAAACTATAGTTTTATACTAAATTCTTTTACTGCGTTGTATAATCCGCTCTAGCGTTAACTTTACTTTTATTTATAGAAATAGAAATTATTAGAAGTTTCTTAATAATCTATTTAACTAACTTAGTATTATTTCTATAAATAAAAGTAAAGTCGACGCTAGAGCAGATTATATAATATAGTAAGAAAATTTAGTATAAAATTATAGTTTAAATACTATATTTAGTACTTTAATATAGTATTAAGGCAGTAAAGTTTATATAATACTAGGCTAGCTAAATAGATTATTAAAACTAACAATTGCTATTAGCAGATTTAATATATTATTATTTAAAAATTATAGCAATATAACTATTAACTTTTAATAGTAACTAACTTGTTTAAGCAATGCTAGACAGGTTATATTAAACTAAAATAAAGCGTTTAGTTAAGTTTTTAAACTAATATTAGAAGCTTAGTTTAGTAATAAAGCGCTTTAACTAATATTTTCTTAAATAAAAGTAAGTAATTTAATTAGTAATAATATATAAAATATTAATTAAAGTTTTAATTTAGCAAGTTAGCTTACAAGGAAACTTTAAAATTATAAACTATAATTTTTAATAAGTTGCAATAGTTAATAGTTAATAATTAAAAGTAAAAAGCTGCAGGCAGTAGTTCTAAATATATAATATATATTATAAAAAAAAAAAAAAATTATGTAATTAGCTTTTTATACTTTTGTAGCAAGCTATATTAACTATTAATTAATAAAATACAAGCTTTACTAACAAAGTTTATATAATATTTATTAATGATTTTTTTAATACTATTTTTTATTTTATTGTTTTTTTAGTATTCGCGATAAAATTTAAATTTTAAAATATTAATATTTATAAAACTAGTATATTAAATTAGTATAAATAAGCATTTAAATACTTTAGTAAACTTAAATAAATTTTTTAAAATTTAAATACTAGGCTTTTTAGCATGCTAAAGTACCTAATAATTAATTTTTTTTTTTTTTAAAAATTTAAACTTTTTTAATTAAAAAAAGCTCCGCTAAAAAAAGCTAAATATATTAGCTATATTTATTATAAGCTGCTAAATATAAACTTTTTACTATAGTCTAATAGCTTTTTAGAAAGCTTTTATTACTAATTAGTAAAATAAATTTAAAGGGCTTTATACAGTTTTTTAGCATAAAAAGTATATTTAGAATTTATACTAAAAAGTATTTTTACGCTACTATAGTTACTTATAATTTAATAATTAAAAGTAATAGCTTTTTGCAGCTATAGAAATAATATAAATACTTAAATAAAATAAATATTTTAAAAAGTTAAAAGCGCGAGCAATTAATTTAAGTAATAGAAAAAAAAATTAGTACTTATAAAAGAGTAAGGAAGCAGCTAAGTATTAGAGCTAGCATTATAAAAAAAATTATTATTATTATTATTATTTGCGTTGCTATTGCTGCTTTACTATTGCTATTATTGCTTAAAAGCTTAGTATTAGTTAGCTGCTTTATTAGGAAAATTCAAACTAAAAAGCTGCAAAAAGCTGCGAAAATCCTGCAAAACTAGCAAAACTAGCGAATTTTGGCAAATTTTTAGCTACTTAGGCTACTCAGCTGAGTAGAAAGCTAATTCTATAAATAAAAAATTATAAGAAAATTATATATAATACTATATAATATTTTCTATAAAATAGCCTACTAGAAATTGCCTAATTAGGCCTAGTTACTTAAATAGTTAATATATAAATAATATTACTAAAAATAGTAAATAAATAGTTTTAAAGCTAAAATAAAATAGCTAAAATGCTAAAACTTTTTATAAAAATATAAAAGTAATATATTATACAAGCAAACTGCGCGCCTGGGCAAGCTACACACTTTGCTAAAACTTTACTAAAATTAGTATTATATATAATAGTACAGCACTATAAAAAACTATAATAGTAAATTATAATAAACTAATTTATTTAAAAATTATTTTTACTTTTTATTTATATATTTGCGCATTATACTTAGCTTTACTGCAGCATTTATAGCGCTTTTAAAAAAGCTTATTTGCTTTAATATATACTTGCTTTTTTACTTTTTTTTTATTACTATGCACTTTAAATTTTTTTAAAATTATTAATTAAAAATTATTTTTTACTATAACGTATTACACAGGCGAGTTAGTTACTTAGTTAAATTAGTTATAATGCTAAAATCCTACTAAAATTAGTACTATGCACAACAGTACAGTACTATAAAAAACTATAATAGTAAATTATAATAAGCTAATTTATTTAAAAATTATTTTTATTTTTTGTTTATATATTTGCGCATTATGCCTAGCTTTACTATAGTATTTACAGCGCCTTTAAAAAAGCTTATTTGTTTTAATATATACTTGCTTTTTTATTTTTTTTTTATTACTACGCGCTTTAAACTCTTTTAAAGTTATTAATTAAAAACTATTTTTTACTATAAAAGTTTTTTTTTTTTATATTTACTTTTTTTTATATAATTTTTATTGTATAGCAGCTTTATTAGCTGCTTAAAACTTAGTAATTTTTTTTTGCACTAATATAAACTTATGCGCAATTATAGCTGTACTTTTTAAATTTTTTTTAAAAGCTTTAACTATTAAAGTAAAAAAACTATTTAAATACTTTTAAATTTTTATTTTAACTAGCGTTAACTAAAACTTAAATTTTAAAATATTACTTAGTATTTTTAACTCTTAAAAACTATTTTTAATAGTAAGTAGTAATAAAGTACACAACTAAATATTAAATTTTAATATTATAGCTTTAAAATTAAAAAAAACTAGACTAGCGCTTTTAAAGCTACTTAAAATATTGCTTTTTATAATAGTAGCATTAAAAGCTAGTTTAAAGCATAGTAAAAATTTAATTTTAATAATATAATTAATACTATTGCGCATTAGCTTTTTAGCTTAGTACTTATATACTTTTTTTAAAAATGCAAAATAATTTATATTAAGTAGCTATAATAAGTGCAATAAATGCAAAAGTATATAAAAAGTAATAATTTTTTATTTTTTATAATACTGCTAGAATTAGACTAATATATAGCTTTTATAACTATTAATAATAAGCAAATAATAAGTACTAATAACTTTTTTTTTAGTATATTTATTAAAGTACTTTAACTATTTAAAAGTAAGCTTATTTATTATTTAGCTATTTTTAAAAACTGCAATAATTTAATTATAAAGCAGGCTATTTTTTTTATATTAAGCTAAAAAGTAGTTCTTGCCCGCAAAAATAATAAAAAGTAAAATAATTTATTTTATTATATTAATATTTTAAATTACTATTACTTACTTTTAATTACCCTGCTATACTATTTTTGGCTATTTTTAATAGTTAGTATTTAAAACAATAATTTTATA